ATTCATACTCGTGATGGCCGGGCGCATATGATTCTCTGCATGGCAATGCAGCGATAAGAAGTGTCCAAAGGATTTGCCAAAAAATAGTTGAAATGGATTGCGATGGAATGCACATCATCCGTGCAGTTCTTTTCTGCTTGTAATCCAATGTGTATCAATGAATTCAAGTGTCGAAGATTTGATGCGTGCGGCACATTTTGCATTTGAATGTCGCTTGGCATCCTGATCGAAAGAATCTGAGATGTGATTGTAACAGACGAAGACCACGCACGTTCGAAGGTTATCTCACCACTGAATCATCTTTGAAAGTATACAGTGTATAGAACATCAATAAATATATCGGCGGTATTGTTCCTTTTATTTTCACATCCTCGTTCATCATCATAGCGCTCTACATTCTCAAAAAAGCAAAAAAATTCACGCAGTTCAATTTGTACTTTAACCAGCTCTGCGGTGTTCGCATGCAAATAGATTCGCAAAATATGGAAGAAAAAACAGAAACGCCGCAAAATGGAAAATTCCGCTCCCCACCCCCCCCCCCCTCGCCTCCTGACAGAATATTTGCTATACACGTATGAGTCTAATTCTCTGTTTATGTAATTAAACATGCATGATTTTCTAACAAGAAGAAGCAGCCGTTTCAAAGGACGCTTAGAAAAATTGTTTTGAGATTCAAAACAACTTTTTTAACTATACTCAAGGTTCAGCTAAAATGTACAAAAACATGATACAAGACTAGATCGTCCATTGGAAACAGAATCATTTTCCAAGTAAAACAACCTAAAATTTATAAGTTGCGCCTATTCATAGAGAGTATGATTCATGTCGGATTTGGAATATACCCAGTGAAGCCACTGGTGACTGTGTAAAGAATACGAATTGGGTGATCCAAAAATATTGTAATTTTGATTAGTAAATTTGATACGTAGTCTTAAAAGGAATATTGACTATGGTTTTTGTTATCAAATGTCTACGGTCCGCAAACTGCGTTTGCATCGCTTGTCGAGTTATTTTAGTTGGAACTAGGAGTGCAACTGCCCCAAAATTGAACGCATGAGTGCATTGTGGCAAACTGAACGTTTGCAAACCCATTCAAAACACTGCTTGGATAAAATCTGGTTGCGATATATTTTAAGCCAAAATCCATTGTAATCTCCTCTCAATGAACTCATCACTCCGTTGTATGAATAAGTTCTTTTTTCACAGAAGAACATGTGACGCTATGTTCCTGCAGATTGATAGAACATTCTTGATAGGTTTCTGGAATGAACTTCTCCTGCTAAGACTAAGTTTTTGCCTTTTGGTGATTATAGCTAAAAAGGGAACCCTTTTTAGTCAAATTGGCCTTTCCAACTAATCCCTATATCACTGCGAAGAGCATTGAACGCTGATTCTAAATCTGTTTTCCGCTTCTGCCTCTCCAAGAAGTTATGGGCTTTATAAGTCCATTGAGCTTAGTGCCACAGAATTAAGGAAAACCTCAAAAAATACATACGGGATTTTTAATGGTTGTTTCCTTTTTGTAGTTAATATACTTGATTTAAAAACGAATAGCCACTTTCATTTTTTTACAAGTGTTCGCTAACTTTGCCACTCAAAGCTTAACAAATTTGGATTTTGAACGCTCATAATTTCATCCAAAAAGTTGCGGGATGAGTTCAATGATCTTCTGGGTGATATAGGACGTAAATGAAAAGGCCACTTTGGCCAAAAAGGTTTCCCTTGTGAGATTACAAACCTGGAATGACATCGAAGTCCCCGCGTCATTTTGGACCACTAATAGATCTAGGTCAAGAACTTGAAGGAACAACCGTTATGTTATCGTATATTATTGTGTTATCATATTTGGGCAAATTGCAGGACTAAATGGCTGTTTGGAAGACCACTTTTTCTTTTATTACCGTTTATAGAGTTTCAGTAGTAGCAGCACTATAATGTCAGTGTCTAATTATCCTGAAATTTTGATAAGTCCACTAGTTTTGCAAGCTTCTGCTTTCCTCAAACCATGTATTTTGCAAAGCTGTGAGAATGTAGTAGATCTGTCGTATCAAAAACCGCTGCAAGACTCAGAAAGACGCCCAATGCTTTAGTAAAACAGAACTGTATTATTACTGTTAATATATTACATTATATTGTATTATTACTGTTAATATATTACATTATACTGTATTATTTATTTATTTGCATCGTAGACGATGCACCAGCTCATAATAATAATAAACTGACGAATAAATGTGGAATGGGGTAGAAGAAGGCAAAAATGATTTGAATTTGCTCTCACTTTCGAGTCGTATCCATAACAGATCTCATAGGCTCAGTTTAGAATCTTGGGAGGAGGATGAAGCTCATGAGCTGCTGACAAAGGCCACGAACTGGGGATGCCAAATCTACTTAATGGTGTCAGAAAAGTTTAAGTGGAATTCTAATTATTATTAATTATATTATGTGTACTATCACCAGTTTCATGGGGATGAAGCAATAATTCTAAAGTCAAAGAATCAAAGCTTCGGCTGACTTATCTGCATGCGGACATATGCAGGGATTTGGAGTAACCTCATTTTTGCCGCTGTCTGACTAATCACTTTCTTTATTTTCATGCGATTCAAACACCGAGCGAAGACTCGTTCTGTAGTGCTTTCTTCAAACTTGTGTTCTGCGCTCTAATTCAAGGCCGTTTCCATTGAAAACCACAACACATCTATTCCTATCGAGAACTAATGCAAACTTGATGTGAGTGCCGCGTGATGGGCACGAGTATGAGGAGAAATACCGAGACAAATCGAATATTTGATATGTTGTTTTGACTTGAGGGATAGTATTTTTTCAATACTTTTGTTTCTGCCACAAATTATTCAGCTAATTGGAAGTTGACCTGGATCACTATAGAATTTCCAAGATTGCTGTTCTTTTGATGGATGCTGGTTGGTGCTAACACTACTATTACACATTGCGATGAGGAGTTACACCAGAACCTTGATTATACATCAAAGACCAGTTTCTATTATGATCGAGGAGATTCAATGATGACAAACTCTAAGAAACAGTAAAAATCCCGCAACCTGTACAATCACTTTGGGGGAATAAAATGTAGCAGCATGCCGTTAATCACAGATAATTTCGAATAAAGGAGATATAAAGTCGAAACATCTCATGTGGCTGCCCTACGGCCGCATACAAAATGAATCATTGGACTTCTGCGATTTCACCGTTTTAGCACATTTGTTGTGATTATAATTTTAATTTTTCTGATTATAATTATTACGGTAGAAACTTGAAACATATGGTGTCAATGTGGAAAAAGCTGCCGTTTCAAAATTTTTCAAAAATTGTGAAAACTTGTGTAATAGGGTTTTTATAGACGCTGAGTTCAATACTCAACTATTCACAAGATTACGAAGCTTTCTAAACGGTGTAGTCGCACTTTTTAGGAACATTGAAAAAAAGGCCGCTACCTCTTACCTGGCATAACTCTTTAATGAAGCATCATAATAAGTTGGGAACTTTACAGTTATAACCAGCAATTCTAATTAGCCTGGTGTAAAAGTTTTCAGGCTGTTTTGTTTCCTTTCTGAGGCAAAATATGGCCTTTCATGGTTCAAAACCCTCTTTGAAGTTTCTACCGTAACCCTACAGAAGAGAGATGGGTAATTCGTTCTATAATGGAAATCTAAGTTGAAGCCAGCTCTACAAAACGTCACCTGAAGCAAGGCAAAAGACTTCTTGGGAAGAGAGATATTAACGATCACGTTCTAAACATTTTTTGGGACACCCTGTATATCAGCTTGGCTCGAAAGTTCTTGCGCATAAAAACATAACTTCTTGCTCTCTCAACGATTTGCACGAACTTAATGTTGCTAAATAGAGGAATCCCTTTTCTTTGTAATAGTGCCTTTGCTGCTCTCCAATAAGAGGTAGATTTTACGATGGAAGCACGAGAATTAAATTACTTCAACTTCAGTCATTTTGAATCAGACTGCTAAAAACCTGAAACTTCGAAAAAATTGAGAACAAGCACTATAGTAAGTCTTTGAATCCACTCTTTTCATCTGTGCAGAGTTTGTATTAAAAAAGCATTTTTTGAAAAGCTGTGATTCTTGGAAAAGAAATTTCAAAAAATCAAATTTGCTGTTTTTGGTTAGCCAGAAATGAGCGTTTTTTATCTCGATCAGATCTTTTTATATCTTTTTTTTTTGCTTCAAAAACCTAGTGGAATATCTTAACTTGTCTGTCACTCTCAAGCTCTCACATACAGGGGCACTAAATGGTACAAGCAGCCTGCGTTAAAATTTTTCTAACAAGTTTTCGGGATCGGAAATGTTCTGAAGTGGAAGTAAATTGGAGCTCCTACCATATTTCTACAGTAACGTGATAGGCTGACCATGGATAACATGACAATTTGGGCTTCAGCTCCGCACAATACTAGCTAAACTACCACCAGGGGTGTTACCGTATAGATTGCAGGCCGTGCATCTGATCCAACAGAAGAGCGGTTTGAATTTGGTTTAGGGGATCCACAACAGCATTAATCATGAAACAAATCGCGCGACATCATTTGCATTTATCGCAACATCGCTTTGAATCCATTATTTACTAGCGCGCGAGGCCTAACAAGGGAAGGATATTTGGCTGGTTAGCATTTCCATATAAAATGTATACAGTTTTATAGAGCATGGAACGCTGATTTCAAGTGTGCTCTCGGTATCTGCAAAACTTTTCTGAGAGTAGGGTTATGAAAAATTTTTAAGCAGAAACTTGTACGCGCGCTTACCAGATGGGGCCATGATTACTGCCAAAGCGCTTTATGCACTTGATATCCTCAGTCTAATAAGCATATGGAAGTCATTACTCCTTTGCGCCGGGAAGAAATCAATACCTTAGCCAGACCCTTGAATTTTAGTCTCAAATAAAATCCTGTAACCCTTCTCCCAAAAGCGTTTTGCAGATATCAAGAGCGAATTTGTAAGCAGCGTTTATGATGTATAAGACAGTGTACATTTCAAATGAAAGTCTACTTCGAAGTGTCCTTCCCTTGTAAGTGGGAGCAATGCCGACATTTCAAGATCTTAAAGCGCTTCTCCCACAGCTTTGGTTAATTTTAAGCTCTGCATACGACATTCAGAATTCGCCATCCTTTATTCCGTTTGAAGAACATTCGCGGTCTTTTCGCTTTCAAAATGTCGAAGCTCACATACTAACCTGCGTATGCGAAATGCTTTAGATCTCCTGAAACCATAAGAACCGGTTTCTTCCAAACTTTAATTCTATGGCTCGAAGTCCATAGCAAATTGCTCTGAATTACTAGCGCATAAGTTTCCAGAAAGAATGCAAAAAGATGTTTATCTGCATTATGTTCATCACCACTTCTTCTGCTAGAAAGTTTTGAGTGATTGTTCATCGCTAGCCCAGGTGTTGCACTGATCTCATTGATCTACGTTATCGTCTCAGCTTCGTTTCCAGGTTATGCCCTTCAACTCAATCCCATTTTTTTTTTCAACTAATTCTCACGTCTTTCTTACTACCTATTTCTGCTCGCTGCAGCTTTTCTTTTATCATTTCTTTCTGTAGCGAAGCAGCAAGAAGAGATTTTCATAAGCAAGTTGTTCGTTTTCTGTAAGCTTCTGTTTCATCCTTAGAAGCGTGATAATCACCAATAAAACTTTTTTCTAATCAGTACCTCTACATATCTGTTATAGACTTTCTAACTTTAGATGACGAGGGCTCCGTTACCGACGATGATTTCTTGTACAGTCTTTTCATTGCTCATCAGTGGCTAGTGGACAGTGTTCAGTTGATGACTCAGTTTACCACTGCTTTGCAGGTACACAATTGATATGGTGATTATCACACTGAACTCATCATTAGAGTGTTGAATTTTTCGGTTCTTTTTGGTTGACTGTGCAGTTTTGCCATTAGTAACTACTTTTAAGTTCAAAAAATGAGGATGGGAAGGTGACATGATATAGTAAAGAAAAAATTCTTTACTTTTGGTCGAGTTTCACATCTACAGTTTGAGAGTAAAGCTTTTATATAGGAGGCCAAGAATGTCACTGCTAGAACTCGCTTGAGTTTGGCCGTGGTTTACTGGATACGACGGTTTCCTCATCACTTCGATGGCCATCCACAACTGTGCTCGCTGACGGTTCGATTTCGGGCCCTAGCGGATGATGTTCCGGATGAGACAAGGCAAATGATCGACGTATCCAACCTGTGAGTTTTATGATTAGGTAATTTGTGAAAATAGTAAGTAGACACCAAATTTCAAAACTTCGCTAGTTGCGGCTATAAAAGAAAACGCTTATGACACTATGCCTTTTGGATCACATCTGTCCAAGTTTTGATTGCGTAACACCCAGAACAAGTCTCGTAAGTTTATGCAACTTGAGTTCAGAATTTTGGCGATTTTTGAGTCAATTTTGCTATCATGCGCCTCCAATATATCAGTCTGCTAAACTAACTGTAATGGATAAAATCCTGGAAGAAGAGGCACATAGAAGAAGAGGCCCCTGCTCGGCAGGGCTCAACGCAGGTGGCTTCTAAGCAAGTTGGATATCGTTTTTGGGACAAAAAGCAAAGGGGATATCGTTTTTGTGGGTCCAAAAATAGTTTTTTTTAGTCCATCGTTTCTTTTCTTTAGTCGACTTGGATATTTCGCATAAGCGTCAAAGAGGACTTCGTAAAATTTTGCGAAAGTGATTGGGATTTCGTTTTTTTTTGCATTTGGAAAGCCACCTCGTGCCCAGCCCTGCTCAAAGGTCATTAACACAAGAGTAAAGATATCTCTGTCTTTATATCGCAATGATTTGGTGAAACATTAAGATATTGCAGATTCTTAGTTATGCTTATATCTAAAATGAAAAGGAAGATGCTACAAGTCAAAAAAAAACGTTTCAGGCCATCTTATGCATGGATGAGAGCGCTGTCAGTACGACAACCTGTTGCTCGACAAGTATCGTTGTCTTTCGAGCAGTGGAGTCCTGAAGACATCTCAACGTCGCTGTCACACATTGACTATAAAGTGCTTAGCAGGATTACTGTAGGTTTTGAATCTGAGCGATGTTCTGATTCATATTTGTAATGTTGCCTGTTTGATAATTTCTTGTATACTGATTTTGCAAATCCCCAAATTTTACCTTCATCTGCTACATTAAACCAGCATACTGAAGTGGAAAAAACGTTCTATTTCTTTTCTTTATCCAAAGTGGTTGGATTTTGTTGCAGATTGCCGAGCTGAAGCAATACGTCAAGGACGGGTCACCTGCGAAGACGCCAATGTTGGAGAGGTCGATTTCTGTATTTAATGTTAGTTTTTTTTCCTAATGGTGTGCTATCAATATCCCTCAAAAATTTTAAGAACCTCTCAAACTGGGTACAAATCATGGTATTGAGCAAAACTACGCCAAAGGAGAGAGCTGCCATTGTTACTAAATTTGTCAATGTAGGAAAAGTGAGTAACATTTGCTAGAAATTATTTATTGTCGTTTCTATGGCCTCTTTCAGCATTTACGAAAATTATGCAATTTTAACACTTTAATGGCTGTGATTGGTGGAATTACACATAGTAATATCTCGCGGCTGTCCAAAACTAGTTCACAACTGACACCACAAACGAAAAAGGTAAATGACTAGACTGCTCCTGCAAAAATAAATTCTTCAATCGTTACAGGACCTTAGCCAACTTACAAATCTGTTGTCAATTCAGTCAAACTTTACGGAGTACAGAAAGGCACTTGCATCAATAGGGACACATTTTAGAATTCCGATTATGTGAGTCACATTTTTCTGATTGCTATAATAAAATATAATGAAGTAGACACACTGCTCAGAATGTATATTATATTTGCTATGGTACAATAAGTGTACAAAATAATTCGCACTTTTTTACCCTTCTCTCTTTTTTGATCAATTTCTTGCAGAGGCGTTCATTTGAAGGATCTCGTTGCTGCCACATGTTGCTCTTCGGACATTGAAAAAACCAAAACCATCAGCATTCGAAGGTAATTAAAACTTGATTCTCTTCTTTAGACTGTGGCTTTCTACAAATCACCTCCTCACTTATAAATCGATATACGATATCACTCTTTTCTGATTACAGACTCCATCGTCTCGCTACCTTGCTTTCACATTTCATGATATTCAATCAGCGACAACATAACTTTCCGGAGGCAAACCTGGACCTAATAAACACCTTGAAGGTAAGATTTTATGGATACCTACATCTGGCTGGGAAAAATATCAGATGTGCAAAGGAGCAATGGGACAGCTCGAAGAGCAAATCAAATCCTATACGCGGTGAGCTAAAGTTCCTCATAAATCGTGATCCACGTAAACTTTGAAACCAAAATGTCTGAAGACTTATTACACCAAAATTGGATTCCTTGTCCAACAAGGCTCTCGGATCTACTCAAGTATGCGTCCTCTATTTCTCTTGAAGGTATAGTTGTTGCATCTTTTCTGCTGCTGAAATTCGAGAAACAATTGAGCAACAATTTCGAAAATGATCCTTTCCCGGTGGTTTATGTGGATAATGTGATATTTTCTGATCATCACATATCAGTGGCTGTCCCAGGATTTCGGACTGGGGGGAGAGCAAAATTTTTTTCAAATGAAGGTGCTGGCGTTAGCACGCACTCCGAAGATTTTTTGGGGTGCTTTATAAATTTTTTGCTGGTCCCTAACCCCTAAAATCTTGAAAAAGGGAGTGTGGCTAATGCCACGCCCAGGAAGAATTTTTTCACAAGCTAAATTTGAATTCTTAAAAAATTTTAAAAATTATTCTAATTATTTATAAGAATAAACAACTCACTTGCACATTTTTGTAAGCCATGTATGTAAATTTCCAAAATTTCGCGACCCATTCTCGGGGGGGGGGAGGCCCTTCCCCCTCCCTCCCCCCTCTCGTCCGCCACTGTTACATATGCCGCATGTACTTTTAAAGATTTGTGCTAAATAGTGGACGTCATGCAGGAGGCAGCAAAGGCTTACCGCATTTGCCTCTGGAAGCGCTTGGGGAGCTCCAGATTCCTCGCGCCTCTAATCATTTTTCACACCTCTGATACTTTACAAGTTGAAGAATTGAACGGAAATCTTTTTGGAGGTATCTCACCCCGGATCAATTTGGGATTCTCGCAATTTCTTTCAATCTCAGCTATAATCGATTTCAACTTATTTGGATATTGGGTTCAGGAAATTTTACTACAAAATTCGCAACAGAAGGAACTGATTCTGATGCAGAATAAAGGACGAGTGCAATAATTCTTCAAGGTTTCTGTCTTCGATCGGAATAACTGAGAAAGATTTACATGTTTATGCTTGAGATTCTGGTCTGAAGATTGAATAGACCAATTCATACTTTAGAATCATTTGACGTTGAATGGCTATTTATGAGTCCTTTTTGAACTTGTTATCTATCTTACTTGCTACGAATTTAAAACATAAAAGCTATCTCAAAACTTGCCACGTTTTGAAAAATCAACGATCAATTTGGAATAGGTCATCTATAATTAGAAGTGCGAAGAAGTAATTAGAGGCGCGAGGAAGTCTGAAGTTCCTCAGGTACTTCCATAAGCAGAAGCGGCGAGCCTTTGCTGCCTCCTGCCCGACCGCCCTAAATAGTCACCGTAGTGGAAGATGCGCAGGTTGCGTTTGCTGAATGTGGCCATCAATTTTTGAATTTAGAGCCATAAAAGAAATTGCATAAAGTGAATATTTGCATCGCATGCTGACAAATAGGAGGTTCGTAGATTTTTCTGGGCAAGGTCGACTTCTAAAGTACTCTAATCGTTCTTAGATTGATTATGAACTTTTCGTAGGGTGTATCTTGGATCTCTAAATCTTGACCATCTTGTAGAGCTTGTATTTCTTCACCTAATCCTTTCTTGCATTTTCGATGCTCATCCTGCGAGTTGCATAAAAAGTCATCAGCTTTCCAACCTAATACGGTGTCTCGCTGGAAATTTTGCGCTTTTGTCAAAGGCTGATCATAAATTCAGGATGCAATGTCGTAACATTGCAGGTATCGCTAGACATTCGTTACAACGAAGAGGACATCTATGAGTTGTCGTTACGACGGGAACCGCGCACATTTATGACGGTAATTCAAGTTCCTGAGTTATTTCTAAGTTATTGCTGAGTATCTACCAAAGTTATGGATGTAGTAAAATTTATTTACCATAGTAAGGCAAACAGATTCGTCGGGCTTAGTAGCAAAAGTCGCGAGTGAATTTTTTGCCGAAGACTTTTGCAAAAGAAACTTTGGTAAGTAACCACCAAAACTTGCAGAAAAAGCGACACAGGTATCCATCTACAACAGCTAGTAGCAAAATTGTTTTTCTTGTTCAAAAAACTAATAGTAATCTGGCTCTAAAAAATAATGAATGATTAAGTATTTGAGCTTAGTGTGACAGATGATTGGGTTGGGGTTGTTCTCCAAGCGTAACTTTAATTCGAAAAAATGAGGGAAACAAATAAGGAAGGATGTATACAATTCAAATGCGATTCTCTTCATCTGACACATCCTAGCGAATGCCCATAGCAACTTATCCTCACAGCTCATCTTCTGCTTATACTCTAATGATTTTTCAGTTCGAGCCATCAACACCAGTCGTATTTGCCGAATGGGCTTCGGGTGTATCAGCTACTCTAGATCCAGAAACAGTAAACAAACACGTGACTGCAATGGTCGATGCAGTAAGTCAATTATCTTTCACAAATTGTCGTTTTAATATCTTTGATATAATATATGTGATTGTGATAGTGTAAGAAGAAAGAAAAGTATATTCAGATCTCACTGGATCTCTTAGCACTTTTAGCGATCAAAACTCAGAAAAAAACTCGAACAAGCATTCTTCTCTGACATCTTGTGGCCATGATATGCCAAAATTGCTTTTTGATTAAGAATCTGGTAGAAGCCGCATGAACTTCTTCTTCCTGATTTCATTCAAATATTTAAAGCTGAAGAAAATAACGATTTTCGGAAATTTAAGTCGAAAACCAATGGACCAGCTAATAGAACGCATGAAGGTTCAAAGAAAAGTGCAAATACTAGAGTTTAACGACTGAAAAAAAACACAATGGAAACATTAGACTACGTTTTGGACGCTCATTACTTTTGATCATTTCTTGATGCTTCTTATAAGCATTTTTCCCCGGGATGAATGAGAAGATAACGATCCTCAAATATGAAATTGTTGCCTTTACTATGAGGAGGGGGGGGGGAGGGGTGGCCACACATTTGCTGATATGAGCCGATTTAACGTGAAGTTTTGGAATTTTACCTTTTATACACCTCGTACGCTAATTAACATGCCGGCTGCACCGCAATATTCGAATTTAGTACTTTTGAGATTTTGTTAGACTCAAAAAATTCCTAGATCGTCCAACAAGTTGACCACGATAGATATCCAATGCTGCTTTCAAGGTTTTCAAACACTATGACCACGATAGGGACGGATATATCAGTCAAGCAGAATTTCGACAAATCTCAGGAAATTTTCCATTTATCGATCCATTTGGCGCTATCGATTTGGACAGGTTTGTTCACTGAAATCTGTTTTCTTCTCAGTTTTTAGCGAGTACCTGATTACATCTCATTAACCGACAGCAGAAAGAGTTATAAAAGATGTGCGAATATGAACGATATTTTTTAGAGATGGACAAATATCACGTGAAGAGCTGCGAACTTATTTCGTGAAAGCCAACAATGATTCCGTAGACTTTCGCCTCGGATTCAAGCACAATTTCCACGAGACGACGTTTCTTACGCCAACGACGTGCGGTCATTGCGGTCGTCTGGTTCGTCTATGATGCGATATAGTTAATTGCATTCTAAATTATCTTGCTCTATTTAGCTTTGGGGACTGATACGTCAAGGATGGAAATGCAAGGACTGCGGTCTGGCGGTGCATTGCGACTGTAAAGCAAATGCGGTTGCGGAATGTCGGCGTAGATCGTCATCGATAGTGGAGTGGATCACTCCAAGAAGTGATGGATCCAAGAACAGATTTTCGATGTCCAAGTGGGTGATGTTTAGATTGTTAGCTGCACCCTTCTCAGTTTGTTTGAGATAAAATAGTCGAACCTGAGCTGTAGGTAGATGCAGTGGGGTTCAAAATCTATGGAGTCAGCCTGATAGGACAATCAATAATATTGTTCTTTTGCAACGTTGCTTAATTGCTCATAGAAAGCAAGGATGGGGCAGGATTTAAAAACATGCGTTCAGTGTGTTAAGCCGTTATAAGGCGCCAAAAATTTACTACAATACCGCTCACATTTTTTGAAAAAAAGACGCGGATGTCGCTTTGATGTATGAACATCACAGTCGCGTGGCCATATCTCGCTTCAGAGTGGACGAATTCTGCATCTAAAGCCACCTCGACTCAGCTCGGCGCGGCGCATCTTCTGATGTGTAGAAGTGTCCACGACACAGTAGAAGGTTAGATTCCACGAATCGTTTCAGATTTTTGTTTACGGTAAGTTACTCAGTGTGCTTATTCATTGCACTCACTGGGCAACCTACATCTGAAACGATTTGTGAAATCTGACCTCCTATTGTGTCCAAGTGGACACTTCTACATATCAGAGATGCGCCGCGCCGAGCTGAGTCGAATGGTGGTTTCAGATGCAGAATTCGTCCACTCTGAAGCGAGAAATGGCCACGCGACGGTGAAGTTCATACATGATGCGACATTCGCGTCTTTTTTTTTTCAAAAAATGTGAGCGGTAGTAAATTCAGCGATACCTCTCACGTAGTACTACGTTGTTTCGAAAGTTTTACTCGTTTTTTTTTGTGGATTTAAATAATCATTTCAATGGTTCAATAATTGTTCAATTATAATATTATTCAGTAATAAAAAATTGTTTTCATGGGACTTTAATCGTTCTTTGAACCTATACCTTGAAGCAACAGCGAAACAAATGTGGAAATTTTTTTTTGCTCTATTGCCATCGAATCTACAGCTAAAGGAATCTCTTTTTGAAATATATTATGCTTGCTGAGGAGTTGTGCTACAAAATGCTTATCGAGACATTTAGAAATATTTCAACCAATTTTTAGCATAAGCGTACTATCCCTGCAGTCATTTGGAGCTGCACAAAAATCATAAGCGCAATGTAATTTTGTGAACATGTGTAATGAACTTCTGCTCTATACACTGAGACTAGACAAGAGCACTTACTGCTAAAAATCGAGCAGGTTTTCTCAATTGTCTGTTGCAAACGAAATCAAAAAAGAAAATCAAAAAAGCGTTTTTTCTTCTACCTCTGAGAGAGCGAAAAAAGTGGGTCCTTTCGAATCTTTTCGCAGTTTCTCTGAAAAAGTTCGTTGAAATCCAAGGTCAGCAATATTGCATAGCCGACTAGTTTCTAGACAGTGATCAGTGCTAGTGAAATCTACTACATTCCAAATAATCTTATCGTTTCTCAGAGTAGAGCTTCTTAAAAGAGAATAAGGTGATATTCGCCTAGAGAATCTTTCCTAATGTTGCTTGGTTCCTTAGTATGCATAGGATTGGTACATTTGTAGTTTGTATGGTAATTTCAAAGAAATTTATCCCAAGTTAGATACTTTTGAGACGAGAACCTTTAAAACAACACATTACAAAAAACAAACGATGTGTATATGTCGGAAAGATTAAAGCACAGCTCGCTTCGAAATTCACAGGACTTGAACCAGTCTCCACACTGTAACAAAGTAGCTGCCCAATCAGTCATGTGAACGTTGGATGGTGCAAATCTGATTTGTTTCTAGGAAAAGCTCCCGTCCACGAACGGTTTCCACAATATCATCTTCGCCATCACCGGAACCTGGTCCGCTTCCGGGAAGCAGCCACACAGGAGAGAAGTTAGGATGTCTAAATAAACTTCATCTGCCATCAATTCGAGGAAATAGACCACACTCAGAAAGCACGGAATGCTAGTATGTTTATTTTTCTTTAGAAGTTTGTTTTGCATAGTTATATCATCCCAAAATCTTCTCGCTTGTTTTAGAATTTATCCTCAATAGGACAATGCTCATCTAGAAGTTCTAGCCCCATCCCGACAAAAAAATTACGGACCGCCACTGGTATATAGCAGTGACGGTCCGAGAATTTCCGTCCGTGGGGGGGGGGGCGGCAAGAATTTTTCTTTAGATGAAGGTGCGTGGCGTCACCCACGCACTCCGAATGTTTTTTTTTCGAGATGTCTCTCAGAATTTTTGCGGGTCAATAATGAAATCCAGGAGAAGGCAATGCTAATTTTAATTTCTCAAAAATTCCAGAACTTAAGTTCCAGGATCTCTCTTCTCTAAACCTGGGCATATTGATATATTGTCTTCTGTTATATTATGCCAGAACCAGAATATAATAGAAGACAATCCCAGAAATTATTCTGATTATTCACAGGTATAAACAAGTCCCCCCCCCCTTCTGCCCGCCACTGATAGTAGTAGAGTTGTTTAACGTGAAATAATTGTGAAAGGAATCCAGTGTTTTCTTCTTTTTCTTCCTGTCTTGAAATAATCCTTGTTTCATAGTTACTTTTACATTTTCAAAGTAACGCTGCTTATTTCAGTAAATCCTACAGTTTTTCACCTGACGATGAACGCTGCCTGGCCAGCCTCGCATGCGAGGAAGTGTTCGACGACGACTCGAGCAGTGCCTACGAAAACGGAACCTGAACTGCCATGCGACCCATGGTTTAGACATACTTCTCCGGCAAACGGACTGTCGCCGACTGGCTAAAGCGGCGTCGAGCAATGAGGCAGTCAAGCCCAGGAAATTGAGAAGATCTACCAGATTTCAAAGGAAGCTCAAGACTACGATTTACCAGTGCTTGTGGAGAATTTTGACCTTCTGCCACATCTAATTGATCCACTTGCCTTGCTTTGTTTTCAGCCACGGCTATCTTTCGCCTGATTTGCTGTTTTGAATTTATTTTGCTCACTCAGAAAAGCGCTTCTAGGGTCAAATTGATTGAAAACGCGTTACTAGACGTTTTCAATACGTCTGCATTCCAGCTGTTATATGCTTGTTTGCGCAATTTACTTATACATAACGAAGAAATATTTTCGGGTCGACTTACAAAGGTCATCACACCTGTCTTGTTATAATTCGCCTTCATGAGGTTTGCTGTCATTCATGCCATGAAAATTCAGCAATATCATAATTATTTTGTAAGCAGTTTACTGTTGGGTTAAGATGATCTCGACCTGCAGATTTCCATAAAGTATTTGGTGATGTTCTGTGCTGTTGTTCACTTTTCCTCTAAACTGTCATTCTTCGGTTGATGTAGAGTTCTCGCTCTGCTAACAACACTTGAGCCACGGGCATACCTCAAATTCACTCGCGACGCAACTTGGCAGTACTCCAGTTGCTTAAAACTCGTCGCAATTTTAATGTCAGCACACGGAAAATAGCACATTTTATCGACTCACAAAGATTGAATACACCAAGCATTTGTGGTTTGCGAGTGTTGGGTTTGAAGAGATCTGCCGGATGAACAAATCGCTTGGCAACTAAAATCGCGAAAGGTATGCCCAGGGCGTTACGCACTCAGGCCTTACGCTTAGGAAATTGCCATGTCGCATCAAAACCCGCCTTCAAGGGCATTTTATCAGGTAATGTTTATAATTTTAGGGTGAACGGTAAAAAATGGGACACTTACGAAACTGGAGGTTTCTCAAGAAAGAGAATTGATAAGACATTCCAATTTTGATAGATGTTAGAATATTTTATTCTCTTTCAGATAATACCTAAATAAGTTCATTTACATAATTAATAATTTTTTTACTTGCTGAAATGCAAAGTTAATCACTTCTACAAATTATGAACTTTGAGCAGTATCTGCGCAATGAAACATGTGAAAAAGTACCACTGCTGGAGTGGGTGGTGAGACAGTCACCAAACCCACGACGGCTTGGCGGTCTCAACTTTCAAAGTCAGGAGATATGGCCATTAGCAACTTCAAGAGCAAAAATACGCGTTATTTAATTCTTTGTAGGTGAACGCACATTTTCTAGGTACCATCTGATAGAGCTTTTTACGCTCTATCCATCCACATGCAGATTACCTCAGATTTTATCTATCTTCGGAAAATATAGGGCAAAATACGATTTTTTAGTTTTTTATTGCGCCAAAAATAGCTATTTCTCAGGTTTTTTCGTTTTTTTTTCCTGAAAATGAAAAGAAATCTTAAGCATTTAACATATCTTTTGAAAGAGCATGAAAAGCTCTTTTGAATGGTATGTCAGCTGCTTTACGACTTTACGGCATAGCAGTGCAAGATTGAGAGTTGTTTAAAAAACACTGTCGGAGTTCTTCACGACGCCACGCGTACGGTTATGGGAGAGGAGCGGTAACGCGTTGCCAGAATAATAGGCGAAGGTCGGTTATGTAAGCGACGTTTAAGTTGAAGCCTACTTATTATTGGTGAGGACAAGCAATCTTAAAATGAAAATTTGTCCCATTTTTTACTGTTCACCCTAATAGATTGCCTGGGATGTTCTGCTGAGAGTTTTTGGCGCTAATAGTGTCAGAATCAAGCAGAAAAACAGATGGACAGTATGCGTATTGGACATAGTCATGTCGAAACGCGTCAAGGGCAATCAAGAAGTGGGAGCAGGTATTCAACGTATTAACCACGTCAAAACTTGTCAAGGAGGCAGGATTGGCGGACCGCCCCTTTTTTACCGAAGCGATTTCCTCGTTTCAGAATCCACCTTTTTCGACCGGACTTGAACTGTTGCATCAGTCAGGAGCCATGCTAAGAACCGTCAAAGAGTCTTACGCCCCGAACACCTGTAGGCGGATTCATCAAAGAATATCCTTTCGAAAGGTAACAAAATTTTGCACATCACCAAATAAAGCACACTTCCCATTCATACAAGTAGCACAACGATTTCAATAAGCGTGAGATTGTTCTGTTTCTCCATTCACTTCTGATCAAGATGGAGGCAGATCGTCCACCTGCACCCGCATGGTGTAGGTGGGATATCATTTTCGAGCAGCAAACTGTACTGTTGTAAATTGCAGCTGTGTATCCTGCATGGTAGCGAAGAAAAGAGACAGCCATACACGAGCCGCCACTCGGACTTCCTGCCGCGGCCCCTTGACGAACCTCTCGGCAGTCTCTCGTTTGCTCTGTTATCTTGATGTGCGGCGAAGTATCATCATGAGATTCTCCATTTTCTGTGAACAGACCAACCGCTAACTGTCGAAATCTATCCAAAGCAGAACTATCTGCTGTTATCTCACACTTTTCGAACCCAACGGCGCTCGAGAAATTTTGCACCGGCAATCGCATTTTATTTTTTCGTTCCTGTTTTCCTCCTGAACATAAGCGGAAAAAAAAAGTTTAAAATTCGCAACTGGCGGCCGCTGCCCAAAACTGGAAGCAATTCCGCGAATGGGTGTAATAGATTACTCCATTCTTAGATGCTTCTAAATTGCAACAAGGTGCGAGAATGTCCAAAAAACAAAAATCCAGAAAACAACCTGACTTATTCACGAACTCCCTTTTTCATCGGTTCCTACACCATGGCAGTACTTTGCGCGCGTAATTCTTGGTCAAATTGGTCTCACAATCAGACTGGAGGTCTTGCAAAGCCCTCACGGAGCGATGCTAGTTTCCATGCAAAAGCGCGTACGTAACTTACACAGACTATAACTGGTATATACTCTACTTTCCGGGGTACAAGGCGCACCTTGTATAAGGCGCACCCGCCGCAGCGAACAGTGGCGCGAAAACGCTTTCTAAGTGATTGTTTTCTAAATCTAGAAAGGTTAATACTCTGTGTGCTGTGGTTATCCTTCACTGCGCATAGATCGTGCTTTCAGGTACTTTTTTAAAATCTTCTCAGAATGTGTACTGTAATACCGTTTCTATTGGTGGGATAAAGGTGTTCTCGGTGTTTATTTTTGAATGATTCTTTTTTTTGTTTCGAATGATGTTACCGGTGCTACATTTGTGCTTTCCTTCGTTTCCAGTAATGCTGGTACTGAAACTGTGCTTCCCTGTACAATGATACTATGGTATTTTCAAGATGCTGTTTTTGTTTTGTTCTCGTCATTCTTGAATAAAAGGAGGTAGAGATTTGTTCTGAAACAAATCACTATTGAGAGGAAAATAGCAAAGAACGGGAGCAAAAAGCTACTGCTGGATCAAAGAGGTTGCTGTGCTTGCGCGGCGTCGCGCATCGCGAACGTCACCATACATCAGTCCGCGCGGTGAAAGCTACTGCGCCTTATACCCCGGAAATTAGACTATCTGTCATATAGTATAGCTAATTCGTCAATTTTATGCTGCAAGAGATCTAACACTAACTACTCACCAAGTTCTGTTGACATGTTTATGACAATTGAAAATATGTTAAAATTGGTGGATCGTTCCAAGAATAGCAAATTGGTTATGTGAAACAGAAACGGCATATGCCGGTGATGCATATCAATTCGCTTCTTCACGAGCCTTTCGATCTTCTTCTGCTTTCTTTTTGTCCTTGCGCAGGAAGCGGAAAGTAACAAAGGAGAGCATGAGGTCCTTGTAAGCCTAAAGAGTTTGCAGCTGGGAATTTACACAATTGGACCATTTATGCATAACGTACCTTGATGAAAAATATCGAGATCATGGGTGAAAGCAGCGGAACAAGCGAGATGCAGTACGCTGGGAAAAACTCTTGCCATACCCTAGAAAGCACATCAATTTTTCTTTGGTACTCAATGTTTCAAAAGAATTTGTTCAAGGAGGTTTCAGGCATGGATCACGCTTTATTGTTGCGATTTCATCTTTGGAGATTTTAATGGTTCGAGTGATGAAAAGCAACGGCAAAATAGCTCATAGCAAACACATAAACATAGTACGCGCGATTTCATGTGTTTGAACACATGCAGATAGGAAAAGTATACTCGCTTTCAGATGATTATAAACTAGAGTAGATTTTTACTTTTTTATGAAGCATTCAACTCGTCTCACTCTCAAATAAGCGTCTAGCTCCAGCACTAATACCAATCACAATCGTGACTCCTTGAAGTCAACAGCTAGTGCCGAGCAGGCAAACCTGCTTACAATTATTGCGACATTGATTACGTTTCAAAATCAAGCGCGATGAATAAAGCAGAGCAATCAGCGAAGGCAAAACTTGCATAACGCATCTAGACAAACAAAAAAGAACCTCCTTCTGCTTCTATGAGTAAAGTGATCTTAACTTAGTTAAGCTAAAAACGTTTTTATTGTGAGAAGCAACCAAACAAAACTCGCAAGAAACAGAGCAACATAAGAACTCTGCAAAATGGTTGAGGCTGAAAGAGATTTGTGTCAGGCGACAGATCATATCAAGAAAAGCAACAATTGAAATCATGGAACATCATTGTGGAATATGGGTTCCACAATACAGCCCACTGGGAAAACGGCCCAAATCATCTCGGCACGACCAAAAGCTCTCACAAACAACTTCCAACTTTAGCGATATCTGGTCGCCGGTATAGCACAAGCGACGCGATATCGCTAAAGGGCCTGGCAGACCGACAGCGAATTCATCGCTTCGTGATTTCTGCGAAAAGACAAGTGGCACACGTCAATGCATGCTCGCCTACACCCGCGTCAGCCATGCTAGTTGTCCGACGCAAAGCGTCGCTAGTCGTTTTTGGTAGACCATGCCTAGATCTGCAAATCGCGAATCGCTAGTCTTAACAAATCTAAGTTGCTGTTTTGAAGCGCTTTCTGTAGAGCGCATAGCAGATACCGAAAGAAGATAAAGTAATCAGCGCTTCAAGATGAATTGGTGGTGTACATTTTATTTCAGAAGGCCACGAACACTAAGTATCCTTCGCTTATAAGTAGCACAAATCTGGGAGGATCTTATGTATCGTTTACCGAAAAATTGCGTGATTTTGCTAATCTACTGTTTGTTTCTACTATTACCATTGTTTCGATAAGGTACTTTTGTAAATAACTAAAAATCACTTACAAACTATTCTCGTAAAATGTAGACAACATCGCATTGGCTGCAAGTGGCAGCGCAAATACGAGTGGTAAGAAAGCATCCGCAAAGACAGCGTGAACGAGGGCTTCGTTGGCAACGAAGGTATCGAGTGACATCGTTCCCTGTAATATCTCTTTCATGCAGTTCCCTAGCCATAGATTTGAAGAGTAATGCTGAATTATGTCAAAAAGCAGAGGGAAAATTCACTGTCTGCGAAGAGATAAAATAAGATCATCTGCGGCGCACTCATTTTTCGTTTGATCGGGAGTGAACAATAGTTTTGTCAGACTCTGAATTTTAAGAAAAACTCTTCAAATTTTTGAAAGCGTTCTGGAACTCTTAAATATTATTATGAACGTCTCAAAGATTGTACTTCTAAAAATGTCGAATTTTTTCAACGTTTTTCAAGACTGCCGAATAGGTATGACGCAAGCGGCAAGACTTAGTGGTGGAGTTAGACGGTTGATTTTGAAGCAAATGCGACGAGCAGAATGTCCTAACCAATCCGCTTGCGCCACACCCTTTCTTCGTCAACAGGTTGAACTTCAGGAGTTTCAAAGATAGCAACATTCAATGGAATATTTTTTCGAACCTTCACTTTCAAGCTGGTTTTTTGTTATTTTTGCTAAACGTTATAGAAGTGTTCATCTTTCGTCAATTACCTGCTTCTCCTTGAGTGTATTCATCATGAAATGCGCGGAAATCAGGATAACAATGTAAGAAATCGCATGGGACACGACAGCAATTCCATAGAAATACAAAATGAGCGGATTTTTTGTGTAGTCTTCTCCAGTTAAAGCCAAATGTTTCTGCAACGAGGAAGATTGAAGGATTATGAATTCTACGAAAACCAAATATTATGTATCAAACAAACCCTGTAATCCTCAGCCACAAGAATCACTCCAGAGACATTGTGATGTGTAGCCGGAGTTGTTTGTGCTGTATCAGTGGACTGCGGTTGGTGGTGCAGAAGCTGCTCCGGAATTTTGTACTGCGCATCAAAATCCTGCATCACCTTCGAAGTTTTGTTCAATCTTTCGAAAAGGTCCTAAAAGTAAGTTGGTCATATCTCGATCAATTAAAGTGTCCTAATACCTCGTAAGGTATATTGGAATAATATAGGCAGGCTCCCTCCATGCTGCAAAAGATAAAGACGACCCCGAAAGTGATCAGCAGGTTTCGTTTGTTGAAGTATTGCCCAAGTGCGGTGCTAAACCAAACTTATCACAATTTGGAGTACCAAATATCTAATTTCTTGCTTAGTCTTTTGTAGCTACCAGTGACACAGATGGCAGGGGAGACTCTGGAAGGCATACCTTCGATACATGGAGCTATGTATTCTGGCACCTTCATTTTGAGCGGCATAAGAGAATACAACCTTCACCAAAAGAACTGAAGTTCCGGGGCGAAGCCCTATGTTAAGATCAAAACTACTTCGGAATGAATTGAACGAAGCAAGTTTAGTTAGCAATATTTCGAAAATATCGCAACAAAACCGAGCAACTGCATTTTTAGAATCTTTTTTGTGCTAAAAACGGTGAGGTGAAGATGTGAAGCTCTGGTGATTTATAGTTTTGTTTTGTTAAGGTCGCGCAGAGATCTTCGAGCAGATCCATATGCTCGTCGGCTGTACTTTTCATCTCCTGTTCTTCTGCGTCTCCGCGCGTTGCGCTACCTCGCTCGCCAAATGCGGGGCACGTGGCATTTGGCTCTGGTACCCTTTTCTTCGTTAGAACTTAATCGTAGCAAAGTGTGTATCATGACAAAGCTCTTGACCTTCGATTTTACGCTGACAACGTTGCAAAACCGCATTCTTTGATTCGAACGAGAAATCTAGCTAAACCGTATTTTCTAAAATCTTTTGTTTTTTTCCAGTCTAGCTGTTTTGAAGTTTTCGCGCATTCTATAAGTTTAGTCCATAATATAAGGACGTCGCGGGCCAACTTCACTGATTGTGGTGAAATACTGGCAAAAAGTCGCAAAAAGTGCGTTCTTGTTTATGAGTCTTTATTGGAATTAAGCAACTATTTTATACACGGGGAGCATGCTCAAGATTATGAGCACAACAAAACTGACAACGTGCCAGAAAACAGAAACTAGATGGGAGTAAAAAATTTGAAGGACGCTCTGAAAACTGGATTGGCTTTGATATGCATTCCGGCCTGGTAAAAACAACACTTCGTGTTTTCATAAATAACTTCTTCTCTTGTTTATCTTCTTCTTGCCAATCACCACTCCCGAAACATGGTTGTTTATGAAACAACTACAAAGAACAAATTAGCTTTTCCTCGTCTTTTTCGTGCTGATTTTCTGGTCCTAGAGAAAGCTGCAATTCGGATTGTCGCCAAATGAAAGATTTCAAACTGATTGCGACGTTTGTACCAGGTTAGCAATAGTTTCTTTTGCTTCTATTTTTTTGCATCCTTTCTCTTCTTTAATTTCCTATAAACACTTTCATGAAAGGCAAATATTCGAAGCCTTCCCGTTGGACGCCCCACCTCTGGACCATCAAGTTATGGCTAGGATGGGAGAGCAGTCTCCTTGGCTCGTAACTGGTAGATTCTCAAAAAAAATGCGCCAGTAACTCAAATCTTCTCGTTGCATAATCGAGATAAATCAAGTTGTAAAAAAAACTAAGTAGAGCTCAATAAACCTTTTCCCTTTCTTGGGTTTCAAACCGCTTCCCAAGATTTTTTCAAAAAGCGCAACCATTTCACCATGCTTCCCAATCTCGCCAAAAATCTTGCTACCGTTCTATTGGTAGGCAGTGAAACTTCCTTTTTGAGGTGTTTACCTGTTAACGAGGATCATCGTGCGATAGACGAAGAACAGTGGGAATGACAGCATCCCATACATGTAGAACACTACGGCAATAGATGACGTGAGCTTCTGAAACAGTTTTTTGGCTGCCTTTTCCCTGGTCTAATAAGTAAGGGTTTATCGTGAAAAAAGTCGATGGCTTTGGAAATCTAAATAATGCCCACAAAAAACTTAACAGTTTCTTGGAGTACGTATTCTTGTTATGACCTTTGACACTATGTACTATCATAAAATGCAAACTAATAGTATAATGGCTACTGGAAGGTGCAGAAGCAGTATCAGTTGAGCGAGCGCGAACGCGATGCACGCATATCTTCACTCTTGTAAAGCCTGCGCCTCATGCCTCTGCGGCTAATAGAGCCGCGCTCCCTCCCAAAGATACTGCGTTTGCCATGCAGCAGCCTATCTTCTTCTATTGTTATTAAATAGCTTCATAAAGGCTAGAGAATAAAGCATTGAGCGTTTTCAACACGTTAGAAGGGCATGTGCCTAACGCGTCCTACTTCAAAGTCGAAAAGGCTGCTGTATCCTTGGAAATCTCTGCTGATTTGCGGGATCAGCAGCTTACTACCTAGTTAGAGCTTTTATCTTCCCAGTTTCCTCTAATATCAATTCACCATTGCTGGAAGTAGAGGCCTTGATTAGGTGTGGGAATCTTTTTGCCCGAGGTCGTTTCTGCGAGAATCAGCATAAATACAGACTAGCCTTGATTTCATTCTTCCTGTCGTTCTGTACTCTATAAACTTACGAACAGCAGCGCTAACTACCTAATCTCGCTCGATTTTTTGAAGGATATTCAACAATTTCATTATCTTAAAACATGAGTTATTGCTCTGTAAAACAGTAGTCGTCCCAATCAAGCAAATGAGGTCAAGCCACTAGTTAGGAGGTAGTTGACCCAGGAGAAAAAGTGAAAAAACCGTGCACGGGTGGTTCTAAGTTTGCAGGTCTCCATGGGTCAAAAACGAAGCAATGTTGCCTCTCTATTCACACATTAATTCTACGTCTTTACCAAAACTATATCGAAGTACCCTGTAATAACCAGTTGCGGGCAAGAATGGCTCAAGACTTGAAAACAACTTACATGAGTTATAATAATGTGCAAACGAGATTTTATGCTTCCGAAAAAGTAGAAAATTCCAATTTAGCGTTGTAAAAAAGCTTCGGTTGCGTGGCCCCTTCTTATGAAATGTCGAAGCTACAGGCCAGCTTTAAAATGTTTGGGAAGCAACTTTGGATTGATATGAGAAACAAGCCTATTAGACCCAAAAATGGGAATGCTAACGCCACGCACCTCTATCCAAAAAAGTTTCGTTTCCCTCCCCCTTCCGAAGAAATCCTGGGACCGCCACTGGCACTCACACTTTCATTGAGCATGACTACCTATTGCATTTCATCTAATTCGTCCGTATGCCGCATATGATGCACCAAAAGTGCAATTGCAGCCTACTAGAACATATCCTGGCTCGAGATAAGCCGCTGGAGGAGGGTGGATTAGATCTGTCCATCGGATAGTACAAGATGATTTACAGCTTATCAGTTCATAGCCCTGTTGAGACGATATTCAAAGCTTATCTTCCGATCGTAGCAAACTAAATACGTGTTCCTTGTTGATTATGAATAATGCACACTTGACGAAAATTGGAAGCGATCTTACTTCCTCGTCCATATCGTATGATTTTTTTTGCTTCAATGAGCGGTTAAAGCGAGCTTGTTTGTTACCCTAAACTGGATTTTACAGTTTCGGACTATTAGGCCTCGGTGCTTGGATGTTTCTCCTCCCACCATATTCTTTCTCTAAGAGTATCCAGGGTAGTCTTGAGATGCATAACAATTTTCATGATGTACAGTGAAAATACGCATTGACAATGAAACGAACTATCTTTGTTTTCATTTTCTACATTCTCAAGTGGAGAATAAGCGTAGTGGTATGAGGCGCCGCTATGACCAGATCGGACCCAGGTTCGATCTCCGCCCCTGGGCCAACCAAGCCCTCTACCTTCCGCGGACGGTAAATTGGTAGTAGAGTACTCTTGGAGGATAAAAGCACTGACTTGGTAAACGGCTGGTCCCCGCAAGTCAATGTAATAGGCTGGCACGCATACAACTTCCTCCCGGCTGTGAAGTAGTGTGCGTTCGGCGCATGCCCGCAGAGGGTACTGAAGTCGCCGAATCCTTTATCCTTTATATTCTCAAATGACCTTATGTTTGTGCTACTCAGAAATATTTTTCCACTCGGTGCTGTTGTTCTAACTAGAAAGCCTAGCCGTTTCTGCAAGAAAGCTCACCACAAAATCAGCGTTAAGGATGCTCAGTGGTCCATGAGGTACACGAATGCACATCGGTCCACGAGTTACCATTTGCGGTTGAACAAGTAGGACGCATAAGGAAAGCACAATACCAGCAACAGAGATGTTCGATAGGAAATATCGAAGCTCCTGTAAATGGTGACAAATGCTCGCGAATGGCTAACGGCTGGTAACGGCTTTATAAATACCTGAATAGCTTCGATTTTGTGCGAAGATAGAATAAGCAGTATCCCATTGCAGAAGATAGAGAAACCATTGACTGCGTAGCAGTAGATCTGGAAAAAGGAGAGAAGCATGACAAAGTGAGTAGGCCTCGAGTGAGATATAGGCAGCGCCTCATTAATCTAAGTGCCAAAATCCGATATACAGCACTGAGAGGGTATTATCTTCGGTGACATCACGAGTTGGTTACCCTAACGGAGTTGTAATCAAGTTTGCTGGAGCATACTGATAATTCGAAAGGTGCAATTTGCGGCGTATGAGTGTTAATCAACGATTAGTTGTGAAGCGTCTGCTGAGAGATTCTAGTCATATATTTTCCTTCTCAGGCATCTTATGACCAAAATCATTAACACAAAAGCTTTCCCGACATCATGTTTAGATGTGCAACCATCGTCGAAATTCGCCTACGAATTTACAAAATACGATTTGCAAAGATGCAAAGTTTGGCTCTATAGGCATGCGAACTCTACCATTGCGCCATAGTCTCCGCAGCTATCCACCCGCCCATCCTTTCCCACCTGTACATTCCTTGGCGCCCCGAACTTATAATGTGCAATGGTCATCGTGAGGAACCGTTGATTATAACTTTTTCAGAAGATAATTGATCAGCTAAAATACACGGATCTTGTACAAACGCTTTAAGACCAGCACAATGATATGCATAACGTGGAAACCTCAATTTGGCTGAGGGTCCTTTCCTTTTAAGTAGCACCACATCTTCCCACGATTCCTTTGCTAAAGCGAATTACTAAAAATGGTAAACTGTAGTACTGGAAAATAACTATAGTTGCGTAATCCTACGTTCATTGCATCATACACCATTCAAATGGCATGCCTATCGCTGTTTGCATCACGAGACTAAGGACAGGCTTTCTATAAGAGGCTTACGTTGCCTTTATAAACAGGGTCAAGTAGGAAGGGGAGGAGGAACCATTCGATTACCATTTTGAGAATCTATATATGAAAACTCAATTTCTGTGAATATACTGGCTTAAAGTTCTGAATACAAATTTTTCTGTGTGCACCCAATTGGGCTAAAGCTTTGCACACTTATATTTCGACCCCGAAAAAAAAAACAGGCTATTTGGCGACTCGCTGGGCCATTATAGAATTCATGAACACGTATTGAAGACAGCGTCCAGGCAAGATCCACCCACCCAGATTAGCACATAGTTGTAAAGCGGCCCCATGAGTAACCGATCTGCGTTGGTCCGATCCTTTGTGGCCTCTGAAAAAATATGCGGGCCTGTGATACGTAACACAGACCTCCCCTCGTATCACAAACTTCCCCTAGGGACGTGTGCTCACGCATCGATCGATTATGGAGTGCAACTACACCCATGCAGTTGCAGCTTCTCTCCATTGGTGACTCAGACATTCGCCGTTAACGAGCGCAAGTGAAACGGAATTCGACCCATTGAAAACATGCGGAACACCTCCGTTACTGTTGGTACAATTCGGATATTGGTTCGGGACAAAACCGCCGGAGAAACGCCTGTCGAGCAGTGGTCACCTGCGTTTGGTTTGGGATTTGCCTGCAGCACATTTTCCGATCAAACGCAGGTGAAACGCCGGCTAACTGCAGGTGTCGAAGCGACCATGGGACGTGAATCTAACCGTAGAGCACTTTTCAGCATTGTTCAAATTTTCGGCATACACTCTATACTGAGCAAACAACAGACTAAATCGACAAAAATCTATTCATCTCAGGTTGACTGAACGACAAAAGCAGAACAAACGATAACGTTACTCTCAACAACAAAATTTTACATCACTGAGCAAAAGAGGGAAGGAAAATCAGTATTCCTCAGGCGAGTCTCGGAATTCCGTCTTTTTGATTGTCCCTTCTTGGGTCTTATATCTCTTCTTCCTAAAACTGAAAAAAACGAATTACCTTGCTGAAAAATTGAGATAAACTTACCTGGGGGACATGAGCGTCAGGCGGACTGCATCAAACTCGTATTGGCGTACGTCGGCCTTGAAAACAAACGTGTAACTGAAAATATGAATATTAATATGTGTGTATATACAGGGTGTCCCAAAGAAGTGCACTGTTTGATCTTTCATAACTCTCTTACTATAAGGTCTTCTGTCGAGCTTGAGGTGCCATTCCTTAGAGCTGCCTTCAACTCAGATTTGAAGTATAGAGGTAATCATCGATGACGCATTCGTATTGTAGGATTAAGGTAAGAACTTTGAAAAAGGTTTTGAGTTGTTGAGGGCCATATTTCACCTGTGGATATGTATCAAATGAGCTGAAAACTCTCACACTGGGCTAATAAGAGTGGCTGATTCTGAATATGAAATCAGCACTTCATTATGACGCTTTTTGCTTCAGTTATACCAGATGCATCATGATGACCGGTTGTTCGATGCCCTTCAAAAATTCTATTACACCTAAGCTTATATAGCTTGTAAACAGTCGCTTCATAGAATTGGTTTGCTTGAAACACTACCACACAATTTTCCAGACGTTTGGAACTTTTTCATCAGACAGCCTATTTCGCGGGTGCTATAAACCACAAATTCACACTAGAAATTCTGCAGTAGCGAAAAGAGATTGGAGTCGTCGTTCGTACTAAGAATCTGAGTTCAAACAAGCTTTAAAGAGTGGTACCTGAGGCAGACGCTATACTCTTCGAGGAGTATAGCATGGCGACGATCGATACGCATCAAATACGTGTAAGACCGGTCGCTACGACTGGCGACCGCCCGTCGCCGATATTAGCGTCTGGCGATCGCCAACGCTAATATCGGCGACTGTACTTTACATACCTATTGATCGCAAACAAGTTACCACACGTCAAATCGATACATATCAAACGTGTGGTCGCCAATCGCCAATGTTGGCGATTGCCAGTCGCTAATATCAATGTTTTCCACCTTCCTTTATTTGAACTTTCTTATTTTTTCTAAATTTTTGCTTCGTTTTTTTTCTGTTCTTTTAGTACGTTGACTGTCATTCGCGTCTTAATTCGGATCATTAGGAAATTTTGAAGACTCTAAAGAGCGATAATATATCCTTGAGCAATGTCGTGGTACGCAAATTCTGGTGGTACACTACGCTTTTTCAATGATGAACATGAACAATAAATCTATCCTAATTTCACGCGTATAAGACGCACTTTTTCGAATTTCAAGCGAGCTGCTCAGCCGCTTTACTGTATTCCGGAAAGAAATCTTACATCGCAAAATTCTCTGGAGCAATATACAGCATGTTATAGGGTCCTTTGTTTGTAGAGTCCTTTGGCGTGTCTGGGCTGGTCGATTATGAAAAAAAAAATCCCCCGCGCCTTATACGCGTGAAATTAGGGTAATAATGAATAAAGACTGCATTAAATTAGAAAATTTTGGAAAAATTTAGAATTGGATTAAATTAAGTTTACCTTCATTTGCTAACGAAGGTAAACTCAATTTTTTCAAATTCAAGATCACAAATTGTGAAACTGCTGGCGCATTTTGCATAAAAATTTTAAGTACTCACCATTGCCTGCAATAGTGGTTTGCGAATACAAATCTTCTGACTGATTTTTTTATAATGCTGTCAACAAGAATGTCATGTGTGGACTTGGACTTGCATGCAGGACTTGCATGCAGCTCCATTCCTGAACAGGTCCATCATTAGAAAACCGTGTTCTACCGCCAGAATTTGCATAACGACATTGCCTAAGAATACATCATCAGACTCTTTAGAGTCTTCAAAATCTCCTAATGATCCGAATTACAGACGCGAGTGACAATCAACGTACTAAAAGAATGGGAAAACGAAGCAAAAAATTAGAAAAAAAATAAGAAAGTTCAAAAAAGGAAGGTGAAAAACTTTAATATTGGCGACTGGCAATCACCAATATTGGCTATTGGAGGTCGCCAGTTGTAGCGACTGGCGATCGCTAATCGTAGCGATTGGCGATCGCCAGTTTTCGGCGACTACACGTTTGATATGTATCGATTTGACGTGTGGAAACTTGTTTGCGGTCAATAGGTATGTAAAGTACAGTCGCCGATATGAGCGATTGGCGATTGCCCGTCGCCATGCTGTACTCCTCGAAGAGTATAGCGGCTAAAGATTGGCTAAAGATTCTATAACTAATTTTACCAAGGATAAGATAAGCTGACAGCCAGTCACAATAAAGATTTGTTGGATAGATAGCTTGAGTCAGCATCATTTGACTTACCTAAGCTGCATTTCATATCGGGGTAGTGGCGTACTGTTAGACTACCAATTCAAAAAGTACTCCCTTGGCAACAGGAATGTGAAGGTTTGCTGAAATTGGAACTTTTCATCAAAAGAAAACAGAATATAACACTTTTCAAAGTATCTTACAGGAAGTCTTCATTCCCGACATGATAGGTACAGTTTCGTAGATTCTACCGCAGTTTTGCGTCAATCGCTCAGACAATCACAGGCTCTCAGCGGGCCCCACCAAAAGCGTCGTTGCCTTATCGCAGCCACTGTCGCTTCCCGCTGAGAGCTTTGTCGGAGCTTTGTCGGAGCTTGTCGGAGCGGGCTCGCTGCCCGCTGAGCCCGCTCCAACAAGCTCCGACAAAACTCCGACAAAGCTTTCAGCGGGAAGCGACAGTGAGGCGATGAGGCCACCGCGCTTTTGGTGGGTCTAGGCGGTGGCTTTGTGGCTGCCGGCTGAGAGCATTTGATTGTCTGAGCGTAAAAAGGAAGCGGAATTCGTACCAAATTTCGTAGTAACCGAGCTTGAAACCATAATAATTGATGCAAAATCACTGCTGATGACAACGAATGAGTCGAAGAACAAGAACAGTAACATGAAAATTCGTACTTGGTGATGTAAAGCGCTTGATTGCATCTGATGCAATAACTACGCATTGGTACATTGGCGATAGCCGTACCCTTATTAACATTCAACATTAAACCGTTAGCCCTAAGGCATACCTCTCGCGATTTCGCGTAATTGCCACATCCTCGCGACTTGGCGATTGGCCAGATGTCTAGAAATTGAGCATGCGAGGCTCTCAGGTGCATGGGTGCATAGATTCCGTAAATTGTAACAAACACAGCAAGTCTGGCCTAAGCAAAGTGCGTTTATGACCAGCTATGGAGAGTCGTTGCAGTGCCAAATCGCGCGGCGACTAAAATCGCGTGAGATATGCCTTAGGCCTTAGGAGGGCAATTTCTGCAACAACAAGCTAAACTTGAGCATGAGCATCTTTTAACCATAGCGCTGCAAACAAGATTAGCGTAAAAGTCACAATGTAACAAATAACATATTTTCGGGTTGAGGCAGATATAGTCTGATCATTTCATATGATCGAGTGTGTCATTGCAAACAACGTCCATTTTTGGCATCCTCATCTTGGACTTGCAATCTCATACAAAAGACTGACCGATTATTATCGGGCACACCATTTTGTGTTGATAGTGATAAAAAGAAAAAACTTGGGAAACACATCAAAAGCACTTAGTTGAAAGGTGGTCTGTTCCAATAATCTAGGATTAGGACGCCAAAGGCAATGACATACCCGATGATATGAAATGATTCCACTGTAACAAATTCGAAATACTATGAACGAGATCTCTAATTCGAGAATATAGAAACTATACCGGAGGTGATCTATGTAGTTGTTCCATATTCTTCAGTTTCCTATCAGCTGAAAGCGATTAACCCATTGGGATCCAAAAACCAGAAAAAAAGAGACTATCACAGTTTTTCTCAAAAATGCGTTTACATGATCGCATGATCGAGGTAAATAGTGAGTATCTTCTGCATCTAAGGGGAACAAAACTAATCCCAGCGACTGATTACGGGATGGACTCAATTCTAAAGCATTAAGTAAAAACTGGCAAGAGACACTAAAGTGACACTATCACAGAACCAAAATGAAATAAAGGCATTGAAATGCATAGAGAAAGAGACATAAGTCATTGTTCCAACACTGGAATAAGAGGGTGGAGCCAGCTACCGCGAGTGCATGCAGAAATGAAATTGAGCGTAACCTGAAATAGACTCCCTTCAATACCCGTTGGTACTCGTCAAGCAGACGTCCGGTTAAACGTGAACGATTTATAAATCCGATCGATAGAACCATTTTGCCCCGAAACATATCGGAACAATCCCGACCAACTGCCGGTGGGGTCGGATCAACGCCAAGAGGAAATTTGTTTCGAAACAATACGAAAGTGGGCGGATCTCTCTGTGATCGTCAACGGCGAATGTCTGAGGAGAGGAGGGGATGAACAACCCAAAACTCGTCCGCGCCTTCAAAACAAAGACAGGAATTGGTTTTTTGAGGGTTTTGGACAATTTGAACTTTATAACTGTAATCAGGGCCACGGAGAGACCCAAAAATGACAAAAACCTGAGAGGCGGGATTTTGCCTGAACGCTGCCTCTAACCAGTTATAAAAGATTTCCACGGTGTGTGAATAAAGCGGTAGAGCTATTTTGGTGGAGCTGTTACAGCCATCGCAAAGCAGTATATGGACATGATTGGAGGGGGAAGAGGGGCTGGCAGCGTGAGATCAAGAAGACAGCAAAAAGTTGGGGAAGAAGCTGACGTGAGTAGAGGGTGGAGTGGTGGGAAGAAGGAGGATAACATTTATTCTGCTAGCGTAAGGAGGTTGAACGCGTGGTAGGCAGCAAAGAGAAGTTGGACAGAATTTTGCTTTTGTGCGGAACACTGAAGCCGTTTCCTGGGCGAGGCAGGGGATGCCATCTAGTCATCTTCTGTTGAAGATGTCATCTAGTTGTCTCCTGTTGCAAAGCTTTGAAATAGTAAAATAAGAAACTATCCTGGATCTGGTGAGAGTTCTTCATCAAAGCAGCGCAGGTCTATTGATAGCCTTACCTGTATCACTGGGACGCTGATGAAATCCAGAAATACTTGCAGTGATTAGATTCTATTTCTCGCGATTGTAAAATTACCGCCATGCGATTGTGTCCATCTGAAACTTCGATCAGAAGATTTTGGTATTTACTAACGTCCGTCAAAACTTGTGTATTCAATTATTTTCTATCGAAAAATACATCTGTTTCGAGTGCCGGCTATTTTTGGGTCACCATAATGATAAATTTATTCGTGAAAAATTCTTCCGAGACGCCCGCCTCTTTTTTGTATTGGCTTCCTTGCCTCTTTTTTGGGTCTCAAGACAGAAGTTTGCGAGAAATCTGGATTCATCGTAACACGTTTCAAACCAAGTGTGGGTAACGTGACCTGTCACAGTCCTCGGTCCGCCTCCACAAAAGATTTCCTGAGTATGCCACTGATGAGAACGTATGTTCAACAAGTGAACTTGCTTGTTCTCTGAAATTTGTACTATGTAGTGGGTTGATGCAATAATGTTTGCTCCTTATGATAATACGGCGAAATAAATGGAATAAAAAATGCAAAAGCCTATTATGACATCGAAGCATTCGCCCAAGATTGATCAACTTGAAGTTTGGAGCAAAAGCCTAAACCATTTAGAAGTTTAAAATCGTATTTGGTCCGAAGAAATTTTTCAAAGTTCCAACTAAAATATTACTTCGCAATCTTTAACGCGGTTGAAAAGTTTTGCTATCACATAAAACAGTAATCAAAGGGGGAGACGAATACATGTGACTGCTTCTGTGCTACCATTATGAGACGCTCAGACTGCGCACATCACGTCTGTTGTTCTGCGCAAGTAAGTAATTTCGATTTTGCTTTTGTTTTTTTTCTCTCACTAAGTAAGACAGGATAAGCAAGGTTTGGCAGAAGATTGCATTTCACTGCAAACGAAGTCCTCCATGACACCAAAGAATTGTTCGTGGTGTTTATATTAGGTTGTTCCGAACGTAGTGACCTCTTCGGATAAGTAAAAAAGAATCTCTTTCTTAGCGGACTCAGGGTACCATTCGATAGAGCAAAGCAAGCTCTAAAATGATCATTAAAGATCCACCTAGCTCTCAGCTCAGGTCAAAGTATGGAGCCAGAACCGAAAAATTTTGTCACCAGAAAATCAATTTTTGCGAAGAACACTGTTACAAGACTCCGATTTGTGGTCATACAAAAGATACTCATGTTCTCATAAAAGCATTTGCAATGTTTTCTTGCGAGAAAAAAGGAAATCCAAATTTGATAGACTCTGCCACTAGCTCCTCACGTATGCGAGTATACTGCAAGCCTTAGTAGGTATAAACTCAGAATTGTATCTTTATCTTTGTTTGTGCTCTTATAATCAAGAAAACTTTACATGCATATCGAAAAAAATTGCATTTTGCATGTTCAGACTATTTTTCCTTCTTGATTTCGAGATGAGGAAAAAACCCAGCACATATTTGAGCCTCCGGAACGTATATGGGTAAAGATATGGGCTCCGGAACGAAAACGGCAACCGTCTCGCTGGGCTTCTCTCCGCCGCACGACTCTTCCATGGAAATTCCATCTTCGTGAAGAAAGAACATCGCCGGTGGACATCCGCCCAACGGAACGACTCACGCGGAGATCGACCACATTCTCACCAACGAAGGTGGAGCTTGCTCGATGTCTCAGTAGTTCCTTCTGCAGTGGCTCCGATCACCGCCTCCTTCGAGCGAAGATACGACTCAGCCGAAGGCTGGAAAAGAAAGTCTGTCATAGTGCCGCGAGAAGGAAGGAAGTCGTTTATGACGGGAACAGGCTGGAGGAGCTCATGTCAAGTTGTGACTGGCCCATCGAGGAGGACCCGACGTACGACTACGACCGGCTTCTGAAAGGATTGCGAGCCTGCGGAGAATGTGCCTCAGTGACTTCTGAGAAGAACTTGGAACGTATTTCGAAGACCACCAAGGAATTGCTCGAAAGAAGAAGATTTCTGAGGCAGGATCCGAATGCAACCCATCTCGAGCGACTGATAGCCAACACCAGTTGCAGAACAGCTATGCAGGAGGATCTCAGGAAGTACAGGCAAGCCAAGATACTGGAAGCAGCCGAAGGAAGACGAAGTCTTAAGAAATGCCGAAGGGAACTCTGTGAATATCACGTACCGCTGGCTGCACTATTGAACGAAGACGGGACTCCGACTTCTTCCCGATACAAGATGGAATCTATCGCGAAGAACTTCTATACCAACCTCTTCCGCTCATCAACACCCGTGCCGATGCCCGTTGTTCCCACTGGAGAAGTACCACTACGAATTCTACCTGCTGAAGTGCGCACGGCGATTCAGACCATGAAGACATCCGCGGCTCCAGGACCAGACCACCTTTCTGTCGAATTTCTGCGAGCCGGAGGACAACATCTACACGAGATTCTCGCGTCGCACCTGACATCTTACCTTTAGAAGGAGAGGATTCCCGACCAATGGAGAACGTCAAGAACCGTCCTTCTTTTTAAGAATGGTGAACGGGAAGATCTTCGAAATTACCGTCCAATATGCCTGCTGAGTGTGCTGTACAAGCTCTTCACGAAGATTATCCTCGCACGCATATCTAGGACACTGGATGAAGCCCAACCTCAAGAACAAGCTGGATTTCGCAAAGGATTCAGCTGCATGGACCACATCCAGACGGTTTCGAGGGTCATAGAAGTCTGCCGGGAGTACCGACTGCCTCTCGTCCTAACCTTCGTCGACTACGAGAAAGCCTTTGACAGCGTCGAAACCAACGCCATCCTGTCTGCGCTAGTCGATCAAGGAGTGGAACCAGCTTACCTGAGGACACTAGCCGACTGCTACAAGGACTGTGCAACAACGATGCAGCTATTCCATCGCCCCCTAATCATTCCAATTGGGAAGGGGGTTCGACAAGGCGACACTATTTCGCCGAAGCTGTTCACCGCGGCCTTGCAGTGGGTGATGAAGTCACTAGACTGGGAAGAGAGAGGCACACGAGTTGATGAGAGATTCCTATCCAACCTTCGTTTTGCGGATGACATCGTCCTTTTCTCGAGCAGTATCACTGAAGCAGAGGCGATGCTGAAGGAACTAAACGAAGTAGGGAAGAAGCTCGGACTGCGAATAAATCGGAAGAAGACCCAGTTCATGAAGAACGCCCTTTGCGAAGATGCAGAAATGGAATTGGAAGGCACCCCTATTATGGAGACGTCTTCTTACGTGTATCTCGGACGTTCGATGAACATGGAGAACGACTTGAGGGAAGAACTTAACAGGAGAAGAAGAGCAGCCTGGGCCGCCTTCGGGCCTCTGAAGGAAGCCACCGACCAACTGACGGACCCGGAGCTTCGTGGAGCCACCTGTTTGACTCAACCGTTCTCCCAGCGCTCTGCTACGCAGCTGAGACTTGGGCCGACACCGTAGCCACGCCGAAAGAGCGCTCTGTGGGTGGTCCTTTAAGGACCACCCACAGAGCGCTCGAGCGCAGTCTTCTGAAGATGACCCGACACAAGCAACATCTAGTCGGACTTCGCAGCACGGATATGAGAAGAATGTCCCGTCTTCGTGACCCAGCGGAATACGTTGCGAAAGCGAAACACCGATGGGCCGGTCACATAATGAGAAGAACGGACGATAGATGGACACTAAGAACATCTGAGTGGATTCCTCGCGAAGCCAAACGTCCTCGAGGAAGACCACCAACGAGATGGGCAGACGTGTTCGTGGAACGGATGGACCAGCTGAGAAATCAGCTGGATACGATTCTCGCCCCTGGAACTCGTGGACGCAGCCACCGACGACGACCAAGAAGATCGTGGATGTCCGAAGTGAGGGACAGGGATCAATGGCACCTTCTGTACTGGGGCCCGCACGTCACGTGAGGAACGGGCCATCTAAGTATCTAAGTAAGTAAGTATATTTGAGCCAGCGCGTCCCCTCTGCTTCGCAGGGGCTCTCGCTGGTCATCATGGTTACGGTCCAGCACCGTCCCAAGATACTACCGACTGACTTGACTCCCATTTTCCGACACCTCCTTTCATATGAGACCGCCGTATGCTTCGACGCAGTGTAAATCATTCCTTACCGATTTTCGTGGCAGACAGGCAGAGATGTTCAAGCGCATTATTATACAGTTTACTATGTGTCTACAGTACGGTGACCAAGCTGGAAGTCCGTAAGAACATTCTGGAGGAACATCAGATTTTTGGAGCACTTGAGAAATTTTAGTTTTTCTCCAAACTTTATAAAAATTACAATTTAGGTGGATCTTTAGTGGTCAATATGTAGAGCTTAATTTTCTCTGAGTGATACCCCAAGTTTGCTAAGAAAACAAAAATAGCTTGATTTGTTAAGAAATGGGCTTTACTTTTTGAACAACATGCTAGATGTGCAATTTACAATTATGCGCAACGAATGATGAGTCGACGATAAAGAAGAAAGGCAAGGAAGTAAGAATAATTAGCGAACAGCTAGAAACACGATTTTCATAACATTCAGGGAAGTTGCACAAGGTAAGAAAAAACATAAGCATAGCTTGAGTGCGTGCGTTGTACTAGAACTCCAAAATCGCTTAGCCAACGTGACAAACTTTCGCGCTGGTGAAGTGATGTGGACCTTAAAATTGTTCGAGCTGCTAGGGTTTGTTCTATCTACCAGATTCTTCTCTGGTTATCTTGAAGCGAGGGGGGGGGGTTTCCTCTTTGGTTTTTCGTGTAAATGCAATGTCCAGCCTTTGAAAGCGCCAATATTATTGGCCCTGGGTGAAGATGCTTGAGATTAAAGAAATGAGAATAGTCATGCTCCAAACGATCACCTAAGTAGATTGTGAACGTGGTACGAAACCATGGGGATGCGAGCGTCATCCTGCCAATTTTCGTCCATATTGGAACAAGGTGTAGTTGTGGGATGCGACGGATTTGCGATATGGCCTATCGAAGGCAGTTTCCGGGCAAAACGATCTGAGAATTTCCGCTTATTTAGGGTTACCCATCTTACCCATCTAGATATTTCCAAAACTGTAACCTGAGCGCGAAATTGTTGAAAACAGGCTTTTCCGAAGCCGTCAGGATCTAATTCGGAAGCGTGGAGCGCCCGCTAAGTTTGAGCCGCTATGTCGTAGTGGGACAACCCATGGCCATAACTGTGTAGACCTGCGTACTCTAGCACTGATGAAAGGGATGAAGCAGAGGCGGCCTTAACACCCGAGTCCGAGACTTCAAGCTCTGTAGACTCTGTTTTTCGCTCGTCGTTTTAGTGAACGCTTACCTCGGGGGGAGGGGGTACGTAACATTATTATTCCCTCCCCCTTTCCTTTCCCCACCCTTTTCTGGACGCTGCACTTGAGATCGCAGAAAGAGTACAAAAGGTTCGACTATACAGGCGTCTCAAAAAGACTTGCCTACCGTTTGATTGTTGATTGCTCTCTTGTCATGAAGTCTTTCGAGGAAGTTTAGGTACTATTTCGTAGAGCCAGCTTTAACTTAGATTTTACAGTATCGAGTCGAATCACCGATCACTCGTTCCTACTGTAAGATTACGGTGGGAACTTTCAGCATATAGCGGCAGTGTGTAATTGGCAGTGCGAGAGAAACCTTCCGAAAAATTTGGAGAGTGTGTAAGAATGTTTTTACGCGTACTGATTTCATTACACAAATTTTTAGTAGCTTTAAAAATGATCTAATTTGCGACGAGCATTCAAAAACCGGTTCTTATGGTATATCTGGCATAACTTCTACAAGAAGAATTAGCCTGAAGTGCTAAATTCATATTTGGAATCAGCGACTCTGATTCCTAGTGTGAGAATTTTCAGCTCATTCGACTCCTTTTCCTCAAAGAAATCTCAATTAAAATATTCCTCCAAAGTCCTAGCTCAATCCCACATTACTAATGAGTGATCCGTGATACGCTCCATACTGTAAACCTAACTTGAAGCCAGCCAGCTCCACAAAATGGTACCTAAAGCTTTTCAAGAGACTTCGTGACAAGAGAGTTATCAAATAAACAGTAGCACATTTTTTTGGGACACCCTGTAGATGGTTTTGTTTTCACGAAATGTTAGTACCGCAATCGTTATTGTTTAAAATGCGCATTAAAGAGTGGCGTATTCGTGGCGTATCCATTGGAGTGCGCTACAAAAACAAAGTGGCAGGTAATTCGGTATCGAGAGCGCAGCCGTGCTCACGATGGAGTGGTTCGGCCGGGCAGGAACCGGCGGAGGGCGAAGAATGCGCCTCTGCGATAGAGGCGGGGGGGGGGGACGCGTTCGACGGGGAGTGCACGACGAGGCCGCTGCTGTTGCTGCGAGTGAATCAGTCGTCGAGCGAGGAATGGTCGCCTGACCGCAGCCAGCCATGGAAAAGAGGCTGAAGCTGGTCGTCGTCGGCGACAGCTACGTCGGCAAAACCACGTACGTTTTCTCTCAACATCCACTAGCGTACTTAACAGGCTTTTTCTCAATTTCTGCTCACTCCTAGCCTCTTTTTAACTCTGACGAAAATTGTTTTTTTTGTGCACATTTTTCTAGTTTTTAAACCACGCAGCAGTAACGGAGTCCCATATAGCAAATCTGCCTATCTGATTTCTAAGCACGTTTTCTAATGACTTACGATGCGAAGACGAATGGATGTGATCTGCCAGGAATGCAAAAAGTGTAGAACTTAAGTCGATGACGATTCAAAAATTTTTTTGATTGCTTAACACGAATTTCAAAAAACTCTCTGTCTTTTGTCTTTGTCGTCTTTTTCATGAACGTCGTGTCTTTTCTGTATGTTTTTTATGAATGGGCTCTCTATTATTCGATTTTTTTCTCGCTATCTCAAATCTTCTATGGCACGTTCATGCAAAAAAAATTGAAACCAATCTCTCGCAATGAGTAGTATCAATTTACCCTGTTCGTTTTCAAATAAATCTTGAGTCTCCTCATCCTTCTTTGCCTCGATCAAAAACCGCCTGCCACTAAGATCTTTTGTTCAGATGTTCATTTTTTCTGCAGTTATCAGTGTTAGTAATTCTTCGAAATGATGCCTAGTCATAAAGTGATTAACTGGCATGACATGTTTCTTGTCTTCTTTTGACTTAGATTCTACCAGTGATATTGAGGCTGTATAATTACTACTTTGTACTCTAGCACTGGTAACTGGCTTGATTGTGAACAAAGTTTAGGTTGTTGATTGTTGATTGATTCTGGGTTTGCCAAATAAGAGAGCAAAAATCGAACTAATCTAAAATGTTTTGATACACTCTCATTGGACTTGAGTCTATCAAACATTACAAAACTTAGAAATGGTCAAGATAAGCAATAAATTAAGTTAAGAAATTTGAGATAGCGCTGCTTCGTAATCATGCCTTCGTGCTACCTAGTGGAAACAGTTCCTTATCTCGGTTTCCTTGCCTGCCAAAAGACTCACTCAAAACGTTAGGCCAGAAAGTAGGAAGCAAATGCCATATCATTAGTTCCGAATGACCATGGTTTTGCGAAAAGAAACGCTCGTAGAAACCAGTAATTCCGACAAGCATTCAGAAGAATTATTGCTCAGATATAATAGTACATGTAAAACATTCTGAAGTTATGTTCATACTTTACTGTTCTTGTATGTTCTTGCAATGAACAATATTTAAGCGTAAAAATTGGCCATGGGGCGCAAAATGTGAAAATAAGCGTTTTATAGTTATTCAATTTCGGTAGTAAATGCAATTTAAAAAATAGTATGAATTGATTGAGCCGTGGTATAGTCAAAGATATAGCAAAAATGTCATTATGACTATACTTACTTTACCATCTTAGCTCACCTCAAAATTTGATATCAAGTTGGCGGATAATTTCTGTTCACTGTTTTAGTTTATTCTGGAAAGTTTAAAAACTTTTTGTAGTGTCCAAATTTGCATCATATGTAGGGCACAGCGGAGTCTACATGATTGTTGCCGCAAATGCACATATGACCAAAAAGTTTATGGCAATTTGGTAAACATACCCAAATTTTCAGTAATTTGTGATTTGGTTTGATTTATCCGCGCTAATGCTGTCAGTTTTACAGACATGGCAATTTCTTCCGCGTAAATGTTGTCAGCACCGCAGGGGCACTACAATAACCTTTAGATCCGCTAAAACTAGACACGTGAAAAATCTGCAATGTCTGCTGAGCGATTCGCTCAAAATCTGATTTCCAAATCTGACTTCCGAGAAATCAACTCTATGCTCTATGAAATGTTGCTTGACTACGTCGCATGTGTGAGAAGGATCGCATTTCAGCCTATTGTTTGCGTATGCGGAAAAGCAGTTCCGAAGTGTTTACGCGACGACTGTGTTCGATAACTGGTCAATTACTGTGAATATTGAACATCGGAATTACACTGTGAATCTATTCGACACCGCCGGACAGGTGAGTGAGTGTGTTCTGATTCGTCTTTTTACGATAAACGTCTAGGAAACGATGCTTTCGAACGTTTTGAGTGTAGCGAGCACGCTGCGGGGTTTTTGTTGTTCCTTATACCTCTTTCATTTCCAGCTATGCATAGCTTGCTCATGTCAAAGACGATTATTGCCTGTTGCTTCTCCGTGTACCAGTTTCCATTCCAACCTCTTTCTCTCCATAATCTGCCGATAATGCTTCGTGGGAAACACACAATTATTATCCGCCACGAACTTCCTGTTTTCCAACTTATTTCCCTTACTTCATTCATTTTTTATGATGAACTAATCTGCAATAAAAAAACTCATATTCGGAAACTTTAGTGCCGGTGGTTCCAACACTAAAAGCCTGTCTTTTTGAGGCCCCCAAAATTTCAAACCACCAGAAACTTCTTTTCCTGGTGGTCCACAGATCCTACGGTGAAGCTCATTCCCATTCAAAAACTCCAGAAATGGGCATAGTAAATGTATTATATAGTACATCGATCTTCGAAAATAAAGGCAAATCATTTATTGCCACATGCGACAGAACATTTCATTATTTATCGTTTAGGATTCGTTGTCGCAAATTCCATTAGTCTGCACCAATTTCTTTTTCATTTTTGCACCAATTCGTTTGAAAAAAGTGAGCAAATATGTTCCACCCACTTAGAGTTTCACATGTCTATTTACTTAGTGTCACAATCTTTATTGCGCGGTTGTATTTGAGTAAAAAAAAAACGAGAAACTCGACTATGATTGCCTGCGAAAGCACTGACTTGCAAGGGTCAGAGGTGAGAGGCTAACTTTACTTTGCCTTCCTAATATTTCTGCTGTGACCGATGCCTTAGCACTTTAAATATTAAAATAGATTTTTTCCATAAGTCTGATCTGATCTTGTTAGAATCGTTCGTTAAGTAATAGCTGGCTACAATATAGCGATTGAAAATTTCCGTACTCATCTCTGCGCTACTACAAGCGGTTTAACCAGCCCTCTCATTTTTTGGTTCTTCGGCGATTACGACTCTCAACTTCGGTGTAAATATTCCATTTGCGCGTATGTATACAGGTTGTAGATCAGGTCAGATTTAAAATGTGCATACTTATCGTTGACATTAAAACTCTGTTTGAGTATACTTTACACTTCGTTGGTGGTTCCACTTACCTGGTTTTCGCCGCGAGGTTTGGCACACATCATCTCAAACAATTTTTTGTTCAAGTCAAGAAAAAAATGCCATATTGACAGCAGAGGATAAAGGTTGAGTAAAGGAATAGAGCAGGATCTTGGCCCTAAAAAATTTTGTTGAGAGTCAGAATTTGCTTGTTGCCTTACCAACTTCTAGATAAAAGGTGATATAGACTGCTCAACAGTAGTAATAATTTCTGTTGCATTCAACTTGGTCGGGAGAGCTTTATTTCTTACAAGGGAAGGATACTCAATCGCAATGACTACTGGATGAGCGGTGTATACCGCGTACACCGTCCCTAGACGGTGATCTCTAAACTGCACTCCATACCTGCTATGACGTCATTCTGGAAGAGCTATAAAGGATTCTTGGTGCTGCATGGGCATTCAAGTACTAGGCTTGACTGGTCAACTGGTGCAGTGGATAGTGGCTTGGACTGCTGAGCTTGATGCGTGGGTTCGATTCCCCTCGAACGCTGACGGTTTTACGTTTTTGCAAAATCCTTCCTAGCTTTTCCAGAAACGTCATAGCGGATATGGAGTGTGCTTTAGAGATTACGCAGTATACACCGCTTATCCAATCGCCACTGCGATCGAGTATCCTTCCCTTGTTAGAACTCTCAATCCGGAACCACCTACGATAGCCCTTCGATTTCCTTAGAGACAATCTCCACCCTGAATCACTATCTTCGTCTTAGGTCTTGATTGAATATCGTGAGCTATGAGATAAAATTATGATATTCTAAACGGTCTTGTAAGAAAAGAACACCGTATCGGATAAGCAACTCGCAAAGTTCTAAATATCCCTCTTTAAAAGCCAAAGCCGTTCTCATTTGCGGAATGAGTTTTGGAAAAGTTAGAGATCTTAAAAGTTTTCCTCGTAAACGTTTGAAAATTCTTCACATTCCTGATAAATGTGCTTTCTCTCTATAGCCGATATTCCCAATTCCTTTTTAATTAGGAAATTTTGGCCAGTCTTTGATGCATCATTTTTATTTGACTCCAATGAAAATGTGTAAAAATTTTAAACTAATCAGGACTAATATTACGACAAGTTCCGCTTTCTTGTTTTTCTGAAACGGAGTTTTCATTTATAGACTCTCTCCAGGACTTCTCAGCATGAAAAGGGGCATATAAGGTTTTGCAAAATTTTTCAACTGTCAAATTGATCCAATATTTCATGTACGATACGTTTACAGTTTCGAACGCCCACATTTTTCTTTAAAGGCAGTGTCCCACCAAAGTTGAAGTCGCGGGGATCTTTACATATTCTACTATAGGGACCTCTAGATAGGCCATTGCAACAAGTCCCACTCAATTTGACCCCCTCTACGCTGAGAAAAATTCGCTCAAAGTGGTACGCGGAGAGCCAGTTGGTACGCGCGGACGACTCCTTCGGTCTCCCCCCTTACGCGTTTAAACATGTCCCTCCACTTGGCATCCACCTCCCCTCTATTGCTGCCACTGTGGCGGGGCTGAAGTTGGAAGGTACAACTCGTCCACCTTGCTTCCGCGGGGCCTCCAGAAAACGGGGTTTTTGGGAACTTCGTGCGATTTTAAGCCCATACAGTGCTATACAGGGTCCGACAGGCTTGCAAAATGCAAAAATTTCGGCAACTAAATTTTGGTGAGACACTGCCTTTAAAGAGTCGTTGCGCAGATACAATCAGCAGATCAAAAATCAGCATATCATGATGTTTTGGTGATAAATATCTCCTCTCGGTTTACCATAGCGTCTTGGTATCCTTCGTTTGGGTGTTTTGCCCCAAGAGATGAAGAACATAGGTGAAGTAGAGTTCTTAACTAGATGACACTATTTCTATTCGACATTTTTGTTTGCTGTGTTGATCTGCTTCCTGATATAGAGTGTGGTGTTTGCGAATAGCAAAGCGTTCGAATCGATTGACAGTGGAGATTATTCTGCCGTCGAGTGGTCCGGTTCGACACACAATTATGTACACGGAAAGGTGGAAAGGGTGGTAGTTCACGCACAGGCACATTTATTCTTTGAAAGGGAACGTGAACGAAGAATTAAGGAATGGAATGCTAGAATGGGGTACCAAACTTTTTGTTCACGTGATGCTTGAAATGAGCATGGGTCTTATTTTGTACAGACAACGAAATCAATGTTTGCACTCTTGAGTCTGGTCGATGATCGACATGTATTGAAAACTGGCTAAATTAATTACAATCATAGAAGTACATTAACAGCCAAAAATCAATTTAGGATACCTTTTGTTTCTGTGTGAGAATCACTTGCACTAACGTATTCCGCAAATATTAGAACACGTTTCATTTTCGAGCAAAAGAAATTCAAATTCGCAAAAAGGCTTGAAATGTGTCTGTGCTAAATCTGGGCACTGACTGGTCTCAAAAACTACGGTATTGGGCGAGAATTCGGATTTCTTAGCCATGGATGAATGAATGAGCTGCTTAGGCATGACTGTTTAGTTTGTCTTTCTCTATCCGTTTCCATATGGAAAAACTAAGCCACCAGTCTACATGGATACTACCCCTGAAGGCAGTGTCTTGCCAAATTCGTGTCTCAGGATTTTTGCGGACCTTTGTGACGCTGCATAAATTCAAATTGCATAAAATTTTCGCAAACACCGCCGAAGTGACGAACGAGTTAATCTTCTCACACATCTCTTTAGGATGTATAAGCATGTCAAGTCTGTAGAATCTCGTTTTTAGACTGCAACAGTCCACTTTTATTCCAGGAAGATTATGGGCACTTGCGATGTCTCAGTTACCCAAATACCGACGTCTTTCTTTTGTGCTTCTCATTGGTGGATCCAAAAAGTCTGGTGAGTGCTGGTAAACAGTTTGCGAACGAGGAGGAGGTTTCCTGGATTGCACTATAGCTGCCGATTCTAAAGTTTGGTACACATAAGGTTCTTTAACCTACTAACAAGGAAGGTGTTTTCGGTCGAAGTGACCTTTTCACATGAATTTGATATGGCTATAAAGAGCATCAAACGCTGATTCCAAATCTGTCTTCGCTATCTGCCGAGCGCCTCTAGACGTCTAGTTATGAATATTTTCTTGGTACGAAAAATGAACGCATAATCTAAGTAAAATAAAATTTTACCGTCTTCTCAGCGCTCAAGTAGAGCAGTGTTAAGTATGAGTGCTTTAGATAGAAGGTATTGTTCAAATAAAGTGCTTTGATAATCAACATTGGACCATTTGATCTGACGAATATTGTCCTAATTATGCATTTAATTTATCAACTCAAAAAACGCTCATAACTCGACGTCTAGAGGCGCTCGGCAGATAATGAAGACAGATTTGGAATCAGCGTTTGATGCTCTTTATAGGTCGTATCAATTTCATGTGAAAGGCCACTTCGACCGAAAACACCTCCCTTGTAAGCTATTAGAAGCAATGATTAAATGTCAATAATTCAAGCTGTACTATGTCCAAATGGGGAGAATCTAAAATTCGCAAGTCTCTGTAATTGAAATCTCAGATTCGGGTTTCCGGAATTATTTCGTTACATTGCGTCAAAGATTTCAAATAAAAAAGGTTTGCGATTATGGTTGCTCAAGCCATACAAAAATGTTTAGAAAACATACATTTATCTAACGTTTTATTGCATGTGAAATAATTTTATACATGTAAGATATAGGTGTTTTATCATTAAAATCATAGATTTATCCAATACAAAAAACAATCGAAAAATTGAGTGAAATAATATTTTTAGGGACATTCAAATACCTTTTTTGATAGAGATAGCGAGTAAAACCAAAATCGCTGATAATGCTATTAATTTATTGGATCTTTTGGCTTTGCCAATTAAGTCAAAAATTTTACCACCAACAAAAATTGCACTAGAAAACGCATAATTTTCATTATGGCTGCTACTCATAATATTTCAGAAAACAATTTGAACGAAGAAAGTTATGAATTTTTCAAAAATTAGTGCAGGAGTGTTCCAAACTAATAGCATCTGTTGAACTAAAAAAACTCCTTGGAAGCATGTGCACTTTTGGTTGGAAAAGCACTTTCATCCCTAAGGATTCATTTTTCTGAAACCTATGATGAATGAGTATAGCTTTTGCTCTTTCCTGCTAAATTAAGAGTTGGGCAGCATTCTCAGTCCTCTTCGGGAGGCAGCCAACATGACGATAGCTTGTGCCAGCCGTATGCGTTGCCGTTAAACTTTCTCAAATTTTATATTTATGCTATGACAGTATTAATTTTGAAAAAAAGCTGGGAGCCCAATGGGCCCTAACTCTTACTTTTTGACATTTTTCCCACTAAAGAATCATGAGTATATGAGCTGCTTACTGACAATCACAGTAGTACAGTATGCTTACGTGCAGTTTTCCTCATATCCTTTTCCCGCACTACTGTAAAAATCTACGATTCAAAAAAGTAGATCGGCTTTGTTTTTTCCTATACGTTTTTTAAGGGTCAGCTTGTTTGGTCTTCGAGTGTGACTCATACAAAAGCGTATAGTCACGATTTTTCGTGATATCATTCCTTATATGCATTTAGGACGTTTGTTTGACGGTTTGGATGCCAGAGATACGAAAGTACGCCGGTGATAACGTGCCGGTCTTACTGGTTGGCACGAAGGAAGACCTTTTGGAAACAGCCACTGACGAACAGAGGGTCTCGTTCGACGCGGCTCGAAGAGCTGCTTCGCAGGTAACGGAACTTATTGTGCAGTCAGGTCATGTTATTTCTGACATATACGGTAGTCGAAAATTTTTTGAGGAGAGGGATCGAGAGGGGGAGGGCGAGGAGGATGAGTAGTAGCAGGTGCGGCAGAAATTATTTTCAAAGATTGATAAGAAGAGAATTAAACGGGTCCCTTCGTAAGCTTTTCAAATCAATAAATATTTTTGGAATATCATTGAAAGAAAACGGTTTGGATACACCTGCGAAGAAAATTTGAAAAGCTAATTGCTTTTATATGCAATTTTCCCTAACCATTAGATTTCCAGTAAAAATATTTCCATAATTTTGTAAATTTCACATCAGAATTGAGCCCCTTGGAACTTTTGCTGCAGTCACTTGGGTCCAAAATTATGAAATGTGACTGTTACTTAATTTGAGAGAAACTCCTACTAGTTGAATTGAAACTTCACGAATGTTGCAAAGCAGAATGCTAGTACTTAATCACGGCGATACACGAGCCTTGCACCCAAATTAGAAGATTCTTTCGAAATTGTTCGAAGACCTTTTGAAGCATGCTACATAATTTTCCCTATGATAAATGTTGCATTCTATCATAGTACAACTCAAAAATTTCATTTAAACTAAGAACAAAAATTTGAAGGAAAAGTTCAAAAACCATAACCATTATAGAGACATGCGATCAACATGAACTTCCCTCAAGGAAAGAATAGGAAAGAAAATCAAATAGAGTCAGACTAGTGAACAAGTAATTTGAAGGTGCTATACGGACGAGCGTTCGCTTCGGACTCGCCCCGGTTTCTCGCTATTTGAAGACTGAATTGAGCTAACGATTCTTTATATATTAGATCAGGCAGGTTTTCTTCCCTAATTTATCGATTTCAACGATTTTATCGGTGCTGTAAGAGAGATTCTGAAATTTGGCGCAAGATTTATTTGTAATACAATAGAATTCCGAAGCGGACGCTTAGTTGGTCGTTCTGTGGTGTTTGTCGTTGCTTGTCAGTGTCTAGGTAAACAGATTACTGCTGCGCAGCGCAAATGACGTTCTGAAAGGAAACAGTCTAGAATAAGTTGAAAGGGGTAACAATCCTCACAGCTGCGATCTCATTACTTGATAATGCAAAGGCGTTCCTGCTGGGAAGCCATAAGTTGAAAGTAGCGAAAAAAAATAATTATTGATAGCACACTTTCAGAAGTCGGGAGCGTTTGAAATCGAAATTTCAAAGGGCTCTAAACGTATGGCAACAGCTACACGCGATGTCAAACCAAATCAATGCTTCCGATTACTGTGTGATCATACTGTAGATAGTTTAGAATGAACAAATCAATACTCACGTACTAAAAGTGGGGCTAAAACTGCTAATGATAATTCTGAGGTAATTCATGCTTTGGTTCATAGCAGAACCGCTTGCAGGTCGAAAAGAAAATAAATGACTTTATGCGTAACGCATATCTGACACATTCATCATTTTGGCAAAATTAAGGCTAAACACAACACAGCACAAACCTGCGTTACAACATCATTCACAAGCTGCATCGGGAATTTTACTAACTTCGAAAAATTCGCAAAATTTTAGAGATATACGAATTTCTTCTAGATTTTCACGCATACTCCCAGAACCTCCTACTGTACACCTAGTACTTAGTAATTCCATCATCCGGAGATTCGTCTCGTTGAGATGATTGTAATGCCTTTATTGATTTTGGATTTCAAATTCGCGTTCTGTCCGGATTCCGGTATACTGCAATAGTTCTGGACTCCAAAACTATTGCAGTATACCGAAATCGCGAAAATCCCGAATTCTGCGCGATCTCATGAGCGGCGTGCGATGTCCTAAATATCTCGCAACGTCAGTTTGCCCGGAATTTTGGGTTGACAGCTTCTCGCACTCTTGGAAGTCCTGAAAAATCTGATGAGCGGGATTATTCTAGCATAGTATACTTGGGTTCGAATTGAATAAACATTCGATCATTCGAATAAACCTTCCGAATATATTCGCAGCAGAAATTCAATATTCGGAGTTCTTCCATTTTCGAACGAATTTCGAAACTCATAATAAAAAAAGGGGTTTTGAATAGTTTTTATTCGAATGTTCATTCGAATTCATATTCGAATGAAATCCGTGAAATCCATCAAATTACTCGAGTTTGTTGTAGACAACGGGCTGAGTATCAAGCTCGCTTGGTCTACGTTTTTTCCCGCAAAGCTCGATAATGCATCGTTCTACAGCAGTGATCACCTTTAGAATGTGTGGAAACCCGCATTCCCTCAACTGCTTGCGGCAGTAAAAAATTAGATGTGGATTTTGATTGATGGTTTTTTCAACCATTGAGGTTGTTTGCTGCTGGCACCAAATCAGCAAAAAAAAACAGCTATCGAATTCAAGCTCATGGTTCACAGAATCAATTTCATCCATTTTTGAAGAAGTGTGAGCTACGGGGCTGCGAGTTGGTATAGAGGGGTAAGTGGGGGGTTCTGATTATGAACAAAAACTTGCTTTACCGGTGTTTTTCGATTTTGGGAAAATTTTGAGCTACGGGACTAGGTGTTGGTATAATGGGGTAAATGGGGTCGCCGATTATGACTAAAATCTACTTCATCGATTTTACCGATTTCTGGAAGATCTTGAGCTATGAAGCTGGGAGGTTGGTACGGGGTATGTGAGGGTGCTGATCAAGAATGAATCGGCTTCAGCCGGATTTTTCGACTCTCAATGTTCGAATATAATCGATACGCATTCGTTTGACATGTTTGATCTTCGGATATCATTCGGAATTCATTCATTTGAGAATTTTTTAATCTCGAATTTATTCGATATTCGTTCACGAGTTGCCCTACGTGCCGCTTACAGACCGATAATAACTATTCAAAAAGGAAATTTATGCCCTATGTGCCGCTTGAAGATCGTATATATAAGAAAAACCAACTACGACTCAAACAAAAAGAGAACAACTAATTCAAGTATTTACAGCGTATTCGCAAATTGCCGTACATGTCAAGACATTCAATTCTGAAAACTGCCCCAAACGCACAAAAATCTGCTTCTCTTCCCGATCGAATTGCCCTACGTGCCGCTTACACACCGATACCTAGTTGAAAGCACCAGCGGGACCCAGTTACACAAAAGCAAGGCTGTTGTTAGATAAACGCTTTCAAAAGTACCAGCGAAGCCAAGTTACTCACACACTCTCTTGTCTACACGCCGAGGCAAGATAATCCTAAAGTGACTGTTCTCATAGAGCATTTTTACCAAGAGTTGAAAACATAGATAAAGCAACTGATAGGAGTACAACATATCTGAAAGACACATTCTGGCATAACAAGCTCAAAAAGAGGTACAAATAACACCGGACACTGGCGACACAGTCTCAAAATCATTGCGACACTCATGATTGCCTTTCGAAACCCGTGTGACCCTTTTACGAAAATATGCTTGGTCATCGTTATGAAATTTGGCAGCGTTCCAAAACGCATGCCACTTGGCAGCAATCCAAATCCAAAGATCAGTGTATTTCATCATAATTTCTACGTCTGCGGCCTCCTCGTTTGCCTGTTCCACGGACCTGGTGGCTTAGTGGGTAAACAACGAATTCATTATGTATTACGTAGTGATTTGAGGTTTTTTACTTTTGATTTTTTTCGATATTCGCTTACTCGAAGTTTTATTTTCGAATTTATTCGATAAGCATTCATTCGATGAAAAGTTCCGAATTTACTCAAGTATACAGCATACTCGTTTTGATTAAGGTGAAACTACTTAAATTGAGCTCGCCTTGTACTCGTCAACTACCCTGATAGTAAATGTGTCAGTTGAGCAAAGGTCTTTTTCATACTCCACGACTGATTGATAAGTGCGGCTACCGAATATATCTTGTATTTTGCAAGAACTGAGTTCAAAAATGTTCACTCATCTTTCGCATTTCAGATGGGTTGCATGAAGTTCTTGGCGTGCTCTGCTTTGACCCACAAAGGGCTGAAACAAGTGTTTGACGAGGCCTTTCTTGCCGCTCTCGGTGTCACTCTCAAGGACAGCTACCGGAAACCTTGTTGTCGCATTTTGTGATATTCTTTTATGGATCTTCTTTTCATGTTCAAATTGATTTGCCGTTACATATCTGCGGCTATATCAGTTGTTTTTCAACAGCTACTCCCTCAGTGCTCTTTCTGCTCCCTTGTTGCATGTTGCTTCAGGAGCTTTCATTGTCAAACCTCATGAAACCAATGTGATTGCTTTGTATATTGCACCAGTGTACTCTACTTACATTGTTACCTTCATCTTTATTGGATGGTTTGTTTTGTCTTCTCAATGTGTGTATCTATGCAGTGCTCACTGAAAGTGCCTGATGTCAATCAGCCATGTGTAATCTTTCTTCTGTGGAGAAAAATTTGAAAAAAAAAACAATAAATGCATGTTGATTGAGTAGAATTTCAATCACTAGTTAATTGGTCGCAAAATTACAAGATGTCTCAAAAGTCTTCAAGCCTGACTAACGTAGTGATTTTGTTGGTATTCCTCCCTTTCCAGTAAGATTTTGCTTATGACAACTTCGTCTAGTTGTCGTCCCATTTGAATTGTACTGTTTAAATATTGTTCTTGGAGCAAACAGTACTTCGATTTTAAAGACAAGCCAATGGAAACGTACTCCCTCTTCAAATATTTATAGCACTTTTGCCTTTGGAGCTCTTACGGAATCCTGAACTGTATATTCTAGATCTGGCTTCACTCTGCATTTTAAGTGCGAAACCAATCATCATCTTTGTTCATTAGTTTAGGACTAAGACACAAACTCTTAAAACATGCCGTGTCAATGAGAAGTAAAATTTCTAGTAACAAAAACCCATAGCTGGAAACTCCAACATCAAACCAATCCGAGTCACTAATTCTAGCTGTAGCCCTGCATTTTGACTGAAATATCATTTTAAATCACTCGGTGCACCAAAATTGCTGTTTCCTTGACGTTCTCAAGAACTGAATTGCTACACTTTGACATACTGTTAAATCTGACAGATAGGCTTCTCAGATTGTGCTTTCAGTCGCCGGATCAAGAGCTTGACTTTTTTTTTTGTAATCATTTATGGAAAGCAAGCCTTGACCTATTCCGCAATAAATTTTGGACGGTCTGGATCGCAGGCTCCAAAAGGTGTGAGGCAATCTCGACGTCAACTGCCTGCCTGCCGCGTGCATGCGTTTCGCAAGCTTCTGGAGGCCTGTGTGAGGACCAAGGAGGTTTTTTTTTCTCAAAATCTGATTGTGCTTTGCTGTTTTGTAAATATTTTACAAAATACGTGCCAAGTTTTATTGAGTCTTGCTTCGTACGGTTTTAACCGAGAAAATACTAGGTTTAGAGGCTTCTAGGAAACCCTGTATAATTGTCCAAATTCCGAAAGTACACTTTTTACTTTCGCATGTGCGTGACGAGTTGACGATACAGAGAAAAGTAACTTCAAACAAACGGCAACGAAAGGTTCCTCCCAAGGAGATAGCTTTCTCAATGTTATTGATATACAGTTATTTACCAAGTGTACAAAGGCTACTGCATGACGAAGGCGCAGAAGCATTATTAGTTGAGCGGGCGTGAACGCTGCGCGAGCGTATCTTCATCGTTGTAAGTCGTGCACCTCGTGCGCTCTGCGGCTAATAAAGCCGCGTTCGCTCCTAAAGATATTGAGCATTCGTCATGTAGCAGCCTATAACTTTATCATTTGTAGTCCATTCTAGACATTGGGAGCGGACGGGCCGCGGGAGCTGCGAAATTCCAGCCGGTAAAGGGCCGCTGCTGGTCCAATCCCAGTGTCTAAGTTCTATCCTAACATATCTGCCGGTAAATGCGATACTAGCGTCTGCAGGCAACATTTGCGCGTACGAAATAACTCTAGAGCGCATATTCTCAAATTTGCGCCTCCCGATAATTCATTACGCGCGCATGTTAGTGAGCATGTTAAATGAACCTTGGTTCCAGAGTTATCGATTACCTTCATCGAATTCTTCAACCTTTTTTCGATTCAGACTTTGAGTTGCGGGGCTACGAGTTGGTGTAGCACATGGTGGTGTAGCCTGCTAGTGAGGAAAATGTGCGGGCAGGGAAGTACTATATAGAAGTAAGACAGGAAAAACGAAATGTTGCGTAGAAGTGGAACGTAATGGTGAATTTTTCCAAATGTTTACCAAAACCCACATAATATAGTTGATTTCCTGTCGTAAACCCTGAACTGTGCTCGCTATATTTATGAAGCAGATGTTTCAGTACTTCCTGTTCAACTTATCTCACCTACGTATGCCGTGACGCTTACTGAACGATAACTGAGTCACGATTTTGAGGTCTTTTAGGTGACACAGGTAAGACCTGCATTTTATGAACTCTGGATAGCAGAGTAAGGTTGACTAGTGTTATGGTTTTGAATTAGCTTGCGCCACATATGTACTTGATAAAGTGCATCGATATGTATTAAGTTTCAAAAACTTGAAATAAGGACGGAGCTTATGATTTTAGCATTGTTGAAGTATACACACTTGTTTGCTGTTAATTTTTTTCCTGCTTCGTCATATGTCTAAGTAAAACTAACAGTGTTTCTCAACTTACAAGGGAAGGATGGTCAGTCGAAGTGGCGTGTATTGTATACCATGTTGGAGTGCATAAAACACTGATTCCAAATCTGTCTTCTTTATCTGCGGCGCGTTCTTGCGAGGAAGTTGTGAGCGTTTATTGGGGGAAGGAGGGGGGGGGGGGGGAATTGGATGTGTAATATAAAAACTGTAGTAGCAATATTTCTAGCGCTTGAATGGACCGGTGGTAATTTTTCCAGCACTCTATAAAATAAATACTCTCAGGTAAAATATATCCGCACTCCGACTATCTCATTCAAACGCTGGGGAAATTCTAGCACTGTTTTATCCCAGAAAAACAGTCATTTTTACGCCCATAACTCCTCGTCCATCGATGCGCCGCAGGTAAGGAAGATAGATTTGGAAATAGCATTTAATGCGCTCCACCATGATATAGAACCCATCTCAAAAGGCCACTTCGAACCATTCTTTCCCTGTTAGTCATTCTCCTTTGCCATAACGCACATCGTGTTCAACAAACCATCATTGATCTTGCTTCCTAGAAGTTGAAACCGTGAAGTGTATTTTTTAGAAAGTAAGTAACAATCTTTATTTACGTATTATCGCACTTTTTCACGCACATTTTGGATTAGCGGTTGCATATGCAGACGCCACGGCTGTTACAGTATCCTCCGTAGTGACGCCCCTGTAAAACAATTTATAGCAAACGGTCACATGTATCCTAATATGTGAGTCTGCACGCTGCGCTTGACAACTTACTGCAACGTACTCATCAAGGATTCGTAGTAATCCCTTTCTAGCAAGAAAAATTCCAAACTGTGTATTACTCTTCTGAATTTATCCACTCATGCTAAAAGAGGAAAAAACTAGAAGTAATATTCAGAAATCACATCTCACCATCTAAGTCGTGAAGAAATGCGCATGGTTGTGATCGACATATTAATTGATTACTGGCGGGAACTTTCAGATGCGGTGCGTGCGTAGGCCAAGCATTCAAAATTTTTTTGAGATGCTTGTCAAAATTTTTGCGGGCTCGTAATCCCATCTAGAAAAAGAGGGCGTTGCAGCCACGCCCTCGAAAAAAAAATTTTACAAGGCTGATTCGAATTTTCAAAAAATTTGAAAATTTTTTAAAAATAATTTGCAAAAATAAACAAGTCACTTGCACATTTTTATAACTCATGCAGGTAAATTTCAAAATGTTATAATAGTTTATCCATAGTCCCTTCAACTTTGTGTGCAGGGTCGCGCGCGAGGCCAAGCATACGTTCAGAAACGACCACCCCCCCCCCATTCCTCTACACACATAGATGAAGGAGCCCTTCTACTGTTTACCTTCAGAGTCTCTGAATTCAAGGTGAAGCCACCCCGTATTAAGGGGCTTTTGGTTTTTCGGCTTCACTAAGTTCTGCGATTGCATTCGATTAGACGGTACAAACAGCTATATGACGGATGATCTCTCTCAGCTGCATGTTTCTCAAGAGCCATACCTTCGTTAGGCCCCGGGCAGACTTCACGCGATTTGATCGTCGCGACTGAATCGCGACGAGACAACTGTTACAACATCATTCCATGCCGATCAACTTGCATTCGGTTGTGATACTTTTCCAGCCCGAAATTTTTGAATGTGAAATGAAATTGAATGGAAATCTTGGCGATTAGATCGCTACGATTAAGTCGCGTGAAGTCTGTCCGGGGCCTTAGGAAAGGGGTTTTCGGAACCAAATTACTGATGGGGCAAGAACAGAGGTCAACCTTATTAGGACAGAATAAGAGCGCTTCGTAAATCCCTGGAGCAACTAAACTGAGACGAGCACAACCATCTAAAGGTCAAGCAGCCTGATTGTGCTTGACGTCGTCAACTTTATTTGAGAAGAATCTCTTTTAGGTAGGTTTTGTCTTATTCACTACCACAATTAGTAGATCCTTCATTAGGTGCTAGAGGCTTTTACTGTTCCCAATTTGTAATGATCAACAAGTGAAGCACTTAAGTCGAAAACTAAATGCTCGTACTTTTGGAAGTTTTTGACAGCAGAATGTGGGGCGATGTGAAGCCAAATTCTTAGCTGTCAGAAAAGAGCAATATTTCGCTAAAAAGGATGATATTTTTACGTTGTAATTAAAGTCAACGATGTTTGAAGATGGCGTTTTTTTATATTGGGAAAGGTAAGAGTTTGTAAGTATCTTAAGGGAGCACAAAGATAGGCAGATTTTAGAGCCACCGTCGTACGCTTACGGTAGGTGTACGGCAACAGTTCATAATTTCTAAACCTGCTGAGACTTTGCATAATGTCATTATTTGACAATTGTTCATTACTCTGTGCATCTTCCTGTGGATAGTTGATGGAAGTTTATGGATTTAATAGAATCATTAAAAAAATCACCTGTATCCAGCAAGAAACCGAGCATGCAGCATTCCCTCCGAGTTGGCATGAAAGACCTTCGCCACTAGCCACCATGCATAGTAGTACAGTTAGAAAGAACATGAACTTCATAATTTTCATCTCCTAGAATCAAATGCGACAATTACATATCAAGCCGCCTCACTCAACTCTACGTTCACGAGCATATGGGCTTCATTGTGAAGATGACGAGACCCGCTGCACGTAGTGCATAGTGCAAATTGTAACGTCTTTTCTTGTACTGCACCGTCAGTGCCGCTTTTCAACAGTGATTTAACATGTTTCGGACCGGTGCTGCACATGGCGCAGCACCCTGCTTTGGAGGATCTTTTTGGCGTTTACAGGAGGTTTTCTTTTAGTCCAAAGTTGTTAAGTCAAAGACCTAAGCTTCTACTTTTCAAATGACTCTGTGGAGTTGTGCTGCCGCTATTTGTTAAGGAGCGATGAACACGAATCGAACAACAGTTATAACGGAGTGCGGCAACGCGAACGGCGCGTGCGATGTCGCAACTTTCCTTTGCTTCAGTATCAAAGAGAAAAACCGTAATTTTAATACTGATGTGTACAGTGTACAACATAGATACTTTTGGATACTATTAGAAACTGAGTTCTTGTTTCTATCTTTCAGAAAGGCACAGGTTCTTCTCAAAATTCAAACACTTCGAATTCACTCACAACTTTGGGTACGGAGCTTTTTCGACATGGTCATTACAGCTGTAGCACACAGTCTTCAAAATAAGGTCCCTTTGTTGGCTAACAGTTGAAAAAACACTCTTTTTCACCGCGCGCGATTTGGCGGTCCGAAACGTGTTATACGCAATAATGCGCCTAAAGTGCCGCATCACTAAAAATTTTCTAGGGCAAGGAACCAATAAAACCGGAGAGAAAAATCAAGATTTTCGGGTTCTTAAACATATCGGTAGCTCGTAAAGTACTGATTTCAAATATGTAACTCAAATTTTGTGCTATAAGTTTAGAGATTTTCATCAGCTTATCGGTGCAAAAATAGGGAGATTGCAATAAGATATAGATCATGTAACTCACTCAGAATTAAGGTTTTTAGACTTCTAAACAAATTAACGGATGGCTCATAAGACACTGATGACAAAATGTAGACCAAATTACTCTGGGTTAAGCACGAAGGTAGTTATACCATTGCGGCGTAAAAGCGCGTTTATTGCCTTGTGCCTTGCGGCACATAAAGAAACTGACTTTTTCAGTTTTGCATATATCTCCGAATAGAGCAAGCAATGCTGGTTCCAGATATAGGAACAAAATTAGATGGAACACTTTGTAGAAAGTTATATCAATTCGGCACTTCCGACGCAACATCGCGTTTACAGTCTGCCCAAATCGGGATCGAGCCGAATCGACGGCTGAATTTGCGCGCTCACAGCGCTAGGGGTTTGCGCTGCATACGGCGCTGTAGCAGAGGGTGAAAAGATTGAGGAGAGAACAGACTAGCTAGCCGTAAACGTGACGCAATACCCTTTTGACACGGACTTCCGCCATGCCAATTTTGGCTTGGCTGTTATTGAGACAGGCTATATGTCGCCGCGCAGCACAAAAAATTGTGTATTTTTGTAAATTTTAAGCGCACTATCGATGCATCAAACAATGCTGGTTTCAAGTATTCAAACCAAAGCTGGATAGGAGTGACTGAAAGAAGTTTTTGGCGATGGGCACTTCCGGCACATCGTTGCTTTCAAGCAGTTTTGAAAGCGGCACTGACGGTGCTGTACTGAAGGTGAAAATGTATCGAATACTTCTATGAGAATTACTCTTCGAACTCATTTAGAATCAACGCTGGGAAAGTACTTCCAAAGAGAAATTTAGGGATTTCAACAAAGAGGAAGAGCAGTGATAGTTTGGCTTTTGTGTTACGTATTGTTTCTGGTTAAATTGGTGTCGTAAGACTGAAACATTTGCAGTAACCCAGATTATCGGCCGTACTAAGACAGTAAATTTCACAGAGTTTGGAAATCTGCTATGTGTAAAGGATGGACCATTCTTCGCCTCGTATAGTTTGTTTCAATCCTAATCAGGCCAGATTGGCATGACGGAAATACACGTGCGCTTTGCGTCACAGCTAAGGTCTGCGTTCTGCTCTCTCTTGAATCTCTTCTTTTCTCTGGCAGTGCGCACATGCAACGCAAACCCCTGCGCTACGAGCGCGCGAATTTTTCGGCCAGATCCCGGTTGGGACAGACTGTACGCGGCGTACCGGAAATCAGTGGTCAATCTTTGCTACGCTTTCACCTCTTCACTTGCTCCATCGGTATTGCTAGATTGTAAAAAATGTGATTTGAGCATCTTTATGTTGAGATAATTATCTTCTATAGATTCCTCGAAAGTAGCGATAACGACAAAGACGAAATCGTGTACAAACCTCTGCCACAAGGTGATATTTTTTCCAGTTGAAACTTCCTTTGTTCAACATATGGCAAAGGTTTGTATAAGCTGCTGCATGACGAAGGCTCAAGACCTTTCAGCGCAAACGCGGCCTTGTTGGCCACAGAGCGCATGAGGTGCATGTCTTACAACGGGGAAGATACGCGCGCGTCGCGTTCGCGCCTGCTCAACTAATACTGCTCTTGCGCCTTCGTCATGCACTAGCCTTTATGTATCGCCACCAAATACGTAAAATCTATAAAAGATATATATATATCTCAAGGCAGTGACGCTCTCGGACACGAGTTTTAACTCTCTAAGCGATGGCGAGAAGCAGAAATCAAAGACCATAACAAAAGAGATTATCACTATCCGAGAAGTGAAGAAATTTGCGTGGGGTGCGTAACTATCCTTCTGCTCGATATTCATAGATATTTATACAGGCTATGACGTTGAAAAAGTAAGATAAACCTTGATTATGAGCACACAGCAATGTTTGATCATATGATTCAACATGTATTGATCACGCATTGTTCACCAAAATAATTAGACTTGTATCCAGAATGTTTGCCGGTACGCTACTCGAACTTATATTAGCTGTTCAAAAGTTTCGCGTCGTTCTTCTAACGCATCCCCAATCACATACATTTGATTCAATCGTGATCTGCTCGATATGTTGGCGTAAAGTCGCGCGCTTGCAGCGCCAGGGTTCTGCGTTGCATTTGCATCGTACGAATAATTTTAGCCTGTTTCGGATTGGTACAATCTGCAGAATATCGCTAGACAAACACTTTAAACGATATTCAATGCAGTTCTTCCTTTTTTGATATCTGTTCTTGATTTCTCGAGCAATCAGCAAAGCTTCAAACCCAATGCTTTCATCTTGTCCAATCCTAATTAACCTAGAAATTACCAAATCAGACTTTTATGGGAGATTGAACAACATACAGATGAGCAGAACTCATGCAACACAATACCTATTACTCCAACTCCCTTGATGTTATTTTATAAGTTTTTACGCGAGCAACACTGCACTCCAGTTTCTGAGTTCGGCTATATGGAATATGAAAATTGGTCCCATCAAAAATGAAAGATTGTATCAGCTCTCCAAAAATCCAAAGATATCTAAAGTTAAAAAGTTCAGAAACCGACTTTTGATTTTTTTTCAAATCGTCAAGTCAAAGCTAAACACTATCTATTCAATGACTACAAGAGGGAGAAACAACTGTGCAACAAATTATTGTATTCTATTCGATTGTTTCTGTCGTTTTCCTAATTACACATTGGATGTATGCGGCAGATAATCTTCGTTACCTCAAATTTATCGCTATGAATCATAGAAAAGGCAGAAAAGAGGGTCTCGTGTTTGCTGCATGGATATGCCGCCCAGATTGCCTTCGAATTTTCATCCATTCGTCCACGCCAAATCCCCATTTAAACACGCAGTTATGTTCACAGATGATAGACGGCATCGACCCAATACTGCCTTTGGCACGGAAGGCGCACTCCTCCACACTATTCATACTCAGGTGCTCTGCAGAAGGCATTTGTTAACTTAGAGGAAAGGATACCAATTTGAGTTAGCGATTGACGAGATACATACCACTAGATGCGTCTTGACACGCTGATTCTAAACCTGCCTTTCCTTTTTGCAACACATCTTCCGGAAGAAATCCTAAGCATTTGAATGTCCAAATTTGTCAATTTCCAAGTGGCATAAAATTAGCGAATAGCTCAACAAAACACCTATGCGGACTTCCACTAGCTGTGTCTCTGTTTTGTAGTCAATATACCATTTGATTCAACTGGCTTGGCTTCGGGAAGGCGGGACTTCGTGACCTAATTAAGGCTAGGTAATGATCAGAGAGCACACGCGCGAGATGAAGGTGCGTCACGGGCGCGAGCGGCCTTAATTAGCTCACAAAGCCCCGCCTTCCCGAAGCCAAGCCAGTTGAATCAAATGTTACTTGATACACAATTGACTGCCCACTTTCAGATGCTCTTGTACTGCTTTTCGCTGAATTTATGCCATTCAGGGCTTGACATATTTAAACTTCCAAACCTTTATAACTTCTTTCGGAAAGCAAAAAAGGAAAGCAGATTTGCAGTCAGCGTTCAAATACGCGTCTAACGATAGACTCTCGTCTTCACTCGCCAACTCAAGTTTGTAACCTTCCCTTATTGGCCATTAACACATTCCCGACAAGGTCGATTTTTCGATTACCGATGTTTCGGACCAGAGCCTTTTTCGCTTTGTCAAAATTACGACCCAGCCGTGGGTCGTATTGTCCGAAATGGTAGTCTTTTTGGAAGAAATTCAAGACATGTCTCCAAGAATTTCCCCACAAGGGTTGTCGGAGGCGCTGATTACCAAAATATGATTTATTTCAGTTTTTGGCAGTATACGGTAAGTTTACGGTAGTCATTCTGTACGAACCTTAGATCATAGATTTTCGTGGAAAATTGTTGTTTGGAGTTATTTCATGTGTTGATCATGGTGATGATCATGATTATAGTGTCCACTTTGTTCACTACTTTCCCACAGGACTACGATGGCAGTACGGTAGAATTTTCGTAAGAATCAAGAAATTGATGTAAGAAGGCGGTATTAGAACTCGGAACTATCATTGTAATCAGCATGCTAAAAACCTATATATGTAACGTTTGAGCTTTCTGGGATGAAGAATTCGAAAAATCAATAAAATCAATAAAATCAATAAAATCGATAATTTTTGATGGGCCGGCCCATCAGTCTCGTGCCCTCCCTGTACTCCTCTTGCATGCAAACTTGATTTTGCAGAAACAGCATCACTCTGCGAAGGATTTGAGCTAAAATCTTGCCTTACCTCTATATACGGAATACCTACCGGTGGGTCGCATTGTCGTGAATGTCTTAAAGGTAGTGGCTTGGCGAAATGAACGTTTGCCAAATATTGGTGTGTTAGGAAGTAGACTTTCAGGTGCACGGTAGAACCACATTTACCTACCAATTCATGCGCTATGTCCTAAAAATGCGCTTCGAGAACCACTGACGCTCACTCACCGAATTGGGCGGGACTCAGTAATAGTGTTGAGGCTTTTCAGGACTTAGCGCCATGGAGGGTGTGGTTGGGGCTACGCTTGCACTTGTGATCTACTAACTACAACGACCGAAAGACCGGTCCAGCTTGTCGGCCATTGTCTTCAAGCCAGCAAAGCGTATTCTGTTGCAAACCCTAAAGCCGATTTCACTATTGCTGCCTTGGAGTAAATCTATCACTAAGTAGCATTACTACTTGAAACCCACCTGCACCTAAAGGCACATCTATTAGACTGTAACTTTACCGTTTTTACCCTAAACATCAGCATTTCTCCAGAACTAGGACACCTGCAGAAGTACAAACGTATGATCATACTTCTGTATTTATAAGCTATATGATCACATGCATTGGAGGAGCTTAGAACGTCTAGGGGCGAAGTTTGCCGTTTTACTTACAAGGGAATGGTCAGAAGTCGAAGTCGCCAATCTAAACAAGCTGCATACCATTCGATGCAGCATAGAACGCTGATTACAAATCTGTCTTCCGTATCTGCAGAGCGCCATTGTAGGCGAAGTTATAAGCCGTCAAAAGTCATTATTTTGCTAAGAAATTGTGCGTGTGAGGGGCAAACTTGGCCGTACAAAGCCATTCTCGGCTCAGTGTTGGACCAAAACATGCAACTAAATTCCTTTATATGGTTCGTACCTAAAGGTGAGCTAAAAGAGCAATGATGTGCCTAATTTCGCAGTTTTTGTGTATGAATTTTCCGCAGTAAAGCTGCTCATAACTTCGCCTACAAAGGCGCTCTGCAGATACGGAAGACAGATTTGTAATCAGCATTCTATGCTGCATCGAATGGTATGCAGCTTGATTGGATTGGCCACTTCGACTTCTGACCATTCCCTTGTTAGGTCATTTTTCTTCCTTTTTAGCCATGGAAAAAATACGGAAAGTGTACAGCTGAATGTTCGGTATCTCAAGCGTATGCTAGGACAAATTGAAAATTTCTAATATTTTTTGGGGCGGAGATATGATTTTTAAGAGTGAAGTTCGTTTTTGACTGCTACCAGATTTCGTTTCAAAACTTCAAGTGGTATACGATTTGGGCAGACTGTTGATAGTCATTTGTAGAGCTTGCTTTGCTCTGTCGAACGATTACTCAAGCCACATCGATCAACAGGATACAAGAAGACGACGACTGTAGCAAACCCGGTAAATAATTATGGACACCCTAATATAATGCAAGCATGAACTCTAACAAAAGGCAAGGTTAGAGGGTACCTCTAGAGGTCTATAAAATTTCAGAATCTGATTTAGTGCTAGAATATTGCCATGACGTAGCTTAGGTCACCGTAGCAGTTTTACAATGTAAGTCTGTTTCAATATTCCTTTCTCTCATTTCAGTTCCTCAATGCCAGAATGTCTGTATCTCTTAGGTATATGTGTGTCCCTTCAACGACAAGGGGAAGTTGGCTGTTATTTGCAAAAATTAGATGGAAAGTATTGCTGGGCCAGTAGGAAAGTTTTAACACCTTTACTCTTCATTTATGCTTCCTCAAATCCCGCACACATATGGGTTCAAACTGTATCTTACTTTTGGTAAGAATAAAGCTGCCTATCGTGCTTAATGCTTAGCATCAAAAGTTTCACAAATTGCACGAATAGAAATTTTCTCACTTGACTAAAGTAAGTCTTATACTTCACGGCTCCTGATGAGTATGGACACCGAATATAACTTTGTGTATTCCAAGAACTGAATTCAAAAAATCTTCACTCAACCTTCGCATTCCGATGGGTTACATGAAATTCTTGGCGTGCTCTGCTTTGACACACAAAGGGCTGAAAAGCTTACCTCTACGCTATTGGCATAAACAGCTGCTCTAAAATTGCTGATGCAGGTGATTTTTCTCAATGGGTCTATCGCGACGCTACATATATTCATCCAGCGATGTTTAGTGCAACAGTCACCAACTAAAATATGTCTAATTTTGACAGACTTGCAAGGGACGTGTTTTCCAAGACAAGTAACGGTAACAAGAGCGCAATTTCAACTTTAAGCAACATCATTTTCGCATTCGTTTAGTTCTTCGCTGAATTTCGTTATACAGATGTCTCCCGTTGCTTCTACATATTATTTGGTCTCACATTCAATGCTAAGGCGCGGCTGTTATAAATAAAGTAAGTGCTAAGAATTGCTAGTTCACAATAGAACGCGCAAACTTGCATGTGACGCATAATCGACTGATGCAGCTATATGTGATCCCGATCGCAAATATGCAGTTATGAGGATGAAAAGTGTGTAAGTCACTTGCTGCGTTTATGACAGCTGAGCAGTTAATTGAATCAGGAAATAGTGATGAAAAAATTGCTGAAACATCCGTCACCGAACTTCATTCGAGATTTCAATGAAATTGCAAAATGAATTTGCTAGATAGAGAAGCGCTCCATTGTGTCAGTTTTTTTGTTGTTTTTGGTTCTCTGTAGGGCTTTTTGAGATTGCGGGCACCGTATTTTTCCTCTAGGCCGCTTAATGTACTTGCAAGTCACCTTCAAAATCAAGGTGTAGTAAGCCTGCAGCAATTCAAGCTCAAGTCCGTTTGAATGTGTTCGTCTGTCCTGCGTTTTTTTACCCCTGGAGTTCCTCGATCTCTGCCATGGCTTACGTGGACTTTTTTGGTTAGTATCTTGTAGTGAGGAACCACGAACGATCTAAAACGTCACAGCTATACAGATACTTATTTTTGCATGGAATCAAATTGCAGTCATCTTGGTTGTGCTAAATGTCTAGACTGATGCTAGTAGCCAATTAAGAATAAAAATTTATCTCAGTTCGTTGCAATATACAGAAATATGGTTTCAGCTCATTTGCTGACGAATCACGCCTTATTAGACCCGATGAGGTAAGCTGCGGCGAATGGGGCATAGGCAGGAACTGCTGCAGGTGCAGCTACAGGAGCAGGGGCATAAGCTGGAGCAGCTACGGGAGCAGGTACTGGAGCAGCTTGAGCTACTGGAGCAGCCATCACTGCTGCGTAGGCAGGGCTAAGCAGAGGAGCTCCATTGGCGGTAGCTGCGGCGACGGCTGGTCCGGGTGCGATTGGGGGGCTCATGGCCCGGGCAGCGACAACGGGGGCAGCTGCATATGCTGGAGCAGCGTAGACGGGGGCTGGAGCGTAAGCTGGAGCAGGTGCTACAGCTGGGGCAGCAGCTACCGCCGGGTAGGCGGCGGCTACAGGCGCTGCCAACGAAGACGCTGCGTAGTACCTGGCCAAGTACGGGCTGTACGAAGCGGCAGGCCAAGCGAAGAGCTGTGCCGAGCACACACCAGCGACGGCAAGCAGGGCACTGTAAAGGTACGATAATGTCAAATGCTGTATAGTTCAAAGATGAAGCTGCTTACCAGAATGACTTCATGCTGCTCACACGTAGAAGATGCTATGCTGTTGATGGCTTTGGTTTTATACGCGTGATGTCAGCAAACATGGTGAGCTGCGGGACCAGCTGCAAGGTGTGAACACACTGTATCCGACCGGATGTCGGCGGTCGCAACAAACACGCGAAGCGCTTCCGGATCACGGCAAACATTCCAGAATAGCGAATGACAGTGCAGAGTTTCAAACTGAGTCATTTCGTGGCGTGCTTTTTCAAGGCTAAAGCCCATAATGTTCTTTATAAGCAATTACAGAATATTGAATTCATGTGAGGCGTCTCTACTGAGCCATCTATTTGATCTACAATAGCGTCCAGGACCTTGTAAAACCGCACAATTCTAACAAAATTCAATTTTTCCTTGCAGCCACTTTCATCCTATAAAGCTGTAAATTTTACGACCGGTAGAAGCAACAGCTCTTTCACTATTCAAAAATCTATGAAATTTTTTCAGCCATTATTCACTGAATGATCGCAAGCTAAGACTCCTATTATTTGCCTTAGACGATTGCTAAATTTCTATAGGTAAGATGGAAGATAAAAAAAACTGTGTACGTTGAATATTATCTGGATGACAGCTGTAGCATAAGATTTATAGAGTTGGAAAATTCTTCTAAATCAAAATGACCATCAAGTAATGAGACTAAGTCACTTTTAATGGTGAAATTTTGTGAGTTGTCAGTACAGGCAAGCCCATTGCGCAAATGGACACAGCTGACCAACGCATGCCGTCCAGTCGCGTAAGAGGGGGTGGTCAATGTTTATCTATCCATTGTGGTCCGCCCTCCGTCCACTCAAATTTGCGTCGAAACTGCTGAATTTCTGTCATGGCTTTGAGTACCAGCAAGCGGTGTAAATGTAATTATTTATATACATTATACAACATCTGATAAGTGGATGGGAGGGAACTTGGATCATACCGGACCATAGCGGCGCCCCGTATCATTACGCCATTTGTCCCCTGGAGTGATAAGACGGAGACCTTTGAAAAAATAGTATCATGATTTTTTGAAAAGCAGTTGGATAACGTTTAAAAGAGCACTCCACCAGCTTTGATAAGCTGACAAGACACTCTCTCTCTTTTATTTTCAAAATTTTGAGTATACGATGTTGAAGCAAAAATCCAAGCTTCTAAAAAAGCGAATTATCTGCAAGATCTTAGGGCAGTTATGAGTATGTCTATGTCTATCGCTATCGCGAAATCAGCTTTACACATCACGTCAATATATTGTAAGTCATGGCACAAGGCATTTGCTGCAAGCGTCATAGAATCGCGTAGTGGTGTGGTTGCTTGGCAAAGTAGGAACTCTACTTGATCGTATTGACTTACAACAATGTACCGCTCAATTTTTTACATTTCTGAGAGTAGAAAGGTAATAACATCATAATGTAAAATATTGTCTATTAGGTTGTCTCATAATTAATGCACGTTTTATGTATTTCAACTTCTAATCAAGATAACTCTTTTCCAAAACCATCTTTATCAGGGCAATAAAAATTAGGGCAAACAGCAAACCTTTGACTATAGAACGCATGCTTTTGTTGGATCGCAGCCACTTTGAGAAAGGTATAGCTCAAAAAATTCCCGAGTATTTTTCAAAAACATATGCTTCGAGAGAGCTTAACTTTCGCTTAAATGTACTAGGATCGCGCGGACTTTGCTCATTATATAGCCGATGGTCGCTTGTGCAATGGAGTAAAGTTTGATTTTACGGCATATTTCTGTGAACAAATTTTGCAAAAAAGTGGAAGTACCCATTTTTTTCAGTATTTTGAAAAATCCAAAAAGCTGCCTTTTTGGGATGTTTTGAATTTTTTCTCTGCTGCCGTTCTCCTAGCATCAGTTGTACTAGGCTCTACGTGTATATAGCAAGATTTATACGGTCGCTTTTTTCTTGAGATTTTCATGCAGCTTAGATGGGCCTCGGCAGCCAGTCAAGTTTGAGACAAGTTTTCTCTGCTCGGAATTTTTCAAAAATCTCATACTGACAAGCTTTTGTAACACAAAGCTTCTTGATCGTTACCTATATTTTTTAAAGAAAATCCGTTTACTTTTTATGGATTTAGAGCAAGGAGAGTGAAGGGAAAGAATTTTACATTTTAATCACTTATCTTTGAAGGCATGGAATTTCGGCTCTAACAAAGATTTACAAAAACGAAAGAACATTCTAGAAACTAGAGGAATTGGGCTTTCCGACGCTATAAAGGGTTTTGAAGAAACATGTTTTTCCTTTGAAGACCAGCTCTCAAAATGAGGTTAGGAAAACGTGCGTTAAGTATGAGACAACCTAATATATTTGTTTTATATTGATAAGTTTTCAAAATTATTAGACAAGATCTTCAGGCTTCAGATGGCTACCTATAGAAGAACATGTCTAAACTCGATCTCTGGTCATCGGAACCAACAAAAGTTGTGCACTTCTATGTTTTTTACAAAGTTGTTTTTGCACGAAGCAGCCGTACATCTTGGAATATTACAGCTCTCAGTATTGAAATGAATTGAACAGGTTCCTAACAAAGAAGGAAAGAAAGAGTAACGATTATATAAAGCTGTCATGCTTCCTCAAGGTGAAGGTTTAATTTGGAAAAGGACCAAATGTAAATTTAGGTGAACACGTATATACGTCGATGAAACTTACAACGTAAATGCTTTTGAACTAATTGCACTGTGTACATAGTTAGAGCTCGTTATGAGTTTATAGAGTAAAAAGAGTTAGCTGAATGGGAAAAATCTGAAAGTTATAAAGTGAAAAAACCAGTTTTACCCAGTCAGAACGGGTAGGTCACCAAGACCAAAAATAAATCTGTAGATTGAACCATTTAGCTTCCTCACATCCGAATTTGGAGAAAGCACTTTAATGCTTCTTTCCTCACCAGATTGTAATACGTAAGTCATACGCCAATGATGATTTTGATTTATGCACCTCGGGAAAGCGCGTGATTTTTTTTTCAGAAATATATCTAAGTGACATTTGTGAAATTTAGACAGAGTATAAGTAATTTTTAGTGCAAGAGTTATGCATCAACCTAATGTACAAAATCAGAAAAATTTCGGGTTTTTAGATCCCACAACCACCCAGTAACTGATGGGCTTCGCCAGCGAACGCGCCATGTACGAATTTCGCGCATTGGCTATAGGACAGAGAAATGAACTTTAGACAATAGCTTGGATGAGAAAAATGTTTGAATCTTCACAAAAATTCCAAAACTGATTATCCTATCTGAGTCACCTGTACAACTTTGCTTAAAGTGTTCTAGCATCACTTCCATTTTATACGGAACAAGATAAGGGGAGAGAGATTGGCATAAGGTGACTGTAGGAGGTCCCATGATCATAAGTCCAACCTGACCTGGAAGAAGATCGCAATTCTTGTTGCTGAAGCATCTGGGTATCGAAGATTTTTCATTCGCACTCCCAAATCGGCTACTACCGGATGGAGAAAAAGAAGCTGCATCGATTTACTTCTGGACTGTTTTCTGGTTAAGATTTTATGAGTTTTGAATAGACCGGATATAGACTTCGCACAGATAAAAATACGAATCTTGCAATAAAAATTGGGTCTTTCTGATCCTCCTCAAATCAACGGTCTATTAAAATTGTTAGACATCAGCTAAAAGATGCTGATAAAGAAGGGTAGGTAGTAAACTTTAGCACTTATTCGATTGGTCAAAAATTCTTCGAAAACACGGGCGACAAATTAAAGAGGTTGCGTCGAAAACCGGTCGAACATTTCCTATCCTTATTTGTGTCATTTGCAGATATTCAAAGAACCTCAAGGATGGTCCGAACATCAATATTCAAGTAAGTGTGTCGCAGAAGGTTTTCAAATATCGGTCACGATAGATGAAAGAAAAGCCGAGCAACTTTCCAAAACATCGCATCAAATCGATGGAAGAATGCGAAACTGTCTTGAAATTCCTATTCTATTTCAATGTAGCTGTCCGTATTGTATTGAAAGAGATGAAGTTGAGCATCATTCGGATAAAGACTACGACGAGCGCAGAGGACGATCGAAGAATTTGCTTAGATGAGCATAGGAGTGAAAAAGATTAGCAAAAAATGAATACAACATTACCAACTTTGTTGCTCACTAGTATACCATATACTAGCTAAGTTGATGAAAAAAACGGGAACTAAAAAAGATCCCAGAAATAATGGAAGGGATGGATGAGGGGAACGAAAAGGGTGGAAAGGCGGCATAATTTTTGATTGAAGCTAAGTACATGCGCTAGTTATTCGCTGCATTCAAAAATATTTGGGATGCTTTCCGATTTATTCTTTCTCTTTATGACCCTTAGAAAGAAATTTTACAAGATTTTAATAATCGTTTACATAACTTACGAGTAAAATAAGTCAATTGTGCACAGTTTTATATCACATGTAATCCACTTTCAAAATTTGTAATATCAGAAAAGCGCCCTTCACCACGGAGTCTTCTCCCTACCGGTCTGTTACTGGCTGATGAGAAATTATTATAATGCAAGAATTTAATGAATATTAATGCAACTTGCTCTTCCCATTTTGAGTGAATACGATTCTTTGAGATTTGTGCAGGAGGTCGCAAGACTTTCACGGCATGTAGGCGTCGAATATTTCTTTTTTCCGACTGTTTAATGCATGGAGCTTGGAGCCACTGAGCCGATAGCTCTCAGAATAAATGTAAAGATCTGGGATCTGGCTTAATTTCTCGCGATTGATGACAAGAGACAGTTTCAATTTTTTTTTTGAGATTTCGCAGCTTTCGGGCCCGCACTTGAGCTGTAGACCTATAATTTCCAAAATTGTCTACCTGCAGAACCCAAGCTCTAGGGACAGATTTTTCCAGAATAGTATCTTTAGTATTCAGTGTGGGTTCATTTCCAAAACAAAAACAAAAACACTAGAAAACAGCAAGATTTACAAAAGTAATGTCAGTTTCGATCGCATATTGAAACTGACATTACTAGTCAAAATTTGATCTTTTATAGACTTAAAAAATTTAGAATTTACTCAAAGTTTGGGAGACAGGTTGCAGTTTTATAGTAGGACTCAGCTTGAACCTCGAATTTACAAAGTACAATTAGGTAACTAGCAGTTGCTATCTTCCAGTCCTCTTTCCTGCCCTGCTTCTGTTTCACGGTCTCTGTGGATAGTTTCGGAACGGCAGTGGTCTCCGTGGACGTACAGCGTGTTATTATGCTCTGTTTGCCAAGCTGACCATTCGACGCCGTTTCCTCTTCCGACATTTCTCGCTGGGATCCGGTTTTTCAAGATGGTGATCTGCTTTCCGGAGACCGTCGTACGCAAACAGAGTGACTGTTGCAAAGTCGCCTCATCGTACGTCATCCGCAGTTACTTCGCCAGGTAACGCCATAGCGAGAACGACGCATTAATCGAACAGCGGACGAACGGGGAACAGGTCGACAGCGAATGAGTCACCTCGAAAGTAAACGGCAGATTTGGAAGCGGAAGCCCAGAGAAAAATGGGAATGACACCTTTACAAAAGTACGCGGCCTTCTTGCCGGTTGATATAATTGCGCGAGCGATGAAAACAACAAGTGCGGTATAAATTATTAAAAGAAAGCTGGAAGTTCATAATTGATAGCAAAAATTTGCGCACATTTTTAATAAGACAAAAAAACTTTCAAACAATTTCATCACCATCGCAGGAGCGCTATAATAACCTCCAGTTTTTTTGTAATTCAAAATGACAGGTCAGAAGATTTTATAGCAATTGCTAGGATGCTTCAATTTGTAAAATTATCGTATAAGAGAAAAACTTATGGTTGGGAAGCATTTGGAAAGACAACCAGAACTTAGGGAGATTAGCGTCCTAGGATTATCAAATTCGATCCTGAGCTAAGCTGTAAATGATCCTGACAGTAATAATCTCGACTTCCACAAAAAAAAGCGACAAACGCGACCTGCAGAGTCACATCAGCATCACCACATTTGCGTTTACCAGTGCGCAAAGAAGGTAAGCGAGTACCAGAGATTTGTCAAAAAAGCACTGCTTTTTTCCAAGAGATAAATAAATACAATCAGGGCAACGGCATGAGTTCGTTTCTAGGCTTCTTGAAAGCTTTGACTTTCGTGAAATTTTACGAAGTTCCCTTTGACTCTCTGCCTCAAACGTAAAATGATTTAAAAAACGTCGCAATTTTTGGCCACAGGAACGATATTCCCTTTGCTTTTTCGCCTCAAAAACGAAGTCCAGCCTGCTTCCATACGATCTGCTCTGGGCCCTGAATACAATCTCATCAGTGTTCTAAGTGAAATACAAATATGTACTGCTTGCAATATTAATTTGGGTCGCAGCGGTATCCTTTACAGGTTGAGAGCGCGCAGTTCCTCCTCATATTATTTAGCAGTTAACCTTTGATTCAACGAGATTGGCGGCTGGAAGGCGACCGCTCGCGCCCGCGACGCAATCTGCGTCTCTTTCGCAAGTGTGCTCCCTAATCATTCCCTAACCTTAAATAGGTCACGATGCCCCTCCTTACAGCCGCCAATTCAGTTAAATCAAAGAGTACGTAGAATCGCGCCGAGTCATTTCTTTTCTCATATGTGCCATAAGTCAGTTTCTTGGAGTCACTTCTTGATTGAGATAAATTAATAATTACCCTAATTTCACGCGTACAAGGCGCACTTTTTCGAATTTTCAAGCGAGTCGCAGCCGCTTCACTGTATTCCGGAAAGAAATCCTCAGACGCACGATTCTCTCAAGCAATATACAGTACGTTATAGGGTCCCTTGGTTGTAAAGTCCTTTGGCGTGTCTGGGCTGGTCGATTTTGGAAAAAAATCCCCGCGCCTTGTACGCGTGAACTTAGGGTACTACCTTAAAGTTCCGCATTTACAGCTTTCGCTTGATAGCAGTTTTTTGGCTGGTAGATTTCTAGAACACTGATGTTTACGAAAGTTTGCGGTGATAGCAGCGTGAACTATTTGTTTGATAACCAGCTATTGCGCAATGAACAAATGCAATGCGATGATGTTGTGCAAACGGATCGAGGCCGCGAAATTTGAACAAAACAGGATGTGCTTCAAGAAGCACATGCTCTGCTTGTGTGTACATATTGGAGCATTTCTGAGCTCTACATGAAGTTATACCTTCTGCAAAAAAGCTGCTTCTTGTGATGGCTCCGAAAATTACGAATGAATGCTCTCTTCTTTTGAAGCGATCGGGATTTCTCCGATCACCAAAAAAACCTTTGATTCAAGATTAAAAGATTCGAAAAAGGTACTAGAAATGCCTTACTAGTTACCTAAAATTATTGAGCGCTATCTTTGTTGGAAAAATGATCTAAATATTTGATAGCGGCACTTTCACGGCTTTTTGAAATTCAAATTTGTGTTTTCAATCATGCAGCCCAAGCGATAATGTTTGTGAAAGCTGTAAAGCACAACTAAATCAAAGCTGACTGAGTCTATCTGATAATGCAGACAATTTAGTCGTGCACTTTAAAATATTCTCCTTTCTCCATGTTTCCTTTTTTTGAACTGATCCCACAGTTTTGATAAATGAGGACCTTTGCAAGGATTTTGTTAATTTGAAGGATTGGTGACGTAGTTTGAAATCCCGAAATCCACGATGTTGTGCTTTTGGTCCATCATTAATCAAATCTTTTAAAACAACATCCGGATTTGTGTGCAATTGACCATGATTGTCTTTGCCGATGTACATTTTTGAATTTTGAGGTGCTAAAAATAGATTTAGATATTGATAAAAATGCCTGCGAGCTGTTGCTTATATCCTGATAAAAAGATAAGCTTATCTGCACCCACATTGAATCTTATTATGAAAAACGATAGCGTGGACGAAGTACTAATATGAAAAAAAAAGCGAAGCTATGCGGCTAATGGAGTAGCATCGATCAAGCAGGGACATCTCAACGTAGTCAACTTTGGCTTTGAGTGCTCTGAAGAAGTAGTATCTAAATGGAGAGCACTAAGGCGAATATTTTGTTACTTCTAGCAAGGATCCATACCATCCTCTGTGCATAAGCAAAAAACCACTGCAAAACAGAAGTTTCAAGAACAGAATGCTTTATAATATTTGATTCTTCAATGAAGAAACGATTTTTTCATGGACAGCATTGGAAAATCTCCATTAGCTCCATACAAGTTTTGCAAAAAAAATTAGATTGGAAACCGAAACAGTCGCTGCAGTATATTAGGTTGCCCGAAAGTTCTGTAGTTTCACTTTTGAAAATTTATAGCTTTTTGCCATCTCGACAAATTTGCTTCTTTTTCTTTTTTTAGAAAGAAAAGTCTTTCTATTCATAAAAGTTCTTCGATGAGTTTCTACTATACATTGATTGCAGAGATAAAAATGGAAAAAAAAGACCACTTAAGCCTGTGGCGTATTAGATTTTTAATGACCTATCAAAATAATCAAACTCAAGTGTCTTCTTTTTCCATTTTTGTCTCTCAATAAATGTATAGTTGAAGCTAAACGAGATACTTCTATAATGTTTTCTTCTTTCTAATGGGACTAAAAAGAAGCAAATCCGTTGAGACAGCAAAAAATTACAAAACTTCAAACTTAAACGACACAACTTTTCGGAACAATCTAATAGAAGCATCTTGAAGGCCGCGATATTTTCAGTCAGGCGATTGCGAATAATTTTTCAAAAACCCTCCATCCTATAGCACTCAAGCTCTACGGCCCAATGAACGGAATCAAAATTCAGGCATATGGCTCAATCCGTAGAAGCTTCTTTTTCTTTTACATTTTAACACTTCTGAGATAAACGTAAGCAATGTAGAGTGCTTGCAAAAGAAAAGGTTATGAGTTTCTTAAAGTTGCTCAAGACAAACCGCCTGGCATTATGGTGAATCGTAAAATCACAGACATACTTTGCTGAAACGAGTCTGTAATCTACTCCAAAAAGTCATTGGCTATTTCTAAGCTGCAAGTAGAGTGATTTACGAGCCGAAAATTGAGAACATAAATCCACTCTTTGCTTCACTGGAATGGAAATTATAACCAAAAAAGCGCGACTTTTTATTAGAATAACTGTTTGATTTGCAATAACTAACTCAAAAAGAAAAACCAGAGAGATATGAACCGCGGCATAGATGAAATCGCAGATTTCTACGAGTTATTGGACTCAGCCGAGTATTGGTATCAAATCAAGTACTAGCAGAAGGATGCTGCAGTGAATGTTTTTCAAACTTTGTTTGCCGTTCCGTGAGATCAGCCGTCCACAAAACTCGGAATAAAATACATTTTTGTTTCGTCTTGGTCCGATTTCATTCGCATTCATGCCCAGATTTTTGCTGGTGGAGGAACTATGCGGAAGCACGTCACGAGTGATCCCATGAGTTTGTTTTTTGAGCGGGTTTCAAGCGCTCTAGACAATTCCGTGATTGTAATAGCCGCCGAGTTCGCGATTCGGAAGGAGCATCCGCCCCTACCGGTCGCCGCGCGCAGCTCTGCGACCTACATAAAAGAGCCTATGGAGCACGGCCAGCATCCACGATCGACTCACTTCCAATGGCTTCGAATGTACTCTGGTAAGAAAATTTTGTTCGCTATTTTTTGAAGTTTTTAAGTTTTTTGTTTTGTTTTGTTGGACTTCATTTGCTGAAGAAGTATCGTATTTTTATCTGGTCTTTTGCTTTCATTATGACCAAGAAGTGCTCTAGCTTCCATTTATAAATATAGCTCTTTTCTCCATTCCAAACTCATGTTAAAAATTTTCAGCATTCTCCTCTCTGCTCTGGCAGTGTCGCATGCGCAAGTAGCGGTGAATGGACAATTCTTCGGCAGATACTACGCAGCGGCGAAGCCCGTGCTCACTCCTGGCTATGCTCAAGTCGCTGCTCCAGTGTTCGCTCCAGCAGCCCCAGTATACGCAGCTCCTGCTCCGGTCTTCGCTGCACCTGCTCCAGCTCCCCCTCCCGCTCCCGTCTACGCTGCTCCTGCACCGGCCATGATGGCTGCTCCAGCACCAATGTTGGCTGCTCCAGTCGCTAGACCCGTCTACGCTGCCTTCGCAGCCCCTGCCGTGCAAGCAGCTCCTGTTCTGGCTGCACCACCCGCTCCGGCTCCTGCATACGCCGCACCTGCGCCGATGGCTCCAGCTCCAGCCTTCGCTCCAGCTGCTCCATTCTTTGCTGCTCAGGCTTACGTCCCAGCCTACGCTCCCTTCCTCCGAACTCCTTACTTCATTGGAAGTAACAAGTCGAAGAAGGATTAAATTATACTATGCCATACAGTGAATGTCTGTACATTTGTGCTATGTAATAAATGCTCACTCATCAAGGAGTTGCAATGTATTAGGTCATTCCAAAACTAATTTCGCTTTTTTCAAACGGGCGCCACATTTGATGGAACAAAGATTTCTAGGAGATTGATAGAATTCGACACAGCATTTCATACTCTTTTCAATGGTTATGAAAATCAAGTTTCACAATTTTTTAAAACTTTCAGATCAATCATCAGAAGGAACTCAAGTAACGATCCGATAGAGCAAACCTTATAGAGTACAGCTCAACTTTTTTCTCTTTTTTATAGCCAGCCGTAATTTTTTGAAAGATTATTCAACAAAGCCATAGGATTTTGGCAGGCCTACATCAGCCACAATCGCATCAAACATCATAATTGTTCGGAATCTGAGACTACCAGAATGGTACTATGAGTTAGCACTAATTTTACAAAGAGGTGAGAGTTTACGGATCCGAAATACTAAATTTCAGCTCTTCCAGGTACAGCCTGAGGCTCGTTAAAAAAAGAGTTGTGATGATTTTATCCCCGAAAACACGAATCGGAAACGAAAAACACCCCTTAGAAAGAGGAGAAAATGTTGCATCGAATCCCGAGCTGCTCTTCCTTTGATGTTCTACGAAGATTTAGCAGTCCAAGTATGGAAATAGGTGGCATCAGTTAAAATTCTGTTAAAAATGTATGACAAACTATCTAAAGGAGAAAAAATTGTTTTGCATTCTGTAGGGTTTGCTCTATAACATGTTACTCGTAGTTTTTCGGAGGGTTGATATAAAAGTTTAGAAAAATTGATTGACGATCTCAAAAAGCATAGGGCGCAGATTTTGGTCATTATCTGAAAGCTCATTGACTGTGTTGCAACAATTTCATAATCATTAGAAAGAGGATGAAATGCTGTGTCGAATGCTATCAAGATGTGTTAAAAATCTTTGTTCCATCAAATGTGGCGCCCGTTTGAAAAAAAGCGAAATTACTTTCGGAATGACCTAATATAACAGGACGAGCAACCACTATAAGACTGTAAAACAATAATATAGAGGATTCACTGTGAATGAAAAAACCAAGTTTTCAGTGAAAGTAATGCTAGATGATTTGCGTGAAAATAACAGCAGGATAAGCTGCGATCTCAGTTGAACACTGTTTTTCAAGAATACTTAGGAGTAGCGCTAACAATGGATGATTTATAAACAACAGTAGGAAATAACGCTAGACCTCGATGAATCATAGCCAATTCCTAACTAGAATACTCGGCGACAGATGTGCACTTCCCGGTTATCAATCTGCACCGCAAGTAGTAAAAAGATGGACTACCTGGTTGTACTATCACGATTTCTGGTCCAACTAATATCAAGCTAAAAATCATCAAATTGGCCTCAGTGAACTGGCTCTCGAAGGATGTTTCTTCAGCCACCTATTACTGCGTTTCAAACTTTTTGGAAGCTATCTGTGCCAAATGTGCCAAATGCCAATCCGCAGTTGTTATACCACCTGAAGCCATCTCAAAAATCATTTGACCTTCTGCAAAATCTGCTACTACAAATGTAATGGAGGCAAGCGAATGCCAGAGAAGCGTGTCAGCTTTCGACATCTATAAATAAGGGGACCTAGTGAGAGAGGACTTAGCGCGAACATCCTGGCCAGCGAATACCAAGTTAAGAATAAGATTGGAAGTTTTTAATCTTGGAAGAATCGAACGAAGAAGAAAGACATTCACTCGAAGTCAATTATGATATGCTCCTTTTGCGAGACTGCCCATTCAACTGAGTTTATTTAACAAATTATAGGGTTTGACAGCGGACTCCAGCAGATCTTCCATTGGCATACTCTATAATTTTTGTGACTTGCAAATAGTGTTTTTGCACAATCCATAGTTTACGACAAAACTTTTACTTTTTCTTCAACACACAACGTTGCATTTGCTAACAAAATTGATAATCGTCAAACTCAATGAAGCTAATGCTCGAATAGCTTTCAACTTCCATTTAGAGGCAGCAGAAAGCGAACCGTTTGATCCGATTTTACGCTCAAACACAGTTCGTACCCTTTCAATCTGCGACTATCCTAAGCGCGTCAAAATTTCACCACGCATTCTGGGAGACTTGTAGTTAATCTTACCGCACTTGCTACGTCAGTTCGAAGGTAGTCATCGAGCAAACTATCCCATAAAATTTTAGTCCTCTCCTAACATCGGCTTTACTACCTTAGCTCTATTGGAATAAAGTCAACCCTTTTTCATGACCTGGCAGATTATTTAGATGATTTGTGCAAGAAATAAAATTTGTCCCACTTACTTGGTAATTGGTAATTGATCCAATCATGAGTTTTTGATATCAGGGCCAGTAGTAAACCTGTCGAAACGCGCAGCTCAAACTCAAAGTTAACCCAGAGTTAAATCTGAGTTAACACGCACCTTTCAGGGACCATTAACACCTGCATAAGCAAACCAAATTGAGGAAAGGGTTATATGGCAGGATACCCCGCAAGACGTACTTTATGCCAAGTTTGGAAACGTAGCGTAATTCGTTCCACGCGAGACGCTACGCGACGAAACGCGCAGCTCATTGTCAGCTGCGCGTTAACTGTGAGTTTGCTGCGCGTTTCAGCCGCCCGCGAAACTCGGAGTTAACTCTGAGTTTGGTTAGAGAAAGAGAAATAGTGCGTAAACGCAGAGGTCCAGAAAAAAGTCCTCCGGGGTAGATTTTGCTCCGACTTTCATGAAGCATGATGGGGGTGGGGTATCGTGGTGCACCGTTCAACACAAAAACTTAAAATTTTATAAAATTTTGGTCCCGGGGGTTATCCGACGCGCTGATCACGAATCCGATGCTCATTTTTCGCCATTCGCCCACTTAAGAAAGTTACGGTAGGGATACGGTAGTTGGGCGAAAGTCACGAAATTTGCTGAAACTTGGTACAGTGGGGTTATTTGCCATGCTGATCACGAATCCGATGCTCATTTTTCGTCATTCGCCCACATAAGGGAGTTACGGTAGGCATACGGTAATTGGAGCCACAAATTTGCTTGAAACTTGATACAATGGGGTTTTTTGGCATGCTGATCACGAATATAACATTCGTTTTTCGCTACGGGGCCACGGAGCGCGATTACGGTAGGAATACGGTAGTTGGGCGAAAGTCTCGAAATTGGCTGAATCTGGTACACTGGGGTTGGTTGGCACGCTGATTACGACTATGATATTCATTTTTCACCATTCGCCCTTATAGCGAGGTACGGTAAGGATACGGTATTGGGCGAGATTCAAGCATTATGAAACTTGGTCTGGCGAGGTTGTTCGCTGTGCTTATTCGGATATGGTAATCATTTTCCACCGCTGACAGATAGAGCAGAGTTACTGTAAGAATTTGGTGAAAACCAAAGTCCCATAACAGATTTGACATTGGTTGTCTCAGTGGCGTTACGCGATGTGTTGATTACGATCACATTGCCCGTTTTTCACTACAGTGGTTTATAGCGGAAAAAAGATACGGTAGACTATCCAAAACCACAGGATTTCATGAAAGTAGGCTTCGTTACTTCCGCACGCTAATCAGGAATATCACAGTCGCTTGAAAATACCTTTCAAAAAGGGGTTTCGATGGATTTAGGTAGATGGATAGAAAAATCTCACTTGGAACTTCTTTTCAGGGAAAGTTTAGCTAAATATTTAGTTACCAGTGACGGTCGCAGGATTTCCGTTCGGGAGGAGGGGGGAAGGGGGACAAAAAGTTTTTCAAGTGAAGGTGCATGGCGACAATTTTTCGGGGTGTTCTTAACATTTTTTGCTGGCCCATACCCCTAAATTACAGGAAAAGGGGGCTTGTCAGCAGCTACGCCCCCAAAAATTTTTTGTACAAGGCTAATTTGAATCCTAAGAAATTTTAAAAGATAATTTTATTATTTACAAGAACGAACAAGTCATTTGCACATTTTTATAAAACAGTAAGTAAATTTCAAAAATTTCGCGACCCATCGCGGGGAGAGGGGGAGCCTCTTCTTCGGTCCGCCACTGTTAGATACTTACTATCTCTTCTTACTGCAAGACTATACGATGGGACTGCAGTAGACGTGGTGGAATAAACTTACTGAACTGCTTAAAAATTCGCCACTGAGTTCATTTGGCAGTGCAATTATGATCATGCTGTCCGTTTTCAATGAGGATTATTACGCTGGGCATATACGGAAGAGCGGCAAAAATCATGGGTCGAATTGAACTTTCTTAGCAAAAAAGCAATGATACCAGTGTTTTTTTGAATTACGTCTTTTTTAGTGTGTCAAAAGAAACCTCGAGAAAAAATTTTCGAAATTTGCTACATTATTCAGAGGTCTTCTGAAATCAGTCGATTTACGAATGACCTGTAGACATTGTTTACTACTTGAAGTCTATATTATAAAACCAGTGCGTCATTTCTGCTTCGCAGAGGCTCGCACTGGTCTTACTTCATATGCCTTACTCATTCTTGACTAAAGGTGGCAAAGAAACTCACCGCGCAGTGTCGATTATCGCGAGTAAAATGTACGCGGCGTGGCGTGGCGGTGGCGTTACGCGGTACGTTGATTACGATCACATTGCGCGTTCTTCACTACAGTGGTTTATAGCGGAAAAAAGATACGGTAGACTACCCAAAATCACAGGATTTCATGAGAGTTGGCTTCGTTAATTCCGCATGTTAATCAGGAATATCATGACCGCTTGAAAATACCTTTCAAAAAGGGGTTTCGATGGATTTACATAGATGGATAGAAAATCTCACTTAGACTTTTTTCGGGGGAAGTTGAGCTAAATACTTAGTTACCAGTGACGATCGCAGAATTTCCGTCCGGGGGAGGGGTACAAAAAATTTTTCAAGTGAAGGTGCGTAGCGTTAGTCACGCACTCCGATAATTTTTCGTGCTTCTTGACGTTTTTTGCTGGCCCATATCCCTAAGTTTTAGGAAAAGGGGGCGTGTCCAGCTACGCCCCCAAAAAAAATTTTTACAAGGCTAATTCAAAAAAAAATTTCAGGAGATAAATTTATTATTTTCAAGAACGAACAAGTCATTTGCACATTTTAATAACCTAGTGAATGAATTTCAAAAATTTCGCGATCCATCTCGGGGAGAGGGGAAGCCTCCCATTCGGTCCACCACTGTTAGATACTATTTCCTTTTTTCTGCAAGACCATGCGATGGGGTTACAGTAGATGTGGTGGAATAAAATTACTGAACTGCTTAAAAATTCGCCACTAAGTTCATTTGGCAGTGCAAAATGAACATGCTGTCTGTTTTCAATGCGGATGATTACTGTGGGCATTTACGGCAGAACGGCGAAAATCTCAGGTTGAGTTGAACTTTCTTAGCAAAAAAGCAATGATACCAGTGTTTTTTGAATTACGTCTTTTTTAGTGTGTCAAAAGAAACCTCGAGAAAAATTTTTCGAAATTTGCTACATTATTCAGAAGTATTCTGAAATCAGTCGATTTACGAATGACCTGTAGACTTTGTTTACTACTTGAAGTCTATATCATAAAACCAGTGCGTCACCTCTGCTTCGCAGAGGCTCGCACTGGTCTTACTTCATATGCCTTACTCATTCTTGACTAAAGGTGGCAATGAAACTCACCGCGCAGTGCAGATTATCGCGAGTAAAATGTAAACAAGTATCCATTTAAAATGCTTTTTCATGTGAGATCGATGATTTCGCGTGGATGAAACTTTTCGCAGAAGAACAAATACAAATTTGAATAGGTTTTTGGACTCTTTCTGGCTTGGTAGCTACCATAGGAACAGTAGGCAACGTGAGCTACATCTCTGTGCAAAATATTTCTCGAATGCTCAGGTAAAACCACGGCAAATTAATCATTTACGCAACCATTTCTTTTTGGCGTCGTTCTCCTAAAGTAGTGAAGCTTTGTCCACTTTTTTGGACTCAAGTCCAAGGCTTGCACATCAGCATGCCAAAAACATCACCGACTTTGCAAAAAGTGGTGATACGGAAGCAATTTTGCTGGCCAGAACCCAAGTGGTTTCGTTTGACGCGCAGTTTCTGAAAGATCCAACCAACAAAACCACTCGTGCTTTTGCACGGTAGGCTCTTATGTTGGTCGCATGCGATGTGCAAAATTTGGGCTCAGGACGTTGGCTGGAACACGCTGTACGAATTTCGTTACAGACAGACACACAGACATACACACATACACATACACAAAAGCACGTAAACAACCTTAGCCCGTTATTATAAGTTATGATAACGGTCTATTTCAAGATTACAAATTATAGATCTAGGTCACTCGAAAAATTTTGGAGACTAACAGACTTTCAAATTTTAACAAGTATAATAGCATATCAAAATATGGTGAGAGGGGAGGGGGACGGATTGTTGGGTTACTGTCTATGTCCATGTTTTATCCTGCTACTACTTTGAGAATCTTTAAGATATATTATATTATGGCTAGGCACCAGTGGCGGATTGAGGGGGCAGGAAGGGAGGCGGGGGTGAAACTTACTTACATGGGTTATAAAAATGTGCAAATGACTTGTTTATTTTTGTAAATGAATAAAATAATTTTAAGAATTTTTTGAAAATTCAAACAAGCCTTGTAAAAAAATTTTTTTCGGGGGCTTTGGACCCTCAAGAATTTTGAGATGCACCCAAAAAAAATTTTCAGTGTGCGTGGCTAACGCCACGCACCTTTATTTAAAAATTTTCTACCGCCCCCCCCCCCCCCGAGATCGTAATCCTGAGACCGCCACTGCTAGGCACCTCACAGGCAACCCTAACGCCTCTCCACGTGTCTTGACATGTGAGATCTTGGTTAGGGGATTCATCAAGCAGTTGCAGCAATTTTGCAATTGTGGCTCTTTAGCTTAGCGGTCTAGTAGTAGGCACTTCGCGCCGAGTAACGGAAGTTTGAGTCCCGACTTAGTCGCAGCGTTTTGCGATGAGGCGTGTGGCGGCTACTCAACAACTAGAGCGGATCCTCAAGTAGCAGAACGAAACTCCGAGTTTCAGAAACGAAACTCGCAGTTAACTCGGAGTTTCAAAACGAAACTCAGAGTTAACTCTGAGTCAACTCGCAGCTTTAAACTCGGAGTTTCGACCAGATTACTACCGGCCCTGAATTTGCTATTTTATTATGTTGGTTAGCATTGCTATATCACAAAGGCTAAACATGCCCGAGTTGTATGCAGTACCCAAGAATAGAAACAATCAGCTTTATTCCATTAGGTCGTTTCATAAGTTTATAGAGTAGAGTTTTATATAATCAACGAAATGACGAAATTCCAGCAAAATTCACTTAATAATGTTTGTTCCGTTGTTGCGCACAACCTTCTGCTAGCAAACTTGTTTCATAAAAAAATGAGACTTGCCAAAAATGCTTCTTTTTGCTTTACGAGAAATCTTTCTTGGGAAGCTTAGGAATCAAAGCAAGTCAGCTTTCGTCGAAAATAGTTAATCCGTTTTGAAGAGCATGATTACATATAGGGCATTTGAAAAATCGTGACGATAGCGCGACCGCACGCCACTTCCAGAAATCGCATTTTCTTGGTTTTCATTTCTAGTCGAATGGTTTTTTTGCTTACGTACGATAGTATTTAGACATTGGAAGTGACTGAGCTAAACGTTGAGGTGATGTCTTCTTGTATGAGCGTTTTATGTTCCTGTGGGCGCAAAGTCCGCAGTAAAATCTGTCGTTACGATTTTATTAGGCGAGTGCAGAAGTTCTTGCGCCGGATTTTCAAAAAATCATAACTTTCTTGCCACTCTGTAAATTTTCTTGACTTTAACTTCATTTGAAAGAGAAACCTTTCTCGTTACAAAGGTACCTTTGCTATGAATTGGCATCAGAAAGTTCCACAGCTAAAGGCAATTGAAGGAAATCAGTCAAGATTGGCATTTTTCAAGCTGGATTACGAAAAATTCTGGGAGTATTTTTATTTGATAGAGAAAATTTTGCACATTACAGCGGTTCCTTTTTCATGAATTAAAACGAAGCAGTTCGAGAGTTAGAAGCAAATAAAGAGAATTTCGTCACTTTTGCAATTTTTGAGCATGCTCAAAATTGCAAAAATGAAGGAATTCTCTTTTGCTTCTAACTCTCGATCTACTTCGTTTTAATTCATGAAAAAGGCACCACTGTAAGGTGCAAAATTTTCTCTATCAAATAACAGAATTTTTCGTGATCCAGCTTGAAAATCGATCCTTGCTAATTTCCTTCAATTGCTTTTAACTCTCGAGCTTATCAACGTTAATTCATGGGGAAGGCACCGCTATAAAGAAAAAGGTTTCCTCTTTCATACAAAAATAATTTTGAGAAAAATCATTGAGAAGAAAGGAAGTTATGATTTTTTGAAAATCCGACGCAAGAACTTTTGCACCCACCCACCTTATATAAATGAACTATAGCTCTTCTCAGTGATGAGCGTATCTTGCCGCAAATCAACCGCTCCTCACAGAAATGAGGACGAGATTGAAAACTCTACGAACTTATGAAACGACGTAGTACACATAAGATACATAAAGCAGACGATCAAGAATAATGATCTCTGTTTGAAAAATACGATTTAGATCTTTTTCACCATCTTCTTCACCATTTTCCTTATCACCCGCACCTTCGCCACTTTCTTCACCACCTTCTTCACCTTTGTCTTCGCCTGTTTGTTTTGTGCGGAAGCATCCTGAATGGAAAAATTCTTAGAAAGTGGCAACTTCTTTTCATAGGGGAGAATTCATATTTTTGAACTTGCTCACATTGATCGGACAAGGACAATATCCCGCGTCCTCACCGAGGTAACCGTCTACTCCAGTCATTCCTTGCTCACCGTCATCTCCTCGTCTTCCGGGATTGCCGTCACGGCCAGGAGCCCCAACCTATGAAAAAATTACGAAATTGAATTATTATTAGGTAACCTTATTTTTACATTTCCAGCAGTCTCATCATCTCCTGGAGTCCCATTCTTTCCTGCAATTCCTGGTGGACCTGGTGGACCGGGAGGACCAAGTTCGCCCGGTCGACCAGGTTCTGGACTTTGCGCATCTTGTCCGGCAATTCCAGCTTGGCCAGGTAAGCCTGGCTCGCCAGCGCGACCTGGATCTCCCACTGGACCTAGGCTTCCCGGAACTCCGTCATTTCCTGGAGGTCCCATCTGCCCTTGTTCGCCAGGCTGTCCAGCTGGTCCTTCATTTCCTCTACTTCCCGGTTGTCCTGGGGGTCCTGGAGGGCATTGAATGCATCCTCCAGGTATGTTCTGGGTGACAGCTAAGGAGATCCCACGCACTCCAAGTTTTCCAGCTTCACCTGGTGTCCCGTCAAGTCCTCGATCGCCCGGTTGACCTGGTGTGCCAGGTGGACCGGCTGGGCAGTTCTGCGGTTGCGTACCACATTCTACAAATAGTTTCGGCTTTAGTCAGGAGTAAAACTTGAATGTTACTCACGGCATTCAGCCTGCCTCTTGCTTCTTCCGAACGGAATTTCCCTTGTGGGTCTTCTCCCACTTGCATTAGGAAGCTGTTCCTTCATTAGCCGCAACCAAGTGTAATCAGCCATTTCCTGAGAACACTACTCTAGATAGCAAACACAGTTATATTGATCGGAAAAGCATGGTAACCTGGACAATTAAGCAATGAAGCACATTTTCTTGTGATGAAATTACACTACTCGATCTTGATACATCCGATGCCTAAAAAAGCACCCTTGCATTAGAAGTGCGTTCAATGACCTTTCATAGGGAATATGCTCACTATTTTTTTGGTGAGATTATAATAAAGCTTGTTCGGTCCTTTTTTCAAAACACGATTGGAAATTGACTGATTAATCTAGTTTAGTAAAGGTGAATTAGCAATCGGATAACCTAGTTTAGCGATTTGATAAAGGTCATCTTATATAAGCAATGAAGAAAATATAGCTTTGTAGAATCAACACTTTCTATAATGCCCTCGTAGGCTAATACGCTCACCAGCAAATCGTTGTAACAATCTGCTAGGCTAAGCCTTAATGATTTTCTCTGGCTATACCTCTATAGCGTAGAATTCTTATGAATCAGTCTAGAAACTTTTAAACTATAGAGTGACGTTGATTACTGAACTAGAAAAAGATTTTTTGCTGGCAGCACTAGCGTTTTTTCACAGTTTTGATTTTCGGACTGCGAATTTCTATAAATGAAATCCTGAAAGTAAACAGTTAACAAACCTTGGCTTCCCTCATATTTGTCTCTATGTCAAACTTCACGTTGTCGATTTCCTGAACTATGACCACCACTCCAACAAGCGAAGCGAGAGTTGCCGCGGCAGCCGCTAACGACGTGATTCCAACGGCTGTAGAGCTCATTCGAAATGTTTGGTTGGCGAACTTAGAAGATTACCAGTGTATCAGGTAAAGGAAGGCTAGCGCTGATAATCATATACAGTCTTATATATTGGCCAAGGTCAGTATAAAATAACTTAACACCAAATCTGGGCGGTGACCTAGTTTTAGCCGCTAGTATAGGTAACACAATGCATCAACTTTGATCGCATGATACGCTTATTTAGCACAAGCTAAGGTAGGGTGGTGACCGAGGATGTAGTCTATGAAGTGTTTTTTTTACATAAACCTCATTTACTAATATGTTCGGGCCTAGCTAACTATCGAATTTTGAAGACACTCTACCACTCCAAATACTAATCTGATGAAGAAATTTTGATTCATATTCACACTTTTCTGATTTGCATTTCAGGTTTGAAAATCAATAAGATTACTGTCGGATGACGGTATTGGAGTCAGTACCAAGTTGAAAACTACAGAAATTATATTCGGATCCATGAATAAAATTAGTTGCTCATTTTGAGGTTCGTAATGGTGGTCACCCAAAAGCTATGTACCCTATTTTCAGGTGTGTAAGCCGCGGGGTGGTCCTAGCTTACATCGACCAGCCCAAACACATCAAAGGACCTCGCAACTAAAGGACCTTATACCGTGCTGCGTATTGCCTGAAAGAATCGTGTGGCATAAGATTGCTTCCCGAAACACAATGATGCGACTGAGCAGTTCTTGGGAAAATCTAAAAAAGTGCGGCTTATACCCCTGAAAATAAGGTGCATTGATGTGCATTATACTCAGTGCAAAAGCATTCTGTATTCTTCTTGGTTTTTCCTTCCACTGTGAAGAGTAATATCTGTTCTTGATGACCTGTTTGTTACTTTTCACTAACAACGTCTTGGTACGCATTATGTAATTCCGAAAACCTTAAGAAACTTCACAGCAAAAGAGGTCAACCTTGAACAAGCTTGATTTATGCTTTAAGCGACAAGTGCATATCTGACTAGATAGATGTTACGATAGTTACAGGCTAAGACTTAGTTTATGAACTGTTGCAATTGTGCCACGGGTCACAGCAAATTCGCTTTTGAGAGCGTTGCAAAAGAGATATCCCGGAGGTACTCTCACAGATTTTAATATATTGTCTCATTGGTATAAAATGTTATCTAACCTTTTTGGGCGGCACAATCAAACCCACTGATTTTCACCAAGATGGAATATATTCATTGGAAAACTCAGACAACTGACCGGAAGTTCCGCAGAACGTTTGAATTTTCGTCGAGTTCCTGCGGGTTCCGTAAACGTTCTGCGGAAGTTCTTATTTTTAGATGAGGTGCTGCGGAAGTTTCCAAGAATGCGAACCACAACAGCAAAAGAGAAATAGATTCAAAATTCTCCTACCGATTGCGAGTTATCCTTTGCACTACGAATGACATGTTCGACAGTGCACTCTAGCTGTTGGCGGCATTTTTCGGAATTTTGCGAAAGGTCCCGTTTTCAAACAGTTTAATGTGAAGATCTTGCGGAAGTTCCCACTTTCGACGTTTCCTCTTCTGTGACAGTAAACAAAATCCTGCAGAACAGCTGTGAATTTTGCTTGTCTTGCAGGCTTTCCGGTGAATTTTCTGAGATAGCTTGCCCCAAGTTATCAAAACAGCGAAGAACTTCTTACTTTTTCTATGGTGGGATTACACTTTGGCAACTGCTTGTACACTTGCTAGCCATAGGCATGAAAGTAATTTCGAGGAGAAGACACTCACAAAGATTGACTCCTCTGTTTTCAATTTCCTTCATCCGAATATCACTCACTTACGAGTCTCCCGATGCAGTCCATTTCATGTTCCATAGATGACAGCAAGAGATACCATGAATTTTCGGAAATGGAAGCGGTGGAAGGAGGAGTGCTACACTAATCCAAGGAAAGTTTAGCTATGACTTCGAAAATTTATACAAGTGCTTCTAGTTCTTGGCAAGCATGTAGCCCTTATTCTTTTAAAAGTGGAGACGTGGCGATCGCAAAGTCAAATCGTTTTCTACTTCATTAGAAAATTCTAAATCGCTTTCAAAAATATTAGGTTGAAAAGAAAGGAATGTCGTTGAAAAAAGCAGAACACAAGTCGAACCCGGAAAAATGTATAACGGGGTACCAAAAAAAAGGAAGCAAACTTTACAAGACAGACTCTACACATCGCATAAGTCGTGATTAACACAGAGTTTGAGGGAAATCAAATCAAATCCCACCACCAACTGATAATGTAAAAAATTGGATCTTCGCCCCAACAAATCCGATTTCTTACTTGCTCCTGCATAGCCAAACATGCTCACCTATACCATGCTATATTTTTTCGTGGTCAGAAACGAAGAAAAAAAGGGAAACGAAAAAGGCAAACTCCACGCTCCGCAGTTTTTAGCTTCCATTTATGCGCACTGCAAACCTTTGAGGTCTTAACCATAATATTTAGCTCATCTACATGCTTTGAGTTCAGAAAAGACTGATTTTAGCCAAAAAAATCGAAAAAAGTGACAATTTTTCAGTGTAGATCAAATCATCCATATTATTTTGTAACTCGTGAGACCATTTCTGACTTTTCGCAGCCCATTCTGGGGAGGACTAGGAGTTATCTTCCATCCCTTTGCCTTCGATCTTCATTCTGTTTCGGTAAGCAAAGTGTCATTAGAAAGTTAGTGATATACTCTTTCCGATAATGCCAATAACTGTGCAACTAAAAGTTACGAGTTTTTGAAAATGATGCGATAGAACTCTCGAACCAATCTATATAATTCTTGCATATATGATTATTTCAGGGCCTTACCTATCCTGCAAAGTTCTCTTCATGAAAAAAAATGCCCTAACTCTGGCAATGTGTAAATTCATAACTTCAGCGATGTGATGCGAGCAACTTTGGGCTATTCGACATACTATAATTTGCAATAATTGTACACGAAAGCTTTGGAATAGCAGCGAAGTAACGAAATTTCATTTAAACCCTCCCTGACCCTCACTGAGGCCGTGGCTGCATATAACAAGTGTACAAAGATACTCGGAAAATTCATTCACATTGGAAAAAACAGTCAAACGAAGCGTGCATATTTAGGAGATCTGCACAGCATTAATAAGGAATTGCAGCATTCATTCACAAAGTTGTATAAACTATTACGACAGCTTCCCAGCCGTAGTTTGTACATGAAAGACTGAATTAACAAAATTTCATTTAAACGAATAAGTTCCTATGGACGATGACACCTGGTTTTTGAGGCAGCTCGCTGAATGAACGATATCGGCACTGGATTCCTAGGTATAAAACGCAGAGCACGACAAGCTGCAATACCGATTCGATGGTGAAAATGATCTGAAATTAGATATTTGAGGTAGTAGTTGACGCAAGAATAAGAAAAGTTACTATCTATCAATTTTTATCGACCAGTCCATGCGGCAACGAAAGTATTGTATTATCTTATTCTGATGCTTGGCTTAGCGGGTATTCTACATCGTTGGAGTATAAATCGTAAGTTCCGTGAGACTTTCTTAACACTCAATATCTTTTGTAAATGTAGCTTTCAACAAAGCCCAGTGACGCACATTGTTAACAACGTAGTCTGGACAGCACAAGCCTATCGTTCTACTTTGCGATGAAGTCCACATTCACATGTACTTGAACGAGAAGCTGCTGTATTTTTTGCGCTCAAAATAAACATTCTTTTCAAATTTGCTCGAGAAAAGGGGGAAGTCGAGTGATCAACGATGAAAAATTAATTGGAAAGACATTTTGTGCAGCCTCGTTCGTCGGTCATGTAAAAACTGAGTACAACTTCAGTCTTCGCTTCTAATTTTTTTCAAGCTTGAGCAATACACTTAGCCACAATTGTAGCTTATGTCACATTTTCCCTCCCAAAGAAAATCAGATTAATCTGATTCCGTTGCCCATTTAACTTACCAACAACTCATACCCTGATAATATCGACAATTGTTGTAGCAGAGCTTGGCACAGGTGGCATATAAGCAAGCTGGCTATCATTTTTGGGAGAAAAAGCAAAGGTTTTTATGGCCGAAAAAATCCGAAAAATACAGGTCAAATTACGTCTTTTGGTGAGCGTTTCGTTTTTTGAGGGTTTTTACGTCTTTGGTTTAGGGTTAAAGGGGACTTTGTAAAATTTTGGGAAAGTAGAGGGTGACTTGGTTTTTTACATTTTCGGAAAGCCACCTCGTGCGAGCCCTGGTTGTTAGGTGACTACTAATAAATCAACGAAATCAATCCTTGTAAAGACGATAAGACATTAGATATTTTACTATAGCTACTCAAATCAGCTCAAATTAATTCAATTGATAGCACATATTCTTAGCTCTCGTTTAGCTAGATGCTCAAATATACACTTTTTGACCGCAATTTTATGTCACATTACAATTTATCAGTGTCAGTTTTTCTTGATGGCACTGGCTTGAAGACTTACCGCACAAGCTCTCAGTCGAAGAAAGTACCAGTGCGAAGCGTCTTGAAATTGTCGTGGAGTAGCTTTGAAGGCGAACTTGCCAACCTCTTCTGATGCCTGCATAGCAAGGTACGTGCAGAACGCGCACAAGACACTCGATATGCTTAGAAGAACTCCATGCTGTAAAATGCTTTCTATAGTAAGGATATTAAGCTAAGCTACTTTTAGAAACTATGAAAATCAATTTATGGCTACCGCAAACTTACAATGAAAGAAGTTAGTTGAGGGCAGTTGTTAGCGACATTTTGCACAGTCTGTGGTGCATTATTCGCAAGCACTGCTAGTGACGAGAGGATGAAGCAGAGAATGGATGCCCCATAGAACCATAACGAGAGCTCCGTCCGAATCAGTATTCTCTGAAATCACTGGGTAATCTTCAGCCAAACTCAGTCAAGACGCAATAGTTGTCGGAAAAGCTTGTTCCAACAATAGAAAGTTCTAACATTATTCCACGACCTTTGTAAGATGATCGCTTGCACTTACCATATCGGGTACTGTGTAATACATTTCCCTCATCACTATGAAGTCGAAGATTGAGCATGTGAGACATAACGAAGCAACTCCACAGATCTGTAAATGAAACTATTTTATTAATTGGAATGTAAATAAAATTGAAGACATTTGTACCTTTAATACCCCTGAAATGCTCTGAACATCAAAAGCATCAACTATAATTGTCCTAGTTCGCACTTCGAGTAAATTATGAGCACTACGAACATTAATCGAATTCGTAAGAGTGATTTGTGTGCAGATTAACCATTAAGATTTAAGGAATCTTCTGATTCATGATAATAGTTGAGGATATAATTCATGATAATAATTAAGGATTCTCCCAATTCATGTGCAGTACATGAATGGGCTATCACTAGTTTTAGTCCCATTGATATGTATAATAGTTTTGTATTCGTATGTGAAATGCATTTAAACCGCTATTCATTGCTGACTGTGTCGAGTTTGCAAATTAATCTATTTACGTCAAAGCATTTTTCGCTCTGCAGTCACAGATATTAGGTTGTCCCGAAAGTTTTGTCCGTTTTTTCAACCTATTATAAAAACGCGTAGAACGAAGATAGGGAAACGCTCTAAGTATTATCCGATGCATCTTTTCCTTCTCTTTCTAACTGTCAAGCCCTCATGAGGATTAATCTTTTGCTCACTGAGATAAACACCGAAATTTCGAACCCATGGTTTTTACTATGTCCAAGTTTGTTAATTTTTCACAATCTTTATTTTTGACTTTCGGAAAAGCTTTGGCAACTGTTAGATAGAGCAAACAAAGGGCAATATAATGCAATTTTGCGGCATCTATAGCCAGCCTTGAAAATTTTTTAGAATTATTTTTTCTGATGCTATCAAATTCCACTTTTGGTGATGCCAAAAGCCAGAGATCATGAAAGGGCGCACAACTAAGGTGTTATTCGATGCAGCTTTTCCTCCTCTTTCCAGTGAGTGTATTTTCTCTCCAATTTGCGAAGTCTTTGGCTATAAAATTTTCATAATTCTTGAATTTGGCCCCACCCCAGCGTGTAGACGTAAAATGCAAAATCTTATATTTCGAAGCGGTAAACGCTCATTTACTTCGTAAAAATAATAAATAATCGTAATCGGTTTTTGAAAGCTTCAAAATTCGATGATTTGTTAGTATTCGAGGCGTTTCTGTATTTTAGAACTTCGCAAAAGTGAAGACTTTTGAAAAAATTATCTTTAAAAATATTGAAAAGCCAGCTAGATAAGCCAAATAATTGCATTGCATTGCGCTTTGCTTACTCTATCTGAGGGCTATCAAAGGTCTTCCAAAAGTTGAAAATGAAGATTGTGAAAAATTGTCAAACTTGGACATAGTAAAAACCATGGGTTCGAAATTCGGCGTTTATCTCGGTGAGCAAAAGAGTAATCGGCATGAGGGCTTGACAGTTAGAAAGAGGACTAAAAGGTGTCGGGTAGTGCTTAGGGCGTTTCCCTATCTTTGTTCTACGTATTCTTATAATAGGTTGAAAAAACGGACAAGACTTTCGGGACAACCTAATATAATTAGAATACATATGTAACAAAATTCAAATTATTCTTAGCTATTTTGACATATAAATTTTATCGAAAATACCAAATTTGATAATAATCTTTTTGAATCAACCACTGTTCTAGGATAATATTTGAACGACTAACTTTTTTTTGATATGGTGTAAAGTGTATAAAGTTCTATAATAACAAATTGAACAACCGAATTTATAACGTGATATATAGATCCATCGTTGTCCAGGCAGAAAATTTGCAACGTTTTTTCACCACCCATATGAGATTATAGAGTATTTGATAGGATAGTTCACTTATGTGTTTTCGACTTTTCAGACTCTGAAGAAGGCGAGTTTGCCGAAACGTCAGTCTGTTTATTGTGGAATAAATATCTGTACCAATCTTGGACGCTGCTAAAGAAATCAATCAGAAGATTCAAACTATGCCAAGATTCATGGATAGTCGAACATGGACCCATATGAGAGTTAATTCATGCTTTTTTGCTCACTAAGACCTTGGCATTTCCTTGTAATTTTGCTGTGTGCCTGCAATGCTTGCATTTTTACTGATCGTACGATCTCATGTTAGCCTTAGGGCCGCATGCACCAACCTCCCTGCTAGGGGGGGGGGACCGCAGCTTAAAACAAAGCTTTATAATTCGAAACTCCAGATACCTGGATTCACGTTGTGTACCTATCCGTAACTATTCCTACTACCCTTCACTATGAACATGTTGAAGAGGAGCGAGAAGCTGCACGAACCGCATTTTCCAGCATTTGTATGATCTCTGATGATCCCCGGCGCTTTCCTTTAAAGTCGTCCTTTCTCCGAAGTTAACGAAATCTTTCCAAAGCTGTACTGAACATCTAACACAACAATGCTAAGCATGTTGCTGATGAGAACACATGAGTTTTTGAAAAGTCGAATTTTTCGGTAAACTTCAAATTTCGACCTGTGGATCATCGAAAATTTCATGACTTCAGAACATCATTTGTTCTTATCAGCAACATGCTTAGCACTGTTGTGTTAGATGTTCAGTACAGCTTTGGAAAGTTTTCGTTAACTTCGGAGAAAGAAAAATGACTTTAAAGAAAAGCGCCAGGGATCATCAGGGATCATGCAAAAGCTGGAAAATGTAGTTTGTACAGCTTCTCGCTCCTCTTCAACATATTCATAGTGAAGGGTAGTAGGAATACTTACGGATAGGTACACAACGTAAAATCCAGGTAACTGGAGTTTCGAAATATAAAGCTTTCTTCTAAGCTGCGATTCCCTCCCCGCGGCGATGTTAGTGCATGCGGCCCTTAGTCTTGCGACACCAATTCAACCAGAAACAATACATAACACAAAAGCCAAACTATCACTGCTCTTCCTCTTTGTTGAAATCCCTAAATCTCTTCCTCTTTGTTGAAATCCCCGGCCAATAATCTGGGTTACTGCAAATGTTTTAGGGCCGCATGCACTAACCTCCTCGTTGGAGAGGGGGATTGCAGCTTAAAAGAAAGCTTAATATTCTGAAGCTCCAGATACCTGGATTTCACGTTGCGTACCTATCCTTAAGTATTCCTACTACCCTTCACTATGAACATGTTAAACAGGAGAGAGAAGCTGTACGAACCGCATTTTCCAGCTTTTGTATGATCCCTGATGATCCCCGGCGCTTTTCTATAAAGTCATTTTTCTTTCTCCGAAGTTGACGAAAACCTTCTAAAGTTGTGCTAAACATCTAACACAACAGTGTTAAGCATGTTGCTGATGAGAACAAAAGAGTTTTTGAAAAGTCGAATTTTTCGGTAAACTTCAAATTTCGACCTGTGGATCATCGAAAATTTCATGACTTCAAAACATCATTTGTTTTTATCACGAACATGCTTAGCACTGTCGGGTTGGATAATCTGCACAACTTTGGAGGTTTTTCGTTAACTTCGGAGAAAGAAAAATGACTTTGAAGAAAAGCGGCGGGGATCATCAGGGATCATACAAAAGCTGGAAAATTCGGTTCGCGCAGCTTCTCGCTCCTCTTCAACATGTCCATAGCGAAGGGTAGTAGGAATACTTACGCATAGGTACACAACGTGAAATCCAGGTATCTGGAGTTTCGAAATATAGAGCTTTCTTTTAAGCTGCGATCCCCTCCCCGCGAGGATGTTAGTGCATGCGGCCCTTAGGCGTATGCACATACATCCTCGCTGGGGAGGGGAGTGGATCTGAGAGGGGCTGCGGTCATATTTCGCTACTATACGTATCTTTCTTCTTCTTTCGCTATCTTGTTCATGAAGGCTCTCATACCCTTATACCTGCGCATAGTGGGTGCAAAGTTACTGCCATGAAAGACTGGTATTTTGCCCTATTGTGTGATCCCGATCCCCAGGGGATCAACTCTCATTTTCAAGCCATTCAACTTCCTCAGAAGTCAATGAAAATGGTGCAAAATTGTACTGAGGATATACTACGGCACTGCTTAAATGTTTAAGTAGAAATGAGTAAAATCTCAGGATATCGAAATCTTCGATAAACCACTGCTCGCGAGCTAAGGGTTATCGACAAATCCACAATCTTCATATTTCATTTTTCCTGTCTGCTTAGCAGAGCCGTAGTATATCCTCAGTACAATTTTGCAGCGTGTTTATTGACTTCTCAGGAAGATAAATCACTTTGAAAATGGAGAGGTAATCCCCTGGGGGAAGCCCTTGGAAATCACACAAAATGGCATAAAACCAATCTTGTGTGAAAGTAACCTGGCTCCATTGTGCGCAGGTATAAGTGTATGACAACCTTCTTAAAGGCAGCGGCTCGGCAGAATAGACCTACCTCAGAATTTGACATAGATGGATAGGAGCCCCTCCAAGTGGACCAAAAGGGCAACTCCGTGCAGAAAATGTGAATTCTGTAAGCCAGGGGGCGAGCCAAGCTCCGCTCCCCTTCCTCCTCTCGCTCCCCTAACATCTTGTGCGGACGAGTATGTTCTCCGCTAGAAAACGCGCCGTCACTCGTAGCTTCGTAGGGCAGAATTGTTTTAGCGCTCTCTACCTCCTTACTCTGCGTCTCTGACGGCAGAGAAAAACGGCCCACTCGTCCGCGCCCGTCTCAAGGGGGATTTCAAAAGACAGGGGTTTTCCCCATTTTCGAGTTAAGGGGAGTTCATGTCGTGATTCAGAGGCCGGAATGGTCCCAAATCTGCCAAAACCCCGAGGTTGAAAGTCTGCCGAGCTGCTGCCTTTAAGCAAGATAGAGAGAAGAAGAAAGATACGTAGAGTAGCGAGATATAACGCATCCCCTCTCAGATCCACTCCTCTCCCCTGCAGGGATGTACGTGCATTCGGGCTTTAGTCAACACAATCCAGTATACAAGGTGTCTTAAAGTATGTAAGCGCTTATTGATCGTTAATATCTCTGCAAAGTCTTTTGCCCTACTCTTAACTCTTAAGTAACATTTTGTATAGCTGGCCTCAACTTCGACTTGCAGTATAGATCGAATCATCAATCATCGAATGATCTCCGCGAGGGTCCGTCAATGGTTAGAAACCCTTTTCAAAAAACCGTAATATAGTAGTGATGAGAAGCAATGTTTTGCTCTAAATTACGTATAGGATGAAGCCAGTTTTACACAATGGCACTTGACTGTCGACAATAAACTTTTGAAAAGGATATTAACGACTAAACGGTACTCACAGCTTTTGGGAAACCGTATAGGTAGGCTGAAGCCCAAAATCCTGAGCTTGTATAGGATATGCGATTTTATGGGAGGTAACCATTTTCTGACGAGTCTTTGCAGATTTTTATTTACCGAAGTGAAAACCAAAGATTGGTGAAAATGGCTAGCTTCCTACGATCCTTTTACATTCCTTTTACAGTCATTCCTACAATCCTTCCTACACTTTTCAGACCTCCGACGAAGACGAGTTGTTCGAAACGTTAGGTCAGTAAAGTTCCACCATACCAACCTGTGCGGCATAAGAAATATTAGAACATCAACTTACAGTCAAAAAGAGCTAGCTATCATGAAACTAGCGCAACTCAAACATTTCTATATGTCAGAAAATGCGCCGCGCCGAAGAGTTGAATGGTGCCTCTGGATTCAGGGTTTGCCCACTTCGAAACTAAACACGCTACGCTAATGTCTCCTAACCAGGAAACATTATGCACTTTTTTGCACAAACTATCACCGGTATTGTTTCCAGCAAAAGGTTTACAATGTGTTGTAGTCGAATATTCATGAGAAATGGATTAAAGATTTTTCGCAGTTTTTGGGTCATCAAAACAACATAAACGGATTCGTGCGTAGTGAAAAGAGTCAGTACGCACATAATTCCCGCAAAAACGTGAGTCTTTTGCCTCTGCAACAAGCTTATATATGCATATATAAGAGTTATTTTCAAATGCAAATAACTCTGATATATCTGCACGTGAGTTCAATGTGGATGAGATTTGTCAGAGATATAAAAAGTAGCGGTGCGTTTGGCCTCGTTATGAGCAATCAGATGATTGCTCATAACGAGGCCTGTTTCTTTCTCTGCACCTGTTTCTTGATCGGTAATCGAATTCAGAATGAATCAATGTTAGCTACATATCGTAAGAAATGCTTCAATATTCGGAACATTTCACCATAAAATCGCCTCTGATTATGTCGCTGTAGAGTGAGTGCACTACTTTCTTTAAATAAAACCTGGCTCGTACGAGTGCGTGAAGGAGTAGAGCTGTATAATGATAAGAATTAAGAGAAAAGTTTGCTTGCATGCAATGTAAAGAGCAGTTAAAGCAAAAGCAATCCAACATTTTATAACTTTCATAGCAATAAAATTGACCTGAGTTGTTCAAAGAAGCTGTTATAAAACTCACCACAAGTGTGAAATTGATTGGAGGAACGATAAACGCTGCCCGATACATGAAGCTCTGAAAATCACGGTTATCCGGCATGAAATTATTGCACAGACAGAAAATCGCACATGCAATTGCACTTTTGAGATTATGGAGATAATATGTAATTGAACTGAAACCAGAAGGGAGCGGATTAATGCCAAATATGTTTACAAATATGTGATGAGCTGGGCATGAAATGGTGTGAACTAAAATATGAAAGTGCCAACTATTCTAAGACCAGGTTATTCAAAGACGCTAGTGCACACTTTTTTAGTAAGCTTGAACACGTTATCTATCTGATTTAAAATACTAATTAGATAAATTAGAATAGCGGATTATCCAAAACGCATTTCACAAGCAAGAACTCCTTGAAAAGAACGCATAGCTACCATCCTAGTTCTCAGAATGGAGCGAAAAAGAACGATTCAAAGTGCACCATTAGCAAACAATTTTTATAGTTTACAATTAGTCACACCTCTGAATCATTATATGATCTTTTCGTGGCTTATATTAATTACTTTACGCAAGTTTTATACGAATGTAATTGTTGTGCAAATCAATTTTGCTAACATTTCGAAATTGTGATAGCAGCTGGCAAAGTGCATTCACATATCGCTTTTCAGAGCCGAATCAATCAATTTGATATTTTCTATATCACCCTATTTTCGAATGTGCAAGCGACACCTCGTTTGCTCTGAAAGCTCTGCGCTTGTGCTTTGCGAAGCATTCGCTCTCTCAATATCTTATTAGTTAGTGCACTAAAAAAAACCCACACGAAGTCGCGCGTGCCTCTAAGGCCTGAGGCATACCTCGCGCGATTCCGGTCGCTGCGCGATTTGGCACAACAGCGACTCTTTGTAATTCGTCGTTATTGCGCTGTCTTTGGTTAGAACTTGCTCCATTTGCAACAACTTACACAAGCTACCCAAATATGCATCCGAGAAGCGCGCAAGATAAATTTGTAGAAATCTGGCAAATCGCCAAGTCGCGTGAAAGTGGCGATTCGGCCGAATCGCGTGAGGTATGCCTTAGGCCTAAGGCAATCAGGGTGCGACTTATCCACCTTAAAATAGGATAGATATTTTTTAAAATCCCACAGCGGACATATAGCCTAGTACGAGTAACGTTATAAATTTTTTTGCGTAAGACCCGATAGCAATATCTATAAGGAGGCATTGCTTCTGCGCGAGTGAAAAATTATGGGATGCTCTCCATAATTTTAACGAGCCCCTATGCCTCCAACGTGAAAAGGAAACACTGAAATCAGCGCTCATTAAAAAGTTTTTCCACCATAGTCATATTACAGATTAGCAAAAATTTGATATTGACACTGGCGCAATCTGGTTGTAACGCTGATTTGGTTAGCGTAAGCAGATGGTAAACGGAATGTAACCGAGTGTACGCTTCCTTGGCTATATACAAATTGGTACAGAAATTGCAAATCATGCGTTTCGCTTAGTTGTTCTTTTGTTCTGAGTTTGTCCTTTTTACAAAGCAAGTGAAATTCGTTCTAAAACACTCACGGAATGTGCAAATCCGGAAAATCCTTAGACAAAACCTGAGATTTTGCATGTTTCTCAACCGGTATTGTGGGATTCAACCCGTAGTACTCGAAAGCGGCTAGTGAAAGAACTAGTGGCTGCTGACCCCTTGATAAGCCACAGCCTGATTCACTTGGACAGTGCATAGAGTTGCCGCTAATATTAGGTTGGAAAAAAAGCTCTCGGACATTTTCGGATAGACTGCTGTTCCTCGAAATTTAGTGCATATCTATGCATGAAAGTTCACAGCTGTTCTCTCTGTTGCATAACTGAGATTTAAGCAAGAGGAAGGAATCTGGGATCAATGGAGGCGGATCTGCCACCACCACCACCTTTTCTTGTTGTTCTAGCTCAAATTCCATACAAATTTTGCTGTATGTTAGGTATGTGTATACTATAAATTGGAGCATGTGGGGGGGGGGTTCTCTAACGTTTGAAGTTGGATATCTGGGTTAGATCAAAATCTTATGCTTTCGGATTTTTCGCCTGAATTTTCCTGATAGAGACTGCTTTCGCCTGATAGAGACTGCTTTTCCCTCAATGGTGTGTAGCGCCCCAATCTGTGTCGAAACAACTTTGTCGAAACGCCATGTCTGAGAGCTTTTTCTTTAACTTAATGTAAGAGACAGTGGTGCAGTTCCACAAATCTTTGGATCTGGGTGCATATTGACTTAAATATTAGTCCACCTAAGCTCACCTTGCTTTTTCTGATTTTTTCTCATTTTTGAGAGTCATTTGTCGCAGCAGGGACGCACGAAGTCGCATCATGTGAAGCCTTCGTATATTATACTTGTTTTTTTTTCAAGTGTAGAGTGAGATTGCACGTAGTAAGCAATTTTTCGTGTGAGTAAACTTTTGCCCAAATGACGCGTTAGCTCCTTATTCTCGGGTGAGTGACTTTTCATACGATGAGCAACTCTGAGGCGCGAGGTGTGAACACCTACGGCCAGGTGTGAAGTATCGCATGTCCGTGTCTTGTATACTGTGGGAAGGGGGAGGGAGGGGGGGGGGGGACTTTTCATACGACTCCCATATATATCCTGACCATTTGGCAACAATCAATATTGGTACTTTACCAGATATGGGCCTGCTGACTCCATACCATAAAATACGAATTACCTAGAACAGCTTTTGCAGTATCGCGAAATCAGGAAAAAAAGAAGGCTGCTTGCACTGAGAAGTATTTTGTTGAGGAAAAACAATACTGTAATATAATGGCTGCCATCTGTGCCAAAAAGTAAACTACGCGTGAATCTTACATCGCGCATGATGATTTCACGTTTCTCTTTTCTATTCAAGTCATCTGCTTTCTCTGAAAAGACACTCCTTTTCCATGAAAGTATAGCTACGTTAGAACATTCTGCATTTTACTGTGAAATTTTCTTACGATACAAATCTTATACATCTCATTGCTCTTTTAGCATGACCTGGAGGAAAGAAATAGAAGCATCTAAAATTTTGCTTAAAAGAATGTCAAAAATGTGATTGTATTCAATTGTATGACTTACAAATATTTATCTAGTACATTTTTGATCAAGAAAGATTTTTGTGTCCGTTGTAATTGATAATTGGTGGTGATATTAGCATCCTGGCATACCGCCAAAGGTCAATATGATCAGAGAGCCTTCGTATAAAAAGTCTCCTCCCCTCCCCTCTTTCCCAGCCGTAGTGGAGAATCTGACTCGCTACATGGGGCGAGAGGTGCGAAGTAGGTGTAAGGTAGGTGCGAAGGATGGGTGCGAAGTCCCCGACCGTATGGAAAGTCACCCTCCCCTTATTCTCCTCACTTGCGAGTCATGTGCATTTGCTCAAAACATTAATCGGAAGGGCCCCTATTCATAGCATTTTTAGTCCTAAACTTTAGATTTTTAATCCTTAGTAACATGCCGAAGTACGCAGTATTCGAAAGTCTTAGCAGGTATAGAGTTGCATAAAGTTTATATTGCCAATAGGCAGAAAAGGACCATTGACGCCCCCATAGCCTAGTGGTTATTTTTCGCTATGGCGTGTGAAATAGAAAAATAGGGATCGTTGTTTTGCTCAAATATTCCAAAAGGCAAAGTGTTACTCATAAGTTAACATTAACAAAGCATTACATCACCCGACGAAAGGGAAAGATGTATTATCAAATGTTCTCAAAAAATGACTCAAGTTGAGAATCATAGAGAAACAGAATTATTTGCTTTCTCATATCGGAGATGAGTGTGTGGATGGTGCTAAAACAGCTCTTCCCACAGCAATGATGAAAACACAATGACTGCCCTGGCTCTTCGTATCCAAAAGCAAACAGATTTATTTTCTCATAAGCAGTCGATACAATGCCACTTTTATCTATGAGAGTAATAGAAATGCTAGTATAAGTGGCTGTCTCCTTTTATAGATATATAGAGAGTCAAAAGTGAAGGAGATCATTTCGGCAGATTTTTTTCCGCAAAAAGTCTCAAATTACTATTGCCATAGAGGCAAGCGATTACTGACAATGAGTTTAGATTACTAAAAGTAGGAGTGTAGAAAAAAGTGCGCATATCCCATGAAAAATGGAAAAAATGGGGTTTTTTTCTTGCTCAGAGATATGAGAAGTGCAAAGGATGGGAACAACGGGATCATAAATGCAACGTAACCATGGAAAAGCTTTGCACAACAGACTCGCTAACCGTAAATAGTGAGGTCACAAACAGCTTGCTAGGTCGTGACCATAGAAACCACTAATTGAAGCCATATAGAGCCGTTACCTTATCACAAACAGTGAATCAAGAAAAAAATACGTTGTTGAGCGATTATAGAACTCAACGGTGTGAATGTTTTGATAGGTAGATTACTGGAAGTACTGAGGTGAGGCCGGTTCTGCATGTTTTTTTTGACACCCGACGCAAACACGGATTACTGACTCATTTACACTTTTGGCACTCTGCCGACAACTGATCCGAGTTGAGAGAACCTATAGAAAGTCCTAAAGGGTTACTAAAACGCTGAGTAGGCGTAGTAGTGCTTCAGAAGCGTTTGCCTAAGGTTTGAGGACAAAATTAATTCGCTTTATACGGATTGCTCATAGACCATACCCCGAGCTTTTCGATATTGTAAAATTTGCGCAAAAATGATGATGGAAGGTACATACAAACTTATAAGCACAAAAGACTCATGCACAATGAGTTCTACTCTAGACATGTTTTACAAAAAAAAGTATGTAGCCAAGGTAACAAGAGCGACAAAAGATTGCATTTGATACGAAGACGCGAAGATTGCATTCAATACGTTGGAGGAACTAGGAGAGATATGGCTTGTGAGTCATGATTTTAAAGATAAAGAATGACTTGATATCAGACTATGAAGGAAGTGAGACACTGTTCGTCAAAGCAATACAAGCTTCACTTCACAAAGTGGCGATCACACATCCGCATCAGTTCTCTATGATCCGCATCAGTTCTCTATGAAAGTTTTTTTTCCAAAAATTAGGGAGATTTGAGTACCCCAAAAAGTTGCATCTTAGAACAAAAAAATTCCACAAACCTAATCAGTCATGTAGAAATTAACAAGAAAAATCGAAAAATGACAGACCCCTCTTTAGCACTCCTGTGTCCCTCTCCCCCTC